CTATAGCGTCTCTCTTTTAACTTAATATTAAAGGCGCCTTTAATATAGTAAACTATATACGCCTTCTCTATACTCTCTAGTACCTAGAGTTCCTTATATAAGCCGTATAGTAAGTATATAGCTTTCTTACTAATTAGACAGCTAGTCTCTTCTTTAATAAAGAGGTAGTACTACCTTAAGAGGTTACTATAAGGGTACTATAAGGCTTGCCCTTCTCTCTTATCCTCTTCTTTCTCTATACTACTAGCTTATATACGCTACTATAAGGTTATATAGGCCTTATTATAGTAGGGTTTACTAACGACCTTAATCTCTTAGCTTTTAGTAAAGACATAATAGAGATATACTAGTACCTTAAAGAGGTATAGTAGACATATAGCTAGTAGTTACGTATAAGAAGGATAGAGTTTACCTTTAAGAAGAGTAAGCTCTTTTACTTTACTTATACTTATACTATACTAATAACGCTTATCTACCTTAACGGCTAAGTTATACCCTTAGTCTAAGAGGCCTACTTTCTAGAGGTTTAGATAGATTAGAAGCTTAAATAAAAGGGCTACTTTAATACTATTAAACAAAAGTTTACTACTTAGTAGTTTATACTTATAAGGCTTACTATATCTACGTAAAGATATAGCCTACTATACGTAAGAAAGATTTATATAAAAGTAATCTAAAGTACTATAGTATATAGTATAAGGGTCTAGTACTACCCCTTTAGGTAGTAAGCTAAAGAGATTATAAAAGACCTTACTACTAAGTAGTTATAGTACCTTTGTGTTATTATAAGAGCGTACTAGGCGACTCTTGTCTAGTTCCTTAAGTCTAAAATAGCTACGCCCTTACTTAACCTTTACCTTAATAAGTAAGTAGTAGACTTTAAATAACGTCTTAAATATATAAGTAAAGGTAAACTTATATAGTCTATCTATAATAAAGTAGCGACCTGTCTTTAATAACGCTAGAGACACTACTATAGCGCTACTATAGTACTACCTTATACGTTACTTAAGTATAAGATAGGCTAAGCTATATAAGTAAAGGACTAGTATAAGGACTCTTTTCTAGAGAAGACCTTATAAGGAAACTAAAAGGTATAATAGTCTTAACACAATAGCTTGCTAGTATACTACTAAGGTACTGTCTTAGCTATACTACTTACCTTCTTAGTAGATGTCTTTAAGAAGTACCTACTCTTTTATAAGTATAAGAGCTCTCTTTTAATATAGATCTATACTAGTAAAGTTAGACTCTAGGCTTTTCTTTTTAAGCGTAGAGTACTAGAGGTAGCGACTCCTTAGTACCCTTATAGTAAGGCCCTAGAGACAGTAGCTTACCTAGTCTTTAACTACTAGTAGCTAGACTAATAGTAGTAAGCCTTATAGTAAGCGCTTTACCTAAGAGCGCTATAAACGTTTTACGACTTTATAGTAGTAATAGAGAAAGGTAAGAGTACTTATATACTAATCTATTAGCTACTATCTACTAGCTAATTCTTATAGTTCTGTCTAGCTAAGCGCTACTTAGTAAAGAAGTTATAAGAAAGAAAGTAGCCCTAGCTAGTAGCCGGCGCCTTACTAGTGCCTTACTAGCGTCTTGTTAGTATATTTAGTATTACTAGGCTAGAAGGTTAAGTTCTAGTAAGGTAGTAATAAGGACCTAGCGCCCTAATAACGCTATAATAGTATAAACACAAGTAGTAGTATATAGGTTTTTACCTAGCTTTAGTATAGTTTTACTACATAATTTATATAGTATAGAGGTTCTGTATATAGTAAGCATAGGTAGTAAGAACAATAATAATATATAGTATAAAGGTCTAGTACTACTCTTTTAAGTAGTAAGCTAAGAAGATTATAAAAGACCTTACTATAAAGTAGTTATAGTACCTTTACGTTATTATAAAGGCGTACTAAGCGACTCTTATCTAGTTTCTTAAGTCTAAAATAGCTATACCTTTACTTAACCTCTACTTTAATAAGTAAGTAGTAGACTTTAAATAACGTTTTAAATATATAAGTAAGAGTAAACTTATATAGTCTATCTATAATAAGATAGTAACTTACCTTTAATAACACTAGAGACACTACTATAATACTACTATAGCGCTACCTTATATATTACTTAAGTAGTAGTAGTAGTAACATCTTTCTCTATTAAATACCTATACTAGGTACTATAAGAGTTTAATCTAAGTTTTAGTATATATATAGTTCTATAAGAAAGAAAGAAAATAAAACCTTCTTACTAAGGCGCTATTATATTACTAGTCCTTTTGTTATGTCCTTATCTTCTCTATATAAGCCTATAGATATTACTATAGATATAGTACGCCTTATATATACTAGACTACTCTTAGTACTCTACTTTGTTCTTAGATTAGAAATAAGAAAATAATAACTACTTATAGTTACCTTAGTTCTTACCTAAAGGTTACTCTTTATTTGTTTATATACTATTCTTTTAACTCCTAAGATAAAAAATTCTAATCTTATAAGCCTCTTTCTCTCTTTATATTATAAATTACTTTTATAACTACCTTAGGTACCGGTTTTGTACGCGTATTAGGCGTAGCCTTTATTTACTAGCTAGGACGTTACGTAGGCTTGTCCTAATATAGGCCTAGGGCTGTCCTAATTATTGTCTTAATTGTTGTTTTATACTAAATCTAGTTTAGTTCTTGTCGCCTGTTTAGTTACTTGCCGGTAAGGGGTCTTTATTATGTTCTATATAAACATTATATTACTTAAGTATAAGGTAGGCTAAGCTATATAAGTAAAGGACTAGTATAAGGACTCTTTTTTAAAAGAGACTTTATAAGAGAACTAAAAGACATAATAAGCCTAATATAATAGCTTACTAATATACTACTAAGGTACTGTCTTAGCTATACTACTTGTCTTTTTAGTAGATACTCTTAAGAAGTACTTACTCTTTTATAAATATAAGAGCTTTCTTTTAATATAAATACGTACTAGTAAGGTTAGACTCTAGGCTTTCTTTTTTAAACGTAAAGTATTAAAGGTAGTAACTTCTTAGTACTCTTATAGTAAGGCCCTAAAGATAGTAGCTTACTTAGTCCTTAACTACTAGTAGCTTAATTAATAGTAGTAGGCCTTATAGTAAGCGCTTTACCTAAGGGCGTTATAGATATTCTATAACTTTATAGTAGTAATAAAAAGAGAAAAGAGTACATATATACTAATCTATTAGCTACTATCTACTAGCCGGTTCTTATAGTTTAGGCTAGCTAAGTACTACTTAGCTAAAGAAAAGAGAGAGTAATCTTAGCTAATAGCTAGTACCTTACTAGTATACTACTAGTACCTTATTAGTATATTTAGTATTACTAGGCTAGAAGGTTAAGTTCTAGTAAAGTAGTAGTAAGGTCTTAGTGCCTTAGTAGTACTATAATAATATAAGTCTAAAGAGTAGTATATAAGTTTTAACCTAGCTTTAGTACGGTTTTACTACGTGATTTATATAGTATAAAGGTTCTATATATATTAGGCATAAGTAGTAAGAATAATAATAATAATAGTACTTTACTTTAAGGTATCTTTACTATAAAAGTAAATAAAAGAAGTATAAGGTAAAGATCTAAAAGTATAATATATAATAGAAATCTTACAGCTTAGTTATACGTCTTTACTATACTATAAAGTCGCTACTACTCTTCTTTTCTTAATACTACTAGTTATATAGTTATATATTTACTTACTAATTTATTCTTATATACTTATTCTTATATTTTAAAAGAAAAAGGCGTTTAAAGGCCTTATCTATATCTACTATAGCCTTACTATAACCTAACAGCTACTTATAAGCTTTTAAGGATAAAAGCTAAAAAGAGAGGATACTATATTAGGTACTCTAATATATAAGATTATAATAGCTTAGAAATTAAGTATAAGGTAACTATGTACTATAACTAAAGTAATAGTAGCGTTAAGGAGTATAAGAATTAAGAAAGAAAGAGAAAAAGAAAAAGGGATTTAGAGATTAGTCTATAGTTAAAGTAGTAATATACCTTTAAATATACTACGACTATCTATTAACCCTTGCCTCTTTTACTCTATAGAAATACACCTAATAAAATCTAGTTTAAAACTAGGTTAAGATACATTAAACTACCTTAAGCCACCTTAAGCTATATTCTTAGAGTTAAAATACATTTAAACGACGGCAACAGAGAGAGGAAAGAGTACGCGTATACTAATCTGTTAGCTACTGTCTACCGGCCGGTTCTTGTAGTTTAGGCTAGCTAAGCGCTACCTAGCTAAGAAGAAGAGAGAGTAATCTTAGCTAATAGCTAGCGCCTTACTAGCGTACTACTAGCGCCTTGTTAGTATATTTAGTATTACTAGGCTAGAAGGTTAAGTTCTAGTAAGGTAGTAGTAAGGTCCTAGCGCCCTAGCGGCGCTACGACAATATAAGTTAAAGGGGTAGTGCGTAGGTTTTTACCTGGCTTTAGTACGGTTTTACTACGTGATTTATGTAGTATAGAGGTTCTACATGTATTAGGCATAGGTAGTAAGAATAATAATAATAATAATAAAATACATTTAAAGAGTTATTTAATTAATTAATTAATTATCTATCTAAGTATAAGGACAGGTATAAGAACAGTTGCAAAGGTAGTCGTAAGGATAGTCGTAAGGGTAGTCGTAAGGGTAGTCGTAAGGGTAGTCGTAAGGATAGTCGTAAGGGTAGTCGTAAGGGTAGTCGTAAGGGTAGTCGTAAGGGTAGTCGTAAGGGTAGTCGTAAGGGTAGTCGTAAGGGTAGTTATAAAGAGACCTATAAAACAATAAATTAGTAAAGGTAAATAAGGTAAAAAGGATCTATAAGGGTAATAGAGGGCTGTCGAGATCCGCGAGAGCTATAGAGGGCCAGAGGGCTGTCGAGGGCAACAGAGGGCTGTCGAGGGCAACAGAGGGCTGTCGAGGGCAACAGAGGGCTGTCGAGGGCAACAGAGGGCTGTCGAGGGCAACAGAGGGCTGTCGAGGGCAACAGAGGGCTGTCAAGGGCTACAGAGGGCTGTAGAGAGGATTCGTGAAGGCAGGAGGGATCTGCTATTGTATTGCCTGTCTACTACGCCGCCGCTTCATCTATAAGGTATTTGTTGTATACTAGCTATTTGTGTAACACACAAAAACTGTATAAACAGAACACGGGTAATTAAATCTAGAACCACTCCCCGTTAATCCATCGATTAAAGAAGTCCAACGAAGCTTCAGGCTGGTTTGCAGGTACCATATGGCCAGCTCTGTCGCACGCAAGTAGTTAGTGCATAATTCTTTCTTTACTAGGGTACGTCCGGATCCTAGTGGACAAAAATAGTGTAATACAACTTACTCGAAGATTTGCATAAACGTTAGATTCCCACTGGTCTTGACCCTCCCGGTCTTATCGCCGTTATCGAGCTTTAGATCCTTGATCTCGGCCTTGTTAAAGGCCTTTTGACCTGGCCATTCCAGAGTTTCAGTCCAGGCCTGGTTTCCGAGCCCTAGAAGACACCGATGTTAGTGCCTGCTTGACCAAGGTAGAACAGGATGTACGGAGCATGATCATGAGTTGGAAGAAGTTATCTCCCTAGGACGAGGAAGTATTTACAATTGCAAATAAAGTCAGCCTGTGAATGTTGTCAGCATTGGTATACTCATTAAGGAAAGGGATTTGCAGACATCTCCAGCATAGATCAAGACCTTGAGCTCCTCAAGAATTCCAGGCACAAGGCGGTGGTATGGCTGCATCCAATCTCCTTGAAATAGGAAATTTCGGTTGATGTCGAAGTTACAGGAGTCGTAGCTGCTAACTTCAGCTCCAAGCTCTTTTTGGACCTCTTTCTTGTTCAGATACTCGCTAATCCAATCGAGTTCAGCATAACAGAGGTTGCTATCCTTGCACTTTTCACGGACATCGTAAACGTTCTGATATAAAGTCAGTAAGATCTCCACACCATACTGGCTAGTACGTACTTGGCCACTCCTCTGAAATGGGCCGATCATAGCGTTGTTGCAATAAATACTCGCAGGAACGCAAGACCAAACACTCTCGCTATCGTAGCAGTTCTGAATAAGGCTCTGGCAGCGAGGAAGGGAGTTTTCCATAGCTTGACATTCACCCTCATCGAGGACAGCCGGGTATCCACCTTCTCCACAGGCCATTGGTTTGTAGTATTCGTACTGGGTTAGCGGATCAGTAAGACCGTTACCGATGAGTACTGACTTCAAGTTGATGTTGCGTTTCTTGTGCGACAAAATCTCCGATGTGAAAACTGGGATGTAGTGGCCGGCATATGATTCACCAGCAATATGGAAGTCCTGCTTCGCATATTCTGGGAATTGCTTGAAGAATAGTGTGAGGAGAGCGTAGACATCTTTCCCGGCAGCAACGGTGTTGCTGACGGAACTGCCACTGTATGAATAACCAACGTTGACGGGTTGATCGAGAAAGATGACTGAAGCATTTGCATTCCATGAGTATGGGTTGAGGTGAAGTTTGAGATCCTTGTCGATAGATGACGGACCGAGCTCAAAGAATAGCCCGGTGAGGGATGAGCAGCCAGGGCCGCCGTTGAGCCATAGGACTACGGGGTCGTTCTTGGGGTCGTTTCGGGACTCGAAAAACCCTAACTTACTGTTAGCAATTTGAGGGCGGCTAGGATACTAGGATCTCTCACAGTAGAAGAGATGCTTATCATTCTCTTCATCATCCAGGTAACCACTGAACTGCTTCACAGTATCAACGCCCAGCTTTGATGGATCGACCTTCTTAGCCCGGAGGTTATATGCCTCAAGCTTGCCGTCGATTTCTCTTTCCTTCTCACCGTTGGAGTTCTCAACCCAGACGCTCTGAACATCCGCGCCCTTGACAACATAGTCCCAGGCGCTATCAGGCTTTCTATTATGAGGCTTTGGGGAAGAGAAAAGAGTCGTCTTTTCGATGGCCTCGGGGAAGTGCAATGCTACCTCGTCCCACGTTGCTTGTGCCTCCGAAGTCATGCCTTTGATGGACTCTCCAAGGGAGTGCAGTGATTTAGACCATGCAGTCGAAACAGGCCTAACTGCCTCCTTCAATGGAGGTGCCCCTTTCGGTTGGTTCTTAAGGACCTGTTGATGAGGAGTAATGGCGGCAGAGGTTGCGCCCAGCAGGAGCGTTGATACGAGGAGCTTCATGATGGCTGACAGACGACTGATGATAAATGACGGATGATACTGTAGATGGGACGACAAGGTTTTGATAAGGCAACTAGACCACAGATCCACAACTGCCAGTTGAGAGGTTAGTCGAGACAGGAAACAGACTCCGTGACACTAGACACCAATACTGACTTTGTTTGATGTGTGCCGTCCGGTCCTGTTCTGTTGTGTTGTTGTGAAGCTATGGAGAAGGACGAGAGAGTGCGGACAAGTACTGTACCTATCGACCCAGCTACGTAACCCCAGGTACCTAAGATTGCCTTGCTGCCTCGCCAACCACTGATAACAATAGCCGGGTTTAGCCGACTGATAAGGAGCTACGTAAGGTATCATCGTAGCGAATTGATGCCCCAGAAGTCAGGCAGTTTTTGAGCAGTGCTAGATTCACACCCCCGGCTCGTACTGTAAATTACCTACCTATCTACGTACTTATGCGGGGAGAGGGGTCCTGCTGTCCTATTGATGGAAAAGATTGCCTCTCTCACAAAATTAATCGTACAAGATATACGGTCTCTCCGGGGATGCGAGCCTTCAGACGAGGAGAAAAAGCACAGCATCCATTTAAATTGTTCTGTTCCTGATTCCTGAATGGCCAGTTGATTAGCGATAAATATCGAACATCGAGCTTCTCACACATGTCAAAACTTTCCAAGAATCACTGCAAGTCCCACGCCTCAAATCCAAAATGCCTATCAACCAACCCTCGAACCAGATCAAACTGACGAACGTCTCGCTTGTTCGCCTCAAGAAAGCCAAGAAGCGTTTCGAAATAGCCTGCTACAAGAACAAGGTCCTGGAATGGCGCAACGGGATAGAGACTGACCTCGACAACGTTCTGCAAATACATTCGGTCTTTCTGAACGTGTCCAAAGGACAAACCGCCCCATCTACAGACTTGGCAAAGGCATTCGGTGCTAAGACCCCTATCAATGACATCATCCTCGAGATCTTGAATAAGGGAGAGTTGCAGGTTGGAGAGAAGGAGAGACACGCTCAATTAGAGAGGGTACACAATGAGGTCATTGGGATCGTGGCGAGCAAGCTGGTGGACCCGAAGACGAAGAGAGTCTATACGACAGGCATCATTGAGAAGGCGTTGGAAATGCTGAGTTCGCAGGGATCGCAAGCAACACAAGACAAGAGCGCCGCTGGCAGTGGGTCCGGTACGCCAGTTACGGGCGACGAGGGAGAGGCAAAAGCCAAGAGCAAGGAGCATGTTTGGACGGGCGTTGTCGCTACGAAGAGTGCAAAGAGTCAAGCTCTCGAGGCTATGAAGGCGTTGATTCTGCACCAACCCATACCTGTGGCAAGGGCTAGGATGAGACTGCGCATCACATGTCCAACGAGCGTTTTGAAGCAGGCTGCCAAGTCTTCTGGCCCCAAGGCACCTGATTCAAATACAGAGGATGGAGAAGAGAAGACTAAGGGTACTGTGAAGGATCGAATTTTGAGCTATATAGAGCAGGTGGAGACACAGGATGTGATGGGTTCAGAATGGGAGGTAGTAGGGTTTGTTGAACCTGGTGCTTTCAAGGGCTTAGGAGATTTCATTGGTGGCGAAACAAGGGGTCAAGGTCGAGTCGAGGTGCTAGATATGGCTGTTACCCATGAGGATTGATACCTAGGTACTGTAGACTTTCATGCAACCTGCTTAGCGAGCATATAAGGGCGTTATGGGAATCATAAAAAGCTTGGCCATTTTCCTCCGTCTTCTCATAAAGCCTGCAGCTCTGAAGGTAAAGAGACAGCGGTCGAGGCTGGATTTGATGGGTTGTTCCATTCAACTAGATGTAGTAGGATACACCGAGTACCGGCTTTATGCCGAAATGCAATAAAGCCATATGCAACGCATCATTCCACACCAAGTAGCCATACTCCACCCGGCCCAATTTTCCCATTCTCGCACATGCTTAACCACCCTTCTTCTTGGAGACACCGACGGTCCGGCCTCTTCGTCCGGTCGTCTTGGAGTGCTGTCCACGAACACGAAGGCCCCAGTAGTGACGAAGACCACGATGAGCACGGATCTTCTTTAGGCGTTCCAGATCCTCACGGAGCTTGGAGTCGACACCGTTGGCGAGAATTTGGCTATCTTTGCCATCGACGATATCGCGTTGACGATTGAGGAACCAGGTGGGGATCTTGTATTGCGTAGGGTTCTGGATGATAGTGACAATTCGCTCGAGCTCTTCCGAAGTGAGTTCACCAGCGCTGTGAAGTGTCAGCACTGCCTCCTCCATCCAACTTCAAGACCGGTCATACCGTTTGTTGAGATCAACATCCGCCTTCTTGCAGACCAAGTTGGAGTAACGGCGTCCCACTCCCTTGATCTTGGTCAACGCGAACATTACTTTTGTCTTGCCATCGATATTTGTGTTCAGCAGACGAAGAATCTATAGCTGGTCAGGCGATTCTAGCCACTTTGCTGCCGCTGGTGATGATACGTACGTATTGGAAGTTCGACTTCTCGCCGCTGTAATTTTAACGTCAGCCGGCGTTCGATGGGTTCTGCAATTGAAGATGGGATTAACTTACCTGACGAGAGACATGATGGGCGACCCTTCTGAGGTTGTCGTGGTTTGAAGATTATTCGCGATTTCAGAAAGATCCTTTTGCAGAAAGACCTTTCTGTGTGGGAGATGGCTCGCTTAGTACGGCACTAGGCAAAGTAGAGCAAACGAAGATCCAAATCACGTGAGAATAAAGGTACCTAGGTACCTAGGTACTTGCTTTACTGTACCTAGGGAGGTACCTTACCTAAGGTAACCTAGGGTTGCCTTGGATGCCTTAGGTGTCTCTGTAGGTACTTAGGGCGCCTCCAAATCCTTTTTGCGATGATGCGCTGCCCAACCACTGGAACCGTGGTCGGGGGTTCGCTTATCAGCCCCAAACAGGATTAGTGGATTACAAGAAATTCCCACACAAACCTCTGAATTCTTTAGGGAGGAACAACGTCCCCCTTCGTAACGCCGCAACACCCAACGACTTCAGCGTCAACGACAAGATGGTAAGCTCTCTCTTCCCCATCGAATTTGAATCTACAGAATTCCCTCTTTGTATTTCCAGCTTATACGCGGCGCTCTCGACTCTATGGTCCATTTCACGGAGCCAAATTCTTTCGAAATTTACTAATCGTCTCCCACAGGTTCGATACGCAGCAACTGAGATCCATCCCACCAAGTCAGCCCGCGCCCGCGGTGCTTACCTGAGAGTATCATTCAAAAACTGCCGCGAGGTTGCGAAGACGGTTTCTGGATGGAAGTTGCAGCGCGCAGTCAAGTTCCTTGAGAACGTACAAGAGCACAAGGAGGCAGTTCCGATGAGAAGATATGCTGGTGGAACTGGACGTGCTGCACAGGGTATGATTTGGCGACGCTATCTCCTGCACGCCCTCTATCTGGGGAGGCTTGGGACGAAGCTGATGGGATATCTCTACAGGAAAGCAATTCGGTGTCTCCCGCGCACGATGGCCTGTCAAGTCTGCCGAGTTCATCCTCGGTCTCCTCAAGAATGCTGAGGCAAACGCCGATACGAAGGGTCTTGACACAGGCAACCTGATCGTCAAGCACATCCAAGTCAACCAGGCACCCAAGCAGCGCCGACGAACTTACCGTGCTCACGGTCGTGTAAGCACCTCCAGGGATCAACGGACAACTGAAAGATTACTTACATTTTCGGATTCTAGATTAACCCATACATGTCCAACCCATGCCACATCGAATTAATCCTGACCGAGGGTGAAGAGGTTGTGCAGAAGTCGGAGGCAGTGGCTGGTCGTGAGGAGGTGCGGTTAAACTCGAGACAGCGTGGTGCTCGTCAACGTGCTGCTATTACTGCTGCTTAGATGGTTTTTTTCATGGTTTGGCATGGTTAGCAAAGGGAATCATGGCGTGATCATTGAAAAAGGCTTTCTTTGGGTGATGGCTTTACTCCAATATCATATTGCTGGTCACCTCATGAAAAAGATTCTGAACCACAGGCACTGCATCGTTCGAGGTAGTATGGCGGCTCCCGAACCCATACTAATTTCATGTGAAGTCACGTAGTGATTGGTTGTATAAGAAGAGAACTATAAACTTCATGATGTTACTGAAGCGCATTGTTGTGGGTTCGTTGATCATCTATGCAACTATTCCTACATGGAGCATGTGGTATCCCGCCTAAAAAGCAAATGCTGGTGATCTCTTCCTCCCATGAACTCCCTCCTCGAAACCTGAGCTGAACCGAACTCCTTAGACCTCTAGACTCTGAACTCCCCTTACAATCATGAGTGATGGTGGATTGATTTTCAATCATGCGAACACGCCCCAACTGCGCTATGCTTCACAAACAATAAATGAAATGTGCCCTGACAAGTAGATCCTGATCCAGAGCCAGACGTAATACTGAGCAGTGTTTTCATGGGAATGGATTAAGCGGGAAGGAACCGAAGATGACGAATGCTGGCTGATCACGCTGGACAAGGCTGCTCCGTCCGGTTCGGGTCGACACGAACACAAGAGCCAAATCTCTATCATGGATTCGCTCTATAAGATTCTGGTGATGTACGAGGCACCTCGATGGTCCCATTGAATCTACCTTTACCTGGATGTGATATGCCATCAGCCAGAGCTTCGACAGCCAGGAGAGACCGCGATTCGTCCCAGCCAACTGTCATATTAAATGCTTCCTCGAGAGTCTCCGTTTCAAGCGCACTGATATGATTGACGATGACGCCCAAGGCATGGTCGTTTGACTTCATCATGAAAGAATCAAAATCACTGATTCTTTTTGCAATCGCGTTAACTTGGGGGTCAGGAACATCGGGAGGGTCGAGCACGGTTTGATCAAAGTCGAGCGGAAGACGAACGTATCCACAAGACTCGAAATGGAGGGTGGTAATATTGCCTCGATTCCGAGTTTGCGGCTTTTCACCATGGCCTCGAGCATATCTCATATCAGCCAGAGTACTGCCGGGCGTCAAGGTGTTGATTATATGGGCCCATGAGTCAATCCGAGGATCCTCGAGCCAAGCAGGAACTTGATCATGGGGGCTAGCTATTGGGGCCTGTGGTGCTGGTGGAGCTGGGGCGACCTGTCCTGCAAACGCAGCTAAGCCTTGAAAGTTCACGAGAAGGTTGTTTGCAGCAGCCTGGTTGACTGCTTGCTGAGCATTCTGTGGATTCACACCGTTTCCAGCAAGTGGGTTAGGTTGTGCATTCCCAGGAAGGGACGCGGTTAAGGACACGGATTGCAAGGTGAGGCTTTGTAGGGCGAGCTTTCTGAATGACAAGCCAAATCTGGTCATGATGTGGGGGCTGATCCAACAGTTTTTGAGAGACAGGTGTTCCACGTAGGGGAGCGACAACACCTGAGGTGGCCGGACCCTATTGACCATGGCTTTGAAAACCAATGGCGCAGCCAGAATGTGCTGATTTCGTGCGAACAGGCCAGGCGCTTCCTCTCCACCACAAAGCCATTCGAAATGCAGAGTCGTAATGTTTTTTCGATGTGAAATATGATCCTCGAGCAACTGATAGACTCCAGATACCGACTGCGACGGCGCAACCCTGATATCCTGAACCCAGCTTGTTGGCAGCTTGACTACATCTCGCCAATCAGGGATGATGGCCAATGAAAGAGATGTGAGTTGAGGAAGACTATCCCAGAAGTCCGAGCGACGGAGAATTGGTAAATGTCGGTTTGGAAGACGTGCAATTGTGAGCGCCTCGATGTTCTGGAAGGTCAGCCTATTGTCAATGACTGCAATTACATAGGATTGCATAAAGGCACGCTGAGCCCACTCGATCTCAAGCAACATCTCCCTTTGAGCATTGGTAAGATCATTCGGCTTGAGCGAGTAGCTTTCGGGTTTGCTCTTGCTGTCTCCGTTAGCAGCAAGCGCGGGCTGAATTTCATTGTCATCGTCATCTGATTGGTACGATGCTAACGTAAGGGAATTGCCCTCGATGACTGTCTGTGGATGATTGGAACGCCTCAACCCTCCCCAGCTGAGGGTGCTGCTGGACGAACCGCCAAGTAGTTGGCCACTTGTCGAATCTCTCGGGAGCTCCTCCGTTTCAAGCAGCAACCGGACGGATGGCTCGAGAGATTCCCCGTGATATCCTGCTTCTCGGAGCATTCGCTCAAAGGAGGAATAATGGCCATCTTTATTGCCAGGAGAGGAGTCTGGGCAGCTCGATATAGGCATCTTCCCTCCCTTCGCCGGCGCCCTAGGCTTCGGCTCTGGCACGAACCTTGACTCACCAAACACAGTAGCTTTGGCGCCGCGCTCGGCAACCTTCTGATTGACATCGGGGCCAGCCAGCCAGCCTAAGCCGCCATCGATAGATAACCCAAGCACCTTGGCGCATGTCACAAATCGTAATGCCTCTGTCATAGTACTCGTCTCATCCGCCGTCTGCTCGAGTCCCTCGAGTTGGGTGTACCTGTTGTACTTCTTGAAGGGCCAGCGATAGATTCCCCAAAAGGAAGTGATGGCTTCTTGGTCACTCTTGACCGGGGGATTCGCCAACTTGTTCTCGTCAAATTCAAACGACATGGCGAACTTGCTAATCCTGCTCCCGAATCCCTTGAAAACTTTCATCCCCTTGTCCTGCAACATGACCGAGCCCCGCATTGCCCGAGCATCTTGTGAACCAGTAGGAGCTGGCTCTGGGGATATACCATATATCTCGGGCCGGAAAGGCACAACCACTACCCTGAACAGATACTGGGACACCTTTGTCTCAAACTCCTTGTTGACGAGTCGCATATTCTGGACATTCGATCGCGGGAGATAGGTGATGATCAGGTTGAAAATCTCGACGGGAAGCTCGCCTGGAGGCCATGATACTGCAGGTTCAAGAAGGTTAGGTTCTATCCACGGGAATGTAGGAGTATGCGCCCTACATACCTGTTTTTGATTTCATGGCGAAACGGCCTCTGGTCTTTCGGCGTTTAGTTGGAGACGAATCGCACATCGTCGCCGCCGCGCAGCTTTCTTTCCCCATAGAACCCCTTCGCGGCCGTCACAGATTGGCGCGTCGATGCTGTGACAATGGCTCTAAGAGATAGATGGCGCTGTTGCTGGGGCCATTTCTTGCTTGCTCTCCCTAGGGACCATAGGATCAAAAGAGGCCCCCAAGTTGGAGGTTCAGAGAAGGGCAGTGAATTGCTTATTGCGACAGGAGTTGGATTGTGAGGCTGAGTACATTCGAGATTCGAGAGGCTGTTTGCAGGTGAGGCTAGAGGTTGTTGAAATTGTTTGGTCGAAGCGTCTGTCCCGCACTGGAGGTACTGTATGTACCTTGGTAGCGCGCGCGGGCAAAACGGTTTTACCCCTCCGTCCCCACCTCTGGTTACCTCACCGCCCAGGGACTTCAAGGCACGCACGACTTGATAAGAGAACAGATGTGAGTTGCTCAAGGATGCCAAAGAAGACGTGCCGTGCGTGGTTTCTTCAGCACTTCGATTCTCATGATTCAGGTGTTGCGATCCAATAGTCATATCTGAACACTTGCTGGTCATTAAAAACATTACGCTGTATACAAGCCTGACTCCAGCCATCCGTCTCATTTGTATCTTCCGTCTATGCGCCAGTCTCCGTACGCCGATAACAAAGACATCTCACAGGAATCCCGCCAGTGCACCTGTCTAATGTATTCCAGAAAGGGTATCATACTGCTTCCGCTTGCCTCCCAACTACTTCGATATTAGCGCCGCTGCATTGTCGCCGTATCTTCGCTCTGGAGCTTTCTCCGTCTGTCGACGAGCCAAAACTCGGAGTCCTCGATATCTCTGATCCCTTTCGCTTCAATCTTGCACTTGGGGGTGACCAGCTTGGGAGGATGTCGCCGGCGGCAGGCCGCTTGTCCAACCCCCCCGTATCCTGCAACTGTCCGTCGCAGCCTTCGTTATCGAGACAAAGACCATCCAGGAAAGGGTCATATGTCCACGCAGCCTCCAAGCCTCCAAGGAAGGGGCTCACCTCTTTCAACTCGGCCCAGGAAATGGTGTCCTCGGACATTGCAATGTAAAGATCGATGATCTTCCCACTCTCGTCAGTAACAGCACAGTTCTTCTGTAAGAACTGGTAATCGTAATCTTGACCGACCAGGGACTCATCAAGTTGTCGTAGCATCGGGAGACCTCGCAGGTTCTTGGCATCACAGATCCTCGCAACAAGCGGCTGCCAAGGCCGTCTCCGAAGGATCTCGGAGAAGGCTTCACTGACCGCGGTCCAGAAAGAATACGAGTCCGTATCTGGGACGGCGATGACCCGGTGGAGACCTCGAGATAAGCATCGCTTGTATGCAGCTGTGTCTTTCTCGAAGGGGAAGGGCTGCGTTGATGTCGGCAGCAAAGAGATATGCACTGTCCAGGCTTGAGACCCGGAACCTACAGAGGCAACCCGCTTCCGAAACGATTGGATGTGGGCCGGTTCCTCTGTAGTCACGATGTGAGATGGCAATCTCGAATTAAGGGACAGGACTGGCGCCACATCCTCAGTCTTCGTCCGGTTGTCTGCAGCGGTATCGAGTACGGCAGAAGGCGGCGTCGATGCCTTCCGTCGTCGCCCCTTCACCAGTGCAACGGGCGCAGCGCTCTCGAGGGCTTCGACTCTGTCCTCCAACTGCATCGAGGCATCATCGACATCTACCAGCTGGTTCCGCATTCTTTGTACATCATCAACCAATGCTTCGATGCGGTCGTCGTAATAGGGCGCCCGCTTCTGTAAGATTTCGACGTTCTGCCATAACCCCCCTATGCCCCGGTAGACGTTTTTGAATTCCGCATCGCTTTCTTCCCTATTCTTGTCGAAGCATTCTTCTAGCCGGCCGAGTCGGTCAACGATCTCAGCTGTCCCGCCATGCCTCTCACGGTCCAGTCTCTCCTCCAGCAGATCGATCTTGTCTTTGAGGGCACGAAGCTCTTGCCGTTCGACCGAGTCGGCCTCTTTCTCCCGGACATGATAGCAAGCCTGGTGGCCGCAATCGCAAGTGCTTCCGGGTAATGACCGATTTAGTGCAAATCCCACGCATGCACATCTGAGTCCCTTGACTTCGGGATGTAGCAGAATATAGCGGCAGTCGCCCCTAGGGAGATGGGAGGCATCCCCTCGTGCCTTTTCACGACGAGGAGGAGAGAACATGCTCCTCATAACCAGGTCTTCCAGAACGATGGCTCCAGAGGGTGATAGCAGAAGGCATGAAGCTCCGCCGGGAAAGGGTTATCGAGGTCGAGGTGAGGAGAGTCGAGGGGGACTTTAGTCGCGATATCACCGGGAGAACGCAATGGTGCACTATTCGCACCGAGACTCCCCAATAACGGCGAGGGGGGAGGACGAAACGGTAATGCGAAAGGGGCCAACTGGCCAACTGGACAAGTGGCCGGCTGCTGCTGTGTCTGCTTCTCCTTTCCTTTCCTTTCCTCCCTTACCTCCCTTTCCTTATCTTATCTTATCTTCTCTTCCGTCGTGTTCTCGCTCTCCGTTTATTGTTTTCTTTTTCTTTTTCGCGTTCCTTTTCTGCTTATCAGTCGGACTGTTTCAGTGTTCGGCGTAGGACCTCAGTCGGCACGTAGCTGAAGGGGGTTTGAAGGACGGCTGGGAGGGGGTGGTCGTCGAGATCGGCTCCATGGCGTGCGAAGGGGAGAGCGGGCCGGGGCCGTTTAAGAAGGGTCTGCGAGTTAATCAGACTAGCCAGCAAAGGCAAAGGGCAGGGCGGTGTGCACGATACAGCGCGCGGGAGCTGGGCGGGGGGGTCCTTTCTACCAGGGAGGAGTACGGAGTATGTAGGAGCCAGGCGTAGGAAGAACACAGGGCTGAGTATGTACTATGTACTGTGGATCTCTTGTACGGTGTACTCGGAGCAGTAGATAGATACATTGGCCACTGTATGGAGACGGATCAGAGGACGTGGGATACCGCATCAGTATCTAGGTACATACCGTATGGCAGCGTCTGGAGATGGATGATGGGGCGATTATGCTGAGAAGCGTGGGTGGATAGAGATAAGCAGGAGGGGCGAGAGGGGAGTGGGCAAAGCAATGGTATAATCGCATCATAATCACAAAGACCACAATAATCACAATAATCACAACAGCAATACCGAAAAAGGATGGATAATAATTACATACCTTACCTTAAGTATGTCTACTTTGACACCGGGACGTCTCTTTTCTGCCCCTCCGAGTCGTCCCGCTGCGACGACTGAGGATTTGTAGATATAAGGTAGACCCCTACTGTACATGTTGTATATAATGGGCCTCTTATACATACCTTAGACAGACCATATTTCCTTTTCTTCTACCTCCCCCGTCAAAATGCCTGCAACTTTCGCTCCCTCCTATCTTTGCCAATCTTCTTCGCGAATCACGCAACGTGCACAGCAGCATAATCGCCATTCTATTCCACCATTGTCTTACCTTCCTGGAGGATGCTCTCTCGATAGCGTATGATAGGCATGAGCAACTCATATCTGGAGACCTATTATCCCCACTGCGATTGTACAGTATGTACTGTGCACTGGATCGTATCGCTGTCTCTGTCTCGTCATCCATCGTCCATCGTCCATCGTCCATCACCCACTGGCACCCATGACCCATGATCCATGATCCATCTGTCCGTCGCAGCAAGATGGGTAGAATCTCCCCCAAATACGCCAATGCGGACAGTATTCCCCCCCCCCCGGCTGTCGTCGGCCCTTTTCTCTCTCACTCTGACACATGTCAATTATTATCGGCATCCACGATTCCACCACATCCATCCACATCCCACTTCACCAGGCACACAGTACCTACCTTATGGCGACATTCTGCGATCGACAATCATGGTAATATGCGTCCTGTAACCAGTAAGTTCCTGATCCAAGATGGGCCCTGCAAGGAGCACGGAGGAGACGACGGCGACGAGAAGAGAAGGGGATATTCGCTGATGGATCATATGGATCATCCTTCCCCGGCTCCTGCCCGCAAACCCCCACGCTCTTCTTCCCAGCTTTCGAGTTTCCCCGGCGTTTGCCCCCCATCCGGCTTGGCGTTATGGCAACCAATCGGTACTTTTTGCATGAGACTTTATGACTTTCAGGATATTCCAGTATACCTAGACAAACGGTCAAAGACAATAATACAGTAATACTAATAAATAGAAAAATGCTGATACGTTACCTACGGTAGGGGGGTTTTCCATCTACCTTATATTATACACCGAGCATACACGTAAAAAACAAACTCAACATCCTTCGTGAGTCGGCAATGTGTCCGACGTCCGCCAAGTCTAGGGTCGGTTCGGCTCGGCTCGGGTATCGGGGCGACGAACTTACCTTGTTTATCGCACTAGAACTGCAGTATGTGGGCTTATAATAGAATTGAGATCCGGAATGCAATACTATTCTAGAATCCCTGCTTCACTCTTCTGCCCCATTTGGGTACTTTACCTTACCTTACGTATCAGAACACTACTAGCCTTATTCTCTTCATCTTAATCTTAACAATTATTAAGCTCTTTGTTTTCTCAAGGTTATTATATGTAGGTCTTGGTTGATGCCACAAGCGTTCATAGCCGCGGACCATTCACTGTCGTCGTCGGAATACGTGTCAGCGTCGTGTCCGTGGATGAAAGCAGTAGCCATGCTTAGAAAAGTAACAGGGTTACCATCGATCTCCCGGCCTTCATCGTCGGGCCAGTTGTCCCAGCGAATCGAGGTCAGCCATTGCCTCGTTGAAGCCGGTGTACCTAGACCAGTGTATCCCGTGAGGTAAGGTAGTCCGGGATGGTGACGAACGCATCCCCAGAAGAAGATGAGTTCGTGGATAAGACCTCGGTAGAGGCCGGGGGGGGGGGGGTATCTCTATATTCTTCGTCACTTAAGCGGTATAACCGGCGTTTGTGTACATGGCGACGATTGATGCCCTAGAGCGTTATGATGATGCCTTCCTATTGGAGGATCGACAGGTCATCGGGATCAAGCAGAGGATCACGGAAGGATGTAGTAGTACTGGATTCCGACACGCTGAATGTTGCTGAAATCTCGGCAACAAAAGGATGTGATGGCCGAAGGAGTTGCCCAGTGGTCATTGAGGAAGGAGGGAGGGGAAGAAACCGCTTTGCTGCAATGTCCAGTAGTAAGGTGGTTTAAGAGTAAATAAGGAGTTTGGAGGAGAAGAATGTCCTTGTGTCAATGGAAGGGGACTACGATTTTATGTTCGTCGGCCTCGCTTTTAGGTGCCGCTCTGCATTCGCATTCTCTCCTAGTGCGGCTCATCCAGCCCTACTAATCACGGAGTGAGTATCGGGAATGCGGGCAGCATCCCTACTAGTCAATCCTGCTTTTGACAGAGGGATATGTCTAGTCACGCGGCTATATCACAAAGGATCCCCAAGCAGACTGCATTCCAGTCTCCAGAACACGACAGCTCTGTATCGCGTTGTATCCAGTCACTCGCCGTGATCCCAACCAACCTACGAGCACATCTCTAGTAGAAACGAAAATAGACCTTTAATAAGGTCACAATTCGTTGATGATGGTTGATATTCTACGGAACCCACAGATTTAGAACTCGAACTCCAATACCATCGTCATATTTGATCTCGGCCTTTGTATCTTCGACAAGTTTGTTCTAAAGGTTACAAGGGGTATATGTCAATACCTTAGACTATTTCTTTATAGCTAGGGTTAATCGTGTCTGTCAGATCTGGATTTCCAGCCATCGAATATATCGTCTGGAGATTGTACGCAGCATCAATCATAAGATCCTCGCGCATAGACTCCTCCTGACCTACAGCTTTCTTCAACACTAGCAGGTAATAGGGGATTGCGAGATGTGTAAGGCCGAGCATGTGGTATGCTCTGGCCATGTTGTAGTGGGCCTCTTGTCGTTCCTCGATACTAGAAGATTGGCTGCGAGACTCGTAGTACGCGAAGAGAAACGTCAACCCTTGGAGTATAAGGTGTTGCCGATTCTCAGCTTGTCTTTTGAGAGCGTAGTGAACGTATGCAAGGCCGATATTCAGGTTAATCATTGCGTTCTCGGGGTCCAGCGCGTGGGCTCTGAAGAAGTAATCTACAGGGCTATGTTAGCACAGTATTTTGCCATCATGTCAGCCAGAGATGATACGTACTTAGAGCATACGCATAGCTGGTGCCTGCATATAGTATGTGGCCATACAGCATCAGGAGTGCAACATCCATGTCATCATTGACTATGTGACGACCGTTCTCATCTTGCGCTGAATAGGAGCCTTTCTCGGAAAAGTATTTTCCGCGGCGTGCTTCGTCGACAAGAGCGTAATCCATTGCTTTGATTTGCCGAAGGACGTATTTTTGAGTCGGGCCTGAAGTATACCAAGAAATAGGAGACTGGCACATTCTTGCGACTGCTGCAAACATCCTATACGAATCCGTAGTGAACTGATAATCCTTCATGAAGAACCGAGCAACAGTGACACAGGTTTCCTCGTCGCTGGAAAGGAGGGCGCAAACTGAAAACTTCGGTCAGCTACCGGCCATCTAGAGACAAGTAGAAAGGCGGCTTACCACACCATGCTACATTGATCAAGAACATATCCTCTCGAGAATGATAAAAGACAATCGCATCTTTTGCCGCCTCGCAAATCTCATATGACTCTTGCATCTTCCCAATTCGAGCAAGACATAATGCGTACTCCAAGAAGATATCCAGCCATGCGCTGAAGGGTATCCCTCGATAGTCCGCCGGTATGTCGGGGCTTGGCCCATGAGTTTTGTCCGCGACATCGGCACCCAAATCTACGGACGTTAGTAATCTAATATATAAAAGGGGGGTCGATGGAACAGACTCCGAGACAGGCGCTCAGCCATGGCTGTAAGATCACTGTCTAATGAGGTCTCCGCTTGTAGACGAGCATCACCTGTATATCCCAGAAACCTGACGTATTTATCCCAAGGATAGAAGGTCTTGAAGCTTCTAAAGTCGTCTGTCAGATCCCTAGCAGCTTCCATCCAGGAGTTTGTGGATCTGGGATCGCCATTCCTCATCCCCTGATGTTCCTTCCGCATAGCATGATACTGACTCCGCAGCTGCTCCGCTCTAGCAGTCTCTTCCTTAAGCTTCTCAACCGGATCTGCCAGGCGGCGGGGTTTGTACGTCCGTGGGCCTCTGGTAGGCGTGACTGAGTCCTGTGTCTGAAGCGCGTTGGACCCCGCTGGACCGTCAATCCTGGACCGTTTTCGACGGGGTTTCGAAGCCGGGAGGATCCGTGGATCCTGCGACCTCTTAATTGACATGGCCTCGTTGACGTATATGAATGCCTGCTCTTGCTCGCCCAGCTCCTCATACATCTTTGCCAGCTCCATCCGGGCTTCGATGTTGTTTTCATCTATCTGGATAGCTGTTTGAAAGCATTCCTCCGCTTTAAAATCAAGACCATTACCTTGAAAACACCGACCCATCTGAATATATAGCGGCGCGGTAACCTGCTCGGGAATCCGCTTTAGAGGTTGATAGAACGCCAAAGCATTTTGGTACAGACCAGTTTCCAAGAGCCTGTCGGCAACCTGAAGGTAAAGATCCGGGTATTCCAGAATTTTGCTTTGCTCAGACCTATCCAACGGCTCAAGCCAATCTAGATGTCGCTGGACAAGTTAGCAAAAATCTCTACCTACAGGCCAAAAAGCTTACCAACGCCTCTTCATGATGTCCCATATTCAGACGACATAGGCCCATTTTCACCCTTAGTTCAAGAGGCAGGCCGTTGCCATAAGTAGACAATGGGAAGCGATCAGCACTAAAGCCTGGAACCTCAACTCTCCTTAAATGATCTGCATCCCACTCCCGGTCATCGTCTATAATCTCATCCCAGAAATCGTCTGATTCACGGCCCAGCAGCCAGCGAGAGAGGGACTTGAGTTCTGTTATCGCCACAGCATACTCGCCAAGATACTCATAAAGTGTTATATAAGCATTGACATCGTTCCATGTTACTGTTTGCTCAGATTCGCTTTCATGAGACCGAAAATGGGCGAACGTTTCCTTGTAGAGCTCCTTCGCATTTTCGATCTCGCCATTGTCCACGTAGGCCGCGGCCAAGTTGCTAATTACACTTGAATCGTATGGCCGAATCTTCAGGATCGTCTTGTACTCTGAAATTGCACCTGCGAGTTTGTTTCTCTCGAGATAAATCATAGCCTTACCTAGACGGGCCTCTATGCACTTGGAATCTGCTCGTAAGGCAGAAGAATAACAGAAGTTTGCGGAGGGGAGATAATTTCTCCAATGCTCTCCAGTCTCTTCCCGCGCAAACCGCGCGCACTTAAGCCAACCCGCTACGTTTTTTGGACGCAGGTGAGAAGCATATATGAGAGCCATGACTGCGTCATTAATTCGACCAAGTTCTTGGAAGATAGTGGATAATATGGTCCATGCTTCGTAAGTCTCGGCGTTGATGCGAATGATCTCTGATATAATGAGCCTAGCTTCATCATATTTTCCCGCAATAAAGGCTTCGTTAGCTTTACTCAATCGAAGCTTGATGTCGCCCGTGGGCTCCGCAGCTCTCCGAGGGCCTCTTAAACCGCCTCGTCCACGGCCTGGAAGTCTCCCATGTCCTCGGTTGTCTGAACGGCCACCTGGAAGACGTAACCCTAAGCCCGATTGCTCGTCACGGGTGTCGCTGGTCTGGGAAGCTCTAAAGTTGCGAACATCATCTTTAAACTTGGTTATACCGGCCGCGAAATCCATAGTCTCAGAATCTGCATCTGAGATATCCTCCAATCTAATATCACAGCATGTCAGATATTGCTACATAAAAGGTACCTCAAGACGACTTGGAAAACTACACGGCTTACCCATCACTAACCTCTCCGAGGAAGTCGGATTCTTCGGACAGCTCCCGACTCTGACTTCTTCGCCGAGCACTCGATGACTCAAACTCGGCTCTGGATTCTACAAGGGAGGGAGCTCCATGAGCTCCATCCTGAAGAGTTTGGAGGGGCGAGGTGTTTTCTCCATCGGCATGGTTCCGTGCGAGAGAGCGCCATGCCGAACTTTCCATTGTGCTAGGCTCGGGATCTGGATACTGGCTGATATGGGCCAGATGGGGGTCGAGAGAAGACTCCGAGCCAGGAACATGTGATTGAGGCATGGTTGCGTAGGGTTCGCGATATGCACAATAGCTGCATTGAGAAGAGGGAGGGAGGGACAAGAAGACAGGATGAAGACGAAGACGAAAAAAGGAGAGAGGCCGCCAGAGTTGTCCGGGAAGAGGGATTCCAAGAAGTGGTTGCGGCGGAAGGTGAAAAATTGAAAAGAGGAGGAGGGCTGAAGGAAATCGAAGATGGAAGATTGAGGTGCCCTAGGTGAGGTAGGTAAGGGTAGAGAGGAGGATGCTGTACGGAGTAGTAGCCTCGTTTCTCAGCCGTGCCACCTAGATACCTAAGGCAGAGATGCCTCTTGGCGTGAAGAGTATCAATATCATACGGTGAGGCGTGTACGTATTGAGATTTACCGGCACCTGCATATTTACGGTGGTAGATTACGGGTATTTACGTTAATGCCTAATAAACAAGACATTAATTACATAACATAGCCTGCAATCCGGGTACCAGCCACCGAGGTGTTGCGCAATTGCGCTCTTATCCATAAACTGTGGGTATCTTATCTGCCCAGCACGGGACTGTATGGGTAGAGATGAGGAGTCGGCAGTAGGTATGCAACTGCACTGATTCAGTTTATTAAGGTATTTACTTGTTCATTCCTAAGGTGCCTCCAGGACTCATATTCACCCACTTATTAGTTTGCTATTATTTGTTGTTTGTTGACGCGGGCGCGAGGGCAAAAAAACCGTACATCATCATCGGCACCCGGTGACTCAGCCAACCTGAGGCAGCGAGAAAATAAACCGAAAAGTAAAAGTAAATAGTTCCACGCCAATCACCAGCCACTCTGTATTTTTGTTTCGACGTGCGCGCGCAGAACGCATCTACAACTTCCAACTCCTTCGATCCCTCCCTAGAGACACCAGACTGAACCGCCCATCGCGAACTGTATGCTCTCTTCCAATCTAACCTCGCAACGGACTGTCGGTCTTACTCCCCTCGTCTCGAAACTCCCCTGCTCTCCCGCATCTTCGACTGGCAGAAGCTCGGCAGAGTCGAGAAGGCTCGATTAACGGACGGCGCGCGGCGCGAGCGAGTCTGGATTGAATCCCTCGCGACACCAGACCCAGCAATCGCCATCATTTGGCCTGCACACAATTGAAAAGAAGAACACAAGAGAAGATAGGAGGAGAGCGACAAAGAGACCGGCTCTCCCCGCTATCCCCTCCCGCACGGGCTGGTTGTAAGCAAGAAAACGCCCCTCTTCTCGCCATCGAGGCTTCGCTGACCACCTATTTGCCTAGGCCCTTCAGATATATGATAACCTGCCTTGCAACCCTCGACCGCCCATAATGCCTCCCTCATCCAAGCGTGCTCAAAGAGTCCGCCGTGACGTTAATAAAGACGTCGATATTCCGGACTCCTCTCCCTCCCGACCGGCGAAGAGAAGAAAGAAGGCAGGCCGATCCCCACCCACCACCACCACCACCCGCATTTACTGACTGAGGCGAAGATCGCGGAACCCCTCGAGAAACCTGCTCCAGAACCGAGCAAGCTACCACGAGACCGATCTGGTATTCCAATGACTGATGACGAACTGATCACTGCTGTTGTCCCTTTTCTAGCCATGCCGCCACATTTTGTGCAAGCCAGCCAAGATCATGCGAACTCACTCCACGAGAAACATAGCAAGGCTGGGGTTCAAGCGTACGCAAAGCTTGCAGGGAAGGATTGGACATTCTACGTGAAACAGCTCCGGAACAATATTGGACGGCCGCCAGAGGGCTCCAATCCTCCACCCGGACAGCGGGCCTCTCCCCAGCTTAACGGAGGAGCCCTGCCGGATGCTTCGGCCGAAGAGAACAGAATCCATATTGACCTTGGTCCTAGTAAGATGGTTTCTAGACTGCACGCTGAGATATATTTCGACCCCGAATCCGAGCGATGGAATATCCATGTCAATGGGCGCAATGGGATTCGAATCAACAACGATGCTCTTCGACGGGGGCAAAAGCACAAGCTTGTCAGCGGCGAAATAATTGAAATTGGCGGGGTCGAGATGATGTTTGTTTTGCCCGAAGAAAACGGAAGTCTCAAGATAAAGCACGAATACCTGCTAAGAGCTGGCCTCGTCCAGACGGACGATGACGAGACCAACGATGGAGAGCCTGCTGTATCGACCTCTCCAGCTCGCCCCTCCTCATCCGGGGTGGCCTCCTCACGTGGTCAGAACGGCTTACCCGGCCCCCTGCCAATTGCCCCGGCTCCCCCAGACTACAAGAGACCCGGAACTCCTGTCAGTGCTCGCACCAAGGCTCCATATTCTACCGGCAAATCTCCGGCTTATGCCAATGGAGGCACCATCCTCATGAATGCCGATGATATTGATCTGAGCCTCGATTGCAATCAGCACATCAAACCTTCTTACAGTTATGCACAGATGATCAGCCAGGCTATTCTTGATACCGAAGACGAGAAATTGAATTTGAATGGCATTTATAATTACATCATGGATAAGTACGCTTATTACAGGCATCAACTGGGTGGTGGCTGGCAGGTGAGTCGCGCTTGCATCCAGGACGTTCGTTACATTACATGCTCATTATTGGTAGAATTCTATTCGTCACAATCTGTCTCTGAATAAGGCCTTCCACAAGGTGGCACGCACGACCGACGAACCGGGCAAGGGTATGAAATGGTGTATTGTCCCTGAGGTCCGTGACGAGATGGCAAAGAATTGCGTCCGAGGGGGACGTGGTGGCCACCGAGGTTCTTCCGTACCAGGCTCGCCCAGTAGTCTTGGGTATTTGACACGAGCTTCTAGAGATACACCAGGATCCGCCCAAAAGCGGTCACCACGCTCCAGGTCACCCCAACTGAGCTCATATCCGTCCAACGCTCCGCAGTTTACACCGGATAGGGGGGGAGGCGTTTCGACCTCTCTTCAAGAGCACCTTCCTGGTGATGGCAGCCCGTTACCACGTCACAGAAGACCACACAGCAATGCGTTCGGTCTTTCTGACAATATTCCAGGCTCCCCCCCGGTACTCTCTTCTTCATATTTGCAGGAAGACGGCAATTCTCTCGTTACACCCGCCCCCCACCGTGTCCATCCTCGCCTGGCGCCTCCAAGCACGGCACAGAGACCTAGTCAGCACATGCCTACAAGTTCCCCAGCTCCATTCTGGAAATATGCCGATATCGGAAACACACCCCTGAGAGGGTCAACTTTCGATTCAAGTCCTATAAAAGGATCAAATGCCGCCCCTGCTATGCCGCCAAGCAGTAGTCCAGGTCCTGCTCTAACTGCCAGTCCGACGAGAAATGGGCTTTCTGCGAATCGAGACTTACCGAATGTCGAGGAACTTGATGATGATGACCAAGGTTTCGATCTTACTAAGTAATACCACATTCAACCATGCCATGTAGTAATTATCACTGACGCAATAAGCAGGGGCTTCCAAAGCATCGGTGCCTATCATGCACCCGCTAATAATGGTATTGCTGTTGCCGGTGCTCTCAGGAGCCGTTGATGATCATTTTCCATAATGAACACTCTCCTTTCGGAACATGCCCATTTTTCATATTTCGGGTGGTAGTAGACCTCTCAAGTATGTTTTTGCACCTTTTCCGGTACATAGGTATTATCGTTGAAGTTTGCAATGAACATTCAGGCGTCAAGGCAGGCGAATATTTCCTCGTCTTTACTTACCTGCATAGCGAGGACATGGTCTATTTAGATAACCGGGGCGTTTATGAACTGGGAGGGTCTTTATGATGAATGATGATGGGATGTGGGAATGAACTTTTGGACCGTCAACAGGACCGGGATGTATCTATCATACTGTTGTAGCCCTTGCTTTTCTCTGCACAATATCAGAGAGAATACACAACACACAGACATTCATGTATTCGAGCCTAGAAACAGAGCGTGTTATGTAGGTATGCTTCAGTCTTTGTAGATACAGTTGTGTGAGCGAAGAGTTTTCTTCATTATGATCAAACGGGATATAAGACCCGATACTATTTTACAATATTCAAACAAGATAACGGAGCCAGCAGCACCTAAGCTGTGAGAATATAGAGGCACAGGGGAGACTAGTGCATGTACAGCCTCAAATCCCTCGAGTCACACTCAAGACCTCGAAATTAAAACACCGCCCAATGCATGCTCTCCTGTATTTTGGGATCCCTCCTATGCACGTACGTATATGCGCATAAATGTCAATACATCAATTATTTACCCGCAGAAGCTGCACCTCCTCTCCTCTTGGGGTTACTTCTTCCAGGCCGTTTCTTAGCTGGTGTTTTGGTTTTCTGATCATTGCCCTCAATGAATTTCAAAAGCTCATCTATACTTCGGGAATCAAGTCCCATGGAGTTTCTCGGATCACGACCGGATGTAGCTTGCGCGGTTTGACCAACTTGTGGCTGAGGATGTGTTTGCCCAAGTGTAACATGAGGGGATACTCTGATTCCGGCACGGATACGCCGGGCTTGGACGTCTTTGGCGTGTTTTGCGATGGAGACAGCATTTTGAGTCAGCTGTTCGAGCCAGCTTTCGGCTTCCTTGGTGTTTTTGTCATTTGCGCCTAATTCGTTGAGGAAGATGTTGTAGGACTCGCGCATGCGGTTGACAGCGCCCTTGGAGTCTTGGTCTAAAGCTAAGGCTTGGGCCAGTTGGAATAGCAATGTTGCAGCATTGATAGACTGCTTGCCATAGACGTCCTCGCAGATTTTGAGGGATGCTTCAAACCAGAGCCGTGATTCGTGGTATTCTTTCAGGTGTTGGAGCATTACCGCTGCGTTGTTGATGGTTGTGATGGAATCCGGATGGTTGGGTCCGTAGATCACTTTCCAGAGCTCCAGCGCGTGCCTCACATAGCTCAAAGCAGTCTTGGTATCCCCATTTGCGTGCCCGAATAGTCCCAGATTGAGATAGCTTAGGAGGGTTTCAGCATTATCGACGCCAAGGGTTCTCTCCGAGACAATGACCGCCTTGCGAGCAAGTTCAACAGCTGCTTCTTTCTCTTCTAATTGATAGTACAACATCGACAACGAGTTATACACTCGGGCAACCTCGGGATGGATGATGCCATAGATCTGCTCGTGTAAAGACAGGGATTCGAGCAAGAGCTCTTGTCCAAGCTTCTTCTGGTTCTGCATGATGGAAATCCGACCAGCTTCGAGAGCTTCTTCTGCCAAGGAACTTCTTGGCGAGGCTTCTTTGATGACTGGGACAACATTGATAATATCGTCGGGAGTGAAGGTAACCGGTGGAGCGGTGCGTGCGGATGCGACGGAAGCCGGAGAACCATCACGGGCCTTCTTCTTCTTTTTGCTGCTAGTGCTGTGTCCGTTGATGCCATTCTCTTTAACGGTAGAGCCGTTAGTCGGCACCGATTCAGCCACACCACTTGCAGTCTCGGGAGTGAAGCGGTATTCCTTCATCTCGAGCTGCAGCCCGAGCTTCAAGGATGTCTCTCGGAGCAGTTGGAGTGGCTTCATGTCGGCAACCCAAGTCTCTTCAATGGTGTATCGGTATCGCTTGAGGATCTGTAATTCGATCTCCTTTTTCAAGCTCTCCGGAGAAACGTCCCGGAAACTTAAGTCGGCTTCTGGGTAGAGTCCTGCCAGGCTATCGTCGATCTCAGCTTTGGGCTTCGGGTTAAGACCAGTTCCAAGCAAGCAGTTGAGAAGGTGAGCGATACATGACGCAGTCAGTGGGATTGGTAAGTATCGCAAGTATTTACCTGCCACATGCTTGAAAGCTCTTGAGATCATCTCCTGAATTGCGAGAACGCGCAGGGATTCAAGTTTCTTGCCTTCAGCAAGTTCAGCAACCTTGCCGAGATATCTAATGTTGATACCTCTCTTGTGAAGCAATCGGCTCAAAGATTGACCATCCATTGGGAACCCAACATCACCTTCCTTGAGATCGTGAATCATTTCAGGTAAAACGGTATCGCGAAGGAACTCGCAAGCAAGTCTTACATCCTTCTCATCCTTTTCCCACTCTGCTTTCTCCTCGTCGGTTCGTGGTTCCTGTCCGCTAAACGCATCTGGGTTAAGAGCGAAATGGAAGTTCGAGATGTCAATCCTCTCCTTGTCGAATTCTGCCGCTTTGCTAACCTCCGTAGAGGTCTCATCAGACTTGCTGTCCTTGCCTTCGGCAGGAGTGGCAGAATCATCAGTCGGTTTCTCTTCAAGATCCTTGGTGGAGTCGGAAGTAGCCTTCTGGGCTTGACGCCTCAGTTCCAACTCCGCATTTACCCATTCTCGCATCTTGCTCTTCCAATAGGATTCAACAAGCTCTGGCCTCAGAACGGTCATCCTATGAGGATAGGCCGTATGGCTTGCACCATTGGTTTGTTCAGGACTGTGAATGGCAGTTCCGCACTCCTCCATCCATAGAATATCCAGAGGGGTGATGCGATATAAATCAAGCACGTACTTCCTGCCGTCTGTTCCGAGCAATCCCTTCGTCTCCACGCTTCCCTCAAGCTCATGGCGTTTGCCATCTTTATCCCAGACAGCATGCTTCTTCACTCTCAAGGCCTTTGAGAGCTTCTCAAATACTGGCACAAACTTCTCGTCCGCTGCGACGACGTCCTTTCCATCAACAGCCCCATAATCGATCTGATTCTCGCCCGGATCTCGCTGCTTGAAAATACCAGGGACAATACTTTGGCCGACAAGTCGCTTGCCTAGATAGTCTACAACCACGGTCCCAGGCGTGAATAGACCATCAATGTCTAATTGATTAACCATGCGAACCCCCATAACGTCTTTACCTGTGGCGACTCTTGCGGCTTCATCCCCGCCTTCCGATGCGAATGTGCCGACGCCGTCAGCCCCAAAGGAGAAAAATACATTGTTATACACAAAAATCTGGGCATCTCGACCCTCGGTAGGATTAAGAGGAGCTACCTCACCCCTCGCAACGAGTACAGCGCCCCGTGCAGCCGCATCAGTATAGTCGGCAAAGAGCTTTGAGGTTAACCGCTCACGGAAAACACGATCCTGAACAGTCTCCCTAGGCAATTCTCGCGTGGATTGAAATTCCTCGTTCCAGTCCCTTAAAGTCTCTGTGTTTTCAATCCCGCTTATCAGGTAGCTCTCTTGTGTGCGCGTGATATCAGATTGATGTGGCACGAGGGGAGATGAAGAAGCCGGGACGATCCACGGATTAGATGGGGTCGCGTTTGTAATTTGGAATGTCGCCAGTGGTTCCTTCGAGTTGTTGTAATCTTGAAGTTTCTTGAATGACGCATCAAATGAGGCCGACAACTCTTCTATTAGAGTCAGTAGCGAATGTGCCGAGTGAGCTTTTGGGGCGGCTCGGGGCGAGGGGTCAAATTTGCTGTTTGATGATTTGTTGACGTAGAAGCCAGAAACGTGGGATGTGATCTGGTATTGCTCGCCTTCATTGGTGGTTACCTGGAGATACAGAAGGTGGCCTTTCTGTCTGAGATGGTATGGCGGAGGGTTCCAAGGGGACACGGATATGGACTTGACGGTCTTCGGAGCGGATTCCTGGACCCGGGGTAATAAGGTGGAGAGCGAGCCAGCAGCCTGGAAATCGTATCCAGACATTGGGTGACCCACCGCCGCTCCTTGCTCACTGGTCGAGGAGCTAACAGCCGTGACGGAGTCATGTAGGGACAGGCCAGACAGGATGCCATGTAGCGTATCTGTCCGGTCCCCAGCAGCACCGATCAGTTCTCGCACTCTGACAACATGCAGCCTCGCCTCTTTCTCGGTATATGGATCTTCCACTAGGTGTAGCTCCGAATCATTTGTCAACCCATTGACTTCGGAGACCTGAACAAAATCGTTGATGCGTTCCCCCTTGTGTTCGAGATGGAAGCACGAGTATTGGAAGGTTCCTGGAAGTTCAATGATCGATTGCCGAACATCATGGATTGCCTCTTGAGAGGAAACCTGCCTATGTCAGTAGGATGCCACCTATGGCGGCAGGATCGGCGTACCATGATCTGAATCTTCTTCGGCTCGTGGGGGAGGTGTACGGTCAATTGGAAGATAGCTTTTGGTTATTGTTAGCTGGGACATCTATGCCAATACGAGTCTGCAAGCGATGGCACTTCCAGCACAGGGTGGTCGTACATTCACCGCCTTGCTCTGCTCCATCCTCCGCAGCATGGCTGTCGCCGTTTGTCGTCGCATGATCAACATCAGCAGGTTTTTGTGAATTCCCGGTGGGGGTATTCGTCGTTTCTGGAGAGATCAGGCTCAGTAAAGGATTGGCCACATCAAGTGAAAAGTTCCACCTTATAATTGGGCGTCCGGCAATGGATTCCAGGGAGGAGGGGACATTTTGCACATACCGGTAGAAGCATTAGGAGCGTCATTCATTTCTGCCATTGTCGATGACAGAGCGCGCTCCAAGGGATTTATAAAACAAGCAATGGAAGGAGAGAGAAAAAGACAATGGGCCTTGAGATGCACAGACTTCAGAGGAAGAGATGGAGACTCCTGACAGGAAGAGAGTCGGTGCTCAGGATAATAATACAATGCCAATAAGGAAATGCAGTATTTTATTTCAACTGGGAAACATTTTTTTGCTGGGCCATGGGAGGTCCGGCTTATCGGCTTCGGGACAGGTTGCTTACCTAAGCAGCCGAGTAGGGGCGAGAGGATATGGGTATTCAGGGGGTTAGTTTAGTGATTTTTATTAGGTATTTACTCTATTTACCAATTTACTATTTAATTCTCAGACGCGTCCGATGGGAGTTGGCCTTGCGGAATGCTCTAAGGTACAGGGAGGGAATGCAGCTTAAGCTCCATATGTGGTCTCATCCTCTTTTCTCTTGGTACCGATGTGCAATCCTGACCCTCTGGAGCTCCAAATGGGAGAAGGAAGAAGGGGATCGAGATGTACATAAGTGGCACCTATCGCCCTCCGTAGGTACTGTTCCCCTTACCACCTGCGGTCCTACGGCAACCGGGTTGCCACGGAGTAATAAATAAACGCGGGACTCGGGAGATCCATTCCCCGAAAATTCCCGTCTACAACTGACCGTACCTGAGGCGCCAAGGCACCCTAATACATTTCCCAGGTCGGTAGTTTGTTTATATTTACCGACTTCATATATTCCGTAGGCACATAACGAGTATCTACATACAAACCAAATCATTGTCATTGCTACATTACCCCACAAACAGCCTTGGCGCCAGTTGCTTCTATTTTTCCTAATTACTTACCTCCCCAACTTTTCTATATTGGCTGCTGCTCTCCCACGAACCTTCTTTGCTCATTTGCCATGAAACTCGAGAATATCATCCTTAGTAAGTCAGCTCGAGAGACTACTCGAGCCCTGCGGACTACGACCACCTCAGTATTGACGCCCTATTAGAAAATCTACTATGGGAATAGAGACACTCGCTTTGGAATTTGAACCTTCAGGTTTTACTCCCGTACGACGGCGTCTTTCCACGGTAAACACTAGACAAGCACATGGCGATCCAGAACAGGAGTGGACCGCGGCGAGGTGTAATCGTTTACTTCGAGCCTTGACGTCTAGAATATCAATCCTCAAGAAGGACATTTCTCGATTCCAGTCTGCTGCTTCGTCGAGAAACAATGTGGTGGAGGTGAAAACTGGGGCAGGCCAGAAGCGTGGGAACACTCCGCACAGTGATATGGATTGGACTCGTCCCAAAAAAAGAATCAAACGGACATACTCAGGTCGTGGCGGGAGGGCAAGTCATGACCGCCGGGGCGTTTCTGATGGAATACAGCCGTCCGTGAAGGATATAAGACGTCTGATACCCGGAGATATCTCCGTGCCCACGCCCATACTCAATCGCGCAAGAAGGGGCCTTGTGGGGAGTCAATATACTGCTTCTGTTCTTGATCATCAAGACATCCAACCGCTAGATAACAAGGGAAAGAAACGCCTTAAAGCCAAGGATAGAGATGCACATTTCCAGCTTTCCGAGACGATGCGAGAAATACGAAGGAATACACCCTCTACTCGGTACGCTACTTACGAAGGAATTTACTACGGACTGGAGGCGTTGCTCAAAGTAACTGCATCGGATGGGCCAGAGGTGAAACGACAGGGGCCCCGGTCATTGCAGTCGATGTGCCTAGGAGCTGTTCCACGTTATATTGCTCAGGAAGAAGCGTTATTGTTGGTTCAGCTGGAGGAAACTGGTGGCAAGTCAGCCATCAATAGGAGAGACGTTTCGACAGAGATTTACGATGATCTGGAAGCTTTTGGATCAATGGGACGTGGTTGGAAACCTCTCAGGACCATTGTACGGTCACATGGGATCCAAGTCATTTGCGAGGCTATGCAGGATGGCTTGCTCGACGTGGAATTCTGTGGAATTTTGATCACACTTTGCGTTAATATGTCCGCAACTAGAGAGGCCGAAATACTACTCTCAGCGCTCCTATCTGTTGGAATTTTCCCTGAACCGAAGACCGTTTTCACTCGATTCGATGATGATATTGCGACTCGACCCCTATCAATATTCTGGAATTTCGTAGAACACAGAAGTTGCTTCTCTTATCAATATAGGCAGCTGGCAACTATGATCGCCGATGGCCTCCTACCCATCGGCTGGTTAGCAACCAAAGAGTTTGTCACATTCTGGACGAGAACTATACAGGAAATTTCCCCAGACTCGACAAATCCAGATGCTATCAATTTTTTGAATACAGTACTACCTATGCTTGCTGCTTATGGAGACAGTGCTGGTAGGACTGGGCGGGTTTCCGAGACTGTAGAGGCCGGTCTTCTTGAAGCAGTAAAGCAAGCATTCTCAAGTTTGTTGACAACTCTCTCGGCTATCGTAATCCTGAGCAAGGAGAACATGGTCCCGATAGAAGAGACAAAAGCATCCTCTTCTAGCTATATGGAAGTTGTTACCTTGCTCCAGAGCTGTCTGATACAGTGGAAGCTCTGTCGCGGGTCTAATATTACGGGTACTTTGTTGGCGTTTGCAATTCTCGTTGTGGAATCTTCCTATGGAGACCCTGCACGCTTCGATGCTGATCTTGTTGATCTCCTTTTAGAAAATTTACGCCAGACCAATCGTTCTACCCGGTTGTCAGCAGCTCTTGATGGGCTTGTTGCATTCGTATGCTCCATAGCTCGATGCTGTGGCAGAGGAGCCTCAAATTCTGGTTTTGAATACCTGCAGCATTTGCATATGTTACTGGAGGGTTTTGGAGACAATAAAGGGCCAGGTGACGGACAGATTGTGCAGGAGATAATCGTCGATAGCGCGTTTGCTTTTGCGCAGCAAGCTCCAGGCCGGAAACATCTTGAATATGCAGCAAGAATGGAGGCAAAGTTCCACGTTGTGAAGCGTGAATCGATGCTTGCCTCGCCAGTAGGATCTTCTACTGGTAGGAATAGCGTTGGTTTTCGTTGGGAGGAGGGTATCAGCGAATGGGTCGCAGCTACTCCTGCCATGAGCTGCTTGAAATCCCACAAAGCCACAGAATACTCTATGGACGAGACCGAGTGCGACACACCCTCTTGTCCTTCGGCTTATCGACAATTGCCTAAAGATTCAGTCCCAATAATCTTGAAAGCCCGGCCGACAGATTCAGCTGGTCTTGATAGCACTGATCAGTATAGAAACATGCGCCTTCCCAGTTCTCCCGGACACGGATCGGCCCAAACATACGACAGCTACGACGCTGAAGACGATTTCATCACTACTTCCCCGAGAAGTAAAACTGATTCTGGAACGGACCACTGTGAATCTGACGACGAGCTCCTTCCGAGTTCTCTCCAGAGCCAAACTCTACATGCTAATGATTCATTCTCCTCAACTGCCCTCTCATGGGCATCGGCTTCGAGCAACAAATCCATATGTCGTCGGTACGTGGACCGGGCTCCGAGGTTGAGCAGAAGGATACTCCGAGACAGTCTACAGTGGCAGCTATTCGATGAAAGCGATGATGAGCTCAGTTCCTTTCCAACCTCATCTCAAAGCAATATGGCTTTGCGAGATATCACAAATCTTGTGGGTGCAAATGCAAATGCAAATGCAAATGCTAGTACTATGTGCCGAGGAAAGCGGTCATCAGAACGACTGAAGTCAATTGGGGGCTTTGGAGAATCCCTCCTTGGCGAAAGCGAGGACGAATTGTGTATCTGATGCCCCAGAACAGGATAATCTTGCTTGAGGGCTTCTTGGTTATCATGTCCCTGTAGTGGTTGGCTGGAACGTGTTCTGCAGCATCCACGCGTACAGACCGTAAGCGTCTGGTTTCTAAGCCGTGATTGGGCGCCGCCGTAGGCCAAGGCAATGCGAGGAAATCCGCCTCGATATCCAGAAAAATACGGGTGACTTGGGCGAGGTAGTACAGAGGGCGTTGGCTGCTTGACTTTGTACATATGCTCGTTTACCCTATCAGATAGCGTACATACTGGATGGATACTGTTCGTCGCAAGACACTTGACAGACTTGACAGACTATGTGAGCCGTGTTCCCAGGCGCTCGTCCGCTGCTTGACTATTAGTGACATTGTGTATAGCAAAAAAAAAAAAGGAGGTAGGTACATGAGCGGTGTTTCATGGCTGCGTAAGGTAGAGCAGGGTGCTGTAATAGAATACCCAGGGATTCTGCATTTCTCCACGGCTCTTTTTTCCAGCAATGTCAAGTGTACATTCACTTCCCATCCACCGCGCCACGGTACTCTGTACGTTATGACACGGAGTAGATACTGTGTACCTAGGAAGTGAGTATAGCAGTCTGTATACGCCTGAATCGCGCATAAGCAGAGCAGTGTCGAGTCGTCGATCGTTGACGTGCCTAGCAAGGGGTCAATGTCAATTCCAAGGGGCTGGGTGGATACAAGGAGATAGCCGCGCACGGTTGATAGGTACGCACCAACCACTCCGTGGACGTCTCGGCTGGCCCCGCCATGTGTCAGAAACAATAGCGGGAAGGCCGCGTAGATCTAGCGGACCTCCTTACTCTACAGTCCCCGTCACCACTCTCCTCTCCCTCGTCTCCCTCCTTTCCTCACTCCTCCTCACTCCTCCTCCCTCCTCCTCCCCCTCCGCCTCCTCCCTTCGACTTTGTCTTCGTTTTATTTCGTTGATTCCCATTTTCCTCCCCGGTGGAACAATTTCTCTTCTCTCCTCTTTTCCCTGCCCTGCCCCGCGCCTGACTGGCCTCGACACGCATCACTCCTACTCGAGTATCCCCCGTCAACGGCCCAGACCACTGCTCCGTTGACCTCCTTGATCTGTGCTCCCACGAGCTTATTTCGAATCTTCTGTTCTATGCTGGCCATTCACAGAATTATCTCATTCATTTCCTCTCGATTTCTTCGAGGCTGTCCATCCTTCGACTTAACGCGACCCGTTTGACACATCGATTGTGTCTTCTCCTTCGACCGGATTCCTGACCGTCAAAATGACGGCTAGAATCAGATCAGCTCAAGCGCCAGCCGCTGTACTCAACCAGGAGTTTTACAACTACATCTTTGTCATCCTTGCTTCTCTAACTGTAGCATTGGCGCTCTGGAGGGTCGGCATTGAATCGGTCAAGTACGTACGAACCTTGACGTGCCTTAACAACGAAACACAACGATATTTCGCCAGACCTACAGGAACATATGCCAGCTTCAAGAAGCATCTCATCTACGCGCCTGTCCTAAGCAAGCGACACAACAGAGAGTTCAGGCTCTCAGCAGCTGTAAATGTAGGAACCTTACCTACCCGACTGCAACTGTTGTTCCTCATGTCATACTTCGGGACGAACATTGCATTTTGCGTCGTCAGTATTGACTGGAACCAACCATTAATCACGGCTGCCAAGGAGTTAAGGAATCGAACAGGTGTGCTTGCCATGGTCAATATGGTCAGTCACGTCCTGTGCTCACGCTGATCGTTCATGCACTAACATTACTTATCTAGGTTCCGTTATTTATCATGGCGGCTCGAAACAATCCTCTAATCAATTGGCTCAATCTGTCTTTTGATACCTTCAACTTGTTGCACAGATGGTTCGGAAGGATCGTCGTCTTGGAAGTTCTGGCACATGCCATTGCATGGGCAGTTTCTGAAGTCAGTTCAGCTGGTTGGTCCGGAGTTCAGGAAGCAATTACGAAAGACCCAATGATTATGTTTGGATTCATTGTGAGTAACCAATGGTCAACGTCTGGAACTTCTGCTGATAGTATGTAGGCTGTTGTCGCCGGCATTGCAATTGTTATCCAGGCAAACTCAATCTTCCGACATGCGTTTTATGAGGTCTTCAAACACCTTCATATTGCATTGGTCATACTTTCGATAATTACCATTTGGTACCATTTAAAACTGGCCGGTCTACCACAGATAAAACTTCTCTATGGCATTATTGCGATCTGGGTTGCCGAGCGTGCAACTCGAGTGCTCAGAGTCGTGTACCGAAACAGAGGAGGCACGAAGGCATTGGTGGAGGCTCTACCAGGGAATGCCTGTCGCGTAACTATCAATCTGCCTCGACCGTGGACCTTCAAGTCAGGTCAACACGCCTACCTTTACATGCCCAGCATCGGATGGTTGGCATCACACCCATTCTCAATTGCCTGGTCCGAGGAAGTGGAGAATCTCAGCGACGAGAAGCTAGCTATGAACCGCCAGGATATATTAGCGATGCAACAAACGAGCATGTCGTTTATCATACGTGCTAGGACAGGATTTACCAACAAGTTGTTCAAGAAGGCGGAAGCCTCTCCTGATGGACGCTTCTTCACCAAATGCTTCGCTGAAGGGCCGTATGGGGGAATGCATATGATGCATAGTTATGGCACAGTTGTGCTGTTTGCAGGTGGAGTCGGAATAACACACCAAGTTCCTCATGTGCGTGACCTTGTTGCTGGCTATGCCAATGGTACCGTGGCAGTCCGAAAAATCGTTTTGGTCTGGATCATCCAATCCCCAGAACACTTGGAGTGGATCCGGCCTTGGATGACTTCAATCTTGGCTATGGATAAGCGCCGTGATGTACTTCGCATCATGCTCTTTGTCAGTCGGCCCAGATCAACGAAGGAGATCCACAGCCCCTCGGCAACTGTACAAATGTTTCCTGGACGGCCGAATATTGATACTTTGATAGACAAGGAGATGGAGAACCAGATTGGAGCTATGGGTGTGTCGGTGTGCGGGAGCGGCGGCTTGTCAGATGATGTAAGGAGGGCCGTCCGTGTCCGTCAACATGCTGGTAATGTTGACTTTGTCGAGGAGGCGTTCTCATGGTAGACTTTAGGGCCATCCCTTAGGACGCAGGGAGGGCTTGGATGCGAATGTTTGGCTATGGCTTTTGCCAATCTTGGCCGTAACTACAGCACGCCTTTCTTTGGGCAAGCATGAGTTCTTTGTACATTTGTAGGGATAGAGGTAAAGCGGGAGTTAAGGTAGCATCGAGGCATTCCTCATGAAAAATGCAGTGCAGTACATGGCATAGAAGTGAACATGAGGTCGACTTGAAGTGAGGCTCTTCAGTGACGAGAGCAACTAGTACCACCTATTTAGTTCCATGGTGAAGGGGCCCAAAGAGCCCCTTGAATCCTTTGCCACTACCTGGCACATCCTGTTCTGCGCTGCTGCTGCTCGAGCAAACCCGGTTCTGGTGGTTGATGCTGGGTGGCTTATATAAGCACTCGTTGTACCGCACATGCCTCAGCTACAGTACCGTATCAGCTGCAACAACGATAAGAGAGGAGCCCCACCCACTCCGACCTCCCTTCACCTCCCCCTTCAACTCCACCTCCAACTTAACTCCCTTTGCATACAACAACCAAATACTCAAGTACCCACTTGCTCAAGGGCATCTTAACCACCTATCTCAATCCAGCCATAGAACAGTCCAGCGGGCAACAGTGCGTCTCTGGCAGCTTCGTCGATCAAGTCAGCTCGGCGTCCAAGCGATAGGCATCTCAGCTCGAGCTGAACAACACAGAGGGGAAAACATCTGTCCTCAAGTCTGCGCAACTTGCGCAGTGCGGTGCCGACCTCCATCATGGGTCTAGCATACAACGTCTACCTGAACAGCAACAAGATCTATGGCTGCAAGAACTGCAAAGCTCATCTGGCTAATCATGAGGACATCATAAGCCGGGTATGTTGGTGTAGGCCGATCTGTCCGGCCTAACGTATCCATCATCCACCCCCCTCAAATGCGCGCCCCTGCGTACGTTTCACTCCTGGGGCACAACTAACTGCTTGCCGCAGAATTTTCGGGGCCAGCACGGCAAGGCCTACCTGTTCAGCACCGTCGTCAACGTCACCGCAGGCGAAGCTTCGGAGAGGAATATGACCACCGGGAGACACATCGTGAGGGACATAACATGTCGGCAGTGCAATGAAACGGTAGGATGGAAATACGACAAAGCCTTTGAGCCGAGTGAGAAATACAAGGAAGGGAAGTATATTTTGGAGGCGGAATTGCTGTGTAATGTTACGTGAAGGGAACGAAGGGCTAAACAAGGAGCCCGCTGGGAAGGTTTCTCACAAGGAGTCAGGACAGGGCATTTCTGCATATCTGGGGCGTTCTCGGTGGCATGTGAGATCTTGAGCGAGTTTGAGAGAGACGACTATCAGGTTAATGAAGATTATATTTTCCCGTGCCGTTGAACAGCATGGGCTTCATGGTTTACCTCCTCGTTGCAGCCTGTTGGCTGTACCAAATGACCGTGAAATCAAGATCCGTCCAAGGAGTCTCATCTGGAGCACAGAGGTGGATATACGCCAGCCAGGCCTACCATCAATTTCAATTTCAACGATCCACGAGGCTTTAGGATTACCAACAAATTAAGTGCCAGTCTTGGCGAAAGACTTGGATTTCGATATATCATACAAACCTACCTACGTAGGCATAATCGGCTACCTGGCTTGCACTTCCGCAAGGCAAATCAACCCTTGGATAACTCTCCACCCACCGGTACGTAGGAGCTCGCAGAGCATTTAAGTAAACATGTTCCTCTGCCTTTTGCCCATACAACCCTATCCATTTCTTGATACTCCCATGTCGGGTTTTGGGGCGTGGGTCTCTGTCGAAGCCCAAGTTATAGTCAAGCCATGCAGTGGCCTGCCGAGCACACGGCTTGCGGCTTGCGGCTTGCGGGCTTTCTGTATAGTCGAATTTCACTGTGATTCATCCCAACCAGGTATCAGTTCTGTCTGGGTTTGACAATACCATCATGCATGATGTAGTAAACGACAGTGCTATCATCGTGCAACGTGGCAAGGAGCAGCCTCTTCTGCCGATTTTTGCCTCGCCATTGGCGCCCAACAACATTTGCCTGTTCCTCGTGTGAATCGTTGTCGCCTGGCGGTACAGTCTCAAGGGCATCGAAGATAGCTGCCAACTTCGCCAAGCTCCACTTCTCTTCCCAGTGACTTGGCAAGACCCATTCCTGCTCTGGAGACTGTTCAATGGGCTTGCCAGCCTCATGCTCCGCTTTCAGAATCTCTACTTGCTCATCAGGATGTATATAGGCCCTTTTAGGTGGCAGACCGGAGACCACGGGTCGAGGGAGAGGCAGACCGGTCAGCGTTGAATGAGTATGAACAGACAACGAGGTCCAATCATGTTGGTATTGCAGGTTGTGGAGAACGGACGCCGCCAGGTGATGCAGGTGCGGGGGGTGTGATAGATCTTGTGGGATATTCGAAATATCGTTGTTGGCCGGCAGTATTGCCTCGGTGGTGGTAGTCATGGTGTGATTGTTGGATTTCTTTTCTGTTTTCTCGAGCATCTGTAGATATGTGTGATTAGTAAGCAGCCGCCTAGCCAAAGCTTTTTGGTGTTGTGGGGTCACTTCAGCAGATCATACCTTACCTCATGCCGGTAGGTTCTTCGCCAGTACAACTGCCTCGCACCTTATCGTACCTTATCAACCTGAACTCATGCCAATAAAGCAGCTCTCCTCACCTTTCCGAACAGGATGCTGGAGCAGATTTCGTTCAGGTCAGATTCGGGTATGATAACCTCTCTGTTGTCCCTAGGTACAGTATAATCAGGAAAATAAGTGATCCAAAAAAACAACAAGACAAAGAGCACGTGTATTTGTTGATACTTTTCATAGAAGCTTAAGTATATACGTCTCTTGCAAGCTACGCATCAACCCATGAAGGTTCTCCTCTGGTTTCTCAAAACGGGGAAGCTCGCTGCCCAGCGAGGACCTCACTAGAAGGGCGGGCTCAGGGAATCTCAATAGGCCATAGGGAACCAAAGCTCGTCACCAGAGCGCTCCAGAGACGGTGGGAGAACCAGAACAGCAAATACTTGGGGCCAACCCACCAATTTCCACACCAGGAATTACAATATCCAAAGGATATCGAATCAAGTCTCAGACGAAGATAAGACCAAATCATGATGCATCAAAATCGGACGCCAGATTCAGTACGACCACTTTTGATAATGGTAATCAATTTTCACCAAAACATTACCTTGGGGGAAAGCACAAAACCTCTTAATCATGTTTTGGGAATTTTTTGCCACTCCGATGGACTTTTGATACTCTCTATGTAAGACCTTCTTCTCCTTGTGCTTTTGTCTTTCCTTTCAGGACATGGCCCCCACATCTAACGTTGATCTTTGGTCCCTCTTGGTAATAGCATGGGGCGGAATGCATTTCTTATTGCTATGCAATGCATCACCAGCCATGTGTAAGCCGACGTGTAATGATGTTGAATATTCCCGAACAATCTGGATTGAACTTGATTCCCAGATCTTGAATGCACACCTCTGCTTGACGGGTTTTGGGATGGCGATTCCGCGACCTACCTATACTACTTACTTCAATTTAGGATCGGAAGGAATGAGATCGGTGTTCTAAGGCTTGGAGGCATCAACTGTGGATGGTTCAGACTAATAGGATCTCAAACCCTCCCAGAGCGGGTCCCGCGGATATCAAAGCTGAACTTGCTAGCATCCCGGAGGATAGAACACCGTTCATTTCCTATTACCAAGATGGCAGACGTCACTGACAGGTATTCGCCTCCCACCGCCATGTGGAAACTCGATTTCGCCATTTTGATGATACGGTATCGAATATCTTTCGGGATTCATGTGGGGTTAAATCGACATAAGCGTCCGCCGTGGAGTACGGGTCTATTCGTGGCCCTCGCATGTATTGTGGTTGCTTGTGCTGGTATCGTGAGTTTTGTGGAAGGACAAAGGGACAAAGGCTATTGAGGGTGTCCAATCCAGTAAGAGCTTTGGATTACCACGTTGTATCGTTACTGAACACACTATTGATCACTGAATTAGGTACAGTAGTTTCAATAATACATAGGTCTCTTTTGTTCTCCTTTATGATACAGACCACAGGACTCCGGAGTACCTATAGGAAGTACCTTGCCCGAGGTACCCTGGGCACGGCTAACGTCGGAATAATTGTGGGCCGACCCAGTAAGCAGCGTCCAGGCCCTTGGCAACCGCTGAGCCGCCTCATAGCCCCGGTAGCCGCGGCCTAAGAACAAGGGATACAGTATCCACATTCCACATTCCCCGTTCCCCGATCCATTACACATCTACATATCACGCACAAGAACACGTTAATCGACCTCTTATCTGTCTTTCACCTCCTGCCATTTACAATACGCTCATGATACCTAGGAGCTGCGCTCTTTTAACCACGCCCATCCCATCTTCCCGGCAGAGCGAGGACTAGGCTCGTCATCAGCATGGCTGTCAAGGCCCTCGTCCCGCTGCTGGTCACCTTGATGCTGGTGACCGGCGTCTGCAATACCCTCCTCACCAAATACCAGGTACATCTATCGCCTATCCATAAGCAGTCCTTTGCTAATAGTAATCCAGGACAATATTTGCATTCGCGACTGCGATGACCCCGATCCGAAAAAACACAAGATGTTCGAACAGCCTGTTGTCCAAACAGCGCAAATGTTCATAGGAGAGATGGGCTGCTGGCTTCTCGTCGGTATCTTTTCCCTTTATCGACGATATACCAAGGGCTCCGCGCCAGATGCAGATGGCTATCAGCCTGTTAACGGCACAGAGAATGGAGTCGTCGACGACCATGATGCCGATAGTATACGTAGCACTGCGCCGCTAAACCCAGCCGCTAAACCATTGGAACAGAATGTTGAGGACAGAATACCGTTGGAGGGGTGGAGGGTTCTGCTATTGTCTCTTCCTGCCATTTGCGATATTTGCGGGACGACCCTTATGAATGTCGGGTTGTTGTTTGTGGTCCCATCTATTTACCAGATGACGAGAGGAGCTTTGGTCTTGTTTGTTGGGCTATTCAGTGTCATTTTCTTGCGGAGGAAGTTACACCTCTTCCAGTGGTTTGCACTGGTCACCGTGGTGCTCGGTGTGGGGATTGTAGGGTTGGCTGGGGCCTTGTATAAGGATCCCAAGGCGGCTCCCTCAGCACTTCTGCTTGCCAGGGAGGCTGTTACTATTGTTGCCAGGGAAGCAAGAACACCGGAGGCTCTTCGAGCCATCATTGGCGTCTTCTTAATTGCTGGAGCTCAGATCTTCACGGCATCACAGTTCGTCCTGGAGGAACATATATTGGAGAAATATGCTTTGGAACCCCTCAAAGTCGTGGGGTGGGAAGGGGTCTTCGGTTTTTCGATCACTGTTGTGGGAATGATTATCCTGCATCTTGCTATTGGAAGGACAGAAGCAGGGAGGTATGGCTATTTCGATGTGGTGGAAACTTGGAGAGAAATCACTCAATACAGGAGTATTGCCATTTCGAGCGTCCTGATCATGATCAGTATTGGGTAGGCCGTCTATCTATTCATCTCCTTTCAAGGACTTTACTAATTATTGTATCAGGGGTTTTAACTACTTTGGACTGTCAGTGACGAGGACTGTAAGTGCGACATCCAGATCGACTATCGACACGTCCCGGACGTTATTCATCTGGATCGCATCATTATTTCTCGGATGGGAAACGTTTAAGTGGCTCCAGGTTCTGGGATTTATACTGTTGGTTTACGGTACTTTCCTCTTCAATGGTCTCGTCAGGCCACCATTGAGAAGTTGTGCCGAACGCGATACAGAAGAACTTCTTCCGGAAGAGCCAATAGAGCATGTATAAGTAGAGCGCTAGGAGGCACATCCTATTCGGCGTTTGATAGACGTAGGATAGCAACAGAATCACAGTATTGGATTGATACCGTGCATTCTAGCGAGCATCCAGAAAGCATGTGTCCCAGCCTGATTCGGTACTAGCGAGGGAGAATCTAATAAGGTTATCCTGCGGAGGATCGCGATCACTTGAACAGATCCACTTCCACCAATTCAGTACTGTAACCCGCGTGTTGATACAGTAGGCAGAGGAACTCTGAAGAGTAGAGCGACACAGTCTCCATTACCCAGAGAGCTCGAGACCATAGATTGCTTGAATCGGGGAGAAATTGCGAATGGCCAGACGGAAATGACTAGCTGCGTGGGGGGGCGCAAGTGGACTGGCCGACTCCCCGATTCGCGCAAGGGATAACTACTGGAATCTGGACGTGAAGATCAGGGTCAGACGATACGAGCGAGACACGGGCTGATCAGGTAAATAGCTCACGGATCCCGTCCGCAGCGCTGTTGGCTCTCGCGTGGTCGACGAATGAAGAACTGCAGATTGCAGATGCAGATGCGGCTCGACGCCTCAATCGATGCGGCTGTGGCCACGGCTGTGCGCGGGTACACGTTGGTTGGACTGGGTGCGCGTGTAAGCTGGACTCGGGAGTGGTGAGAGGAGGATGGTGAGAGATGGTGAGAGGGAGGGGAGGAGAGGAAGAGGAGGAGGAGGAGGAGGAGGAGGAGGAGGAGATGATATTGTCGTCTTGATCTCTTGGAGGACGCTACCTGGATTTACGGGGCAAAGAATACCTTGGGTAAAAAACCCCCGTAAACCGAAAGATAATACATGGTCTAAATATGCAGTAAGAGCCTCCATGATTGAGGCGGAGTCGCCACCTTGTCCAACCGCCCTGCACCCTGACCCGGCTGGCCCACATATATTTTACCACACCCCCCACGCCACAGACCCCAAATTACCGTATATCCCATATTTTCCGTATTCAAAGGTGTCGGCATATTTACATATATCTACATATTTACCTTATATCAACAACCGTCCCTCTCCCTTACGGGATACCCCGTCCCATCCCTTCGCCTATCGAGCGATACCAACCCCCCATCCCATATTCTCGCCCTCACAAACCGCCTCGTCGTGCAACTCAACCCCCCCCCCCAGCTGTCGCATCGTCCTCATCCTGCTCGACCTGACCTGCTATGCTGTGATCCTCTCTCTCTTCTCCCTCCCCTCCCCTCCCCTCTCCTCGAATCCCGCGCTCTCCTCTCGGCTTGTGTGTATACCTGCCAACGGCCCACCGCAGCGAGTCCCCCGTCGCTTTCGATGGCGATTTGACCCCCCGGACCCTTAAAGGATGACCACTGTCGAAAAACAATCCCCTCCAAATCCTGCCGACGACGACGTATACCATTCGGACGATGTTGGCCTGCGCGATACGCCTCCACCTGGACCCATGAGTGTCAACCTCCAGCCTGCGCCGAGTCCTCCGCCGGCAGTCCCTCTCCCCCCAGTCAGTCCCGATTCTACCCCCGACCCGCCCAACCGCAGAGCTTCTGACCGACAAAAGAGCCAGCCTAGCCAAGCTGATGGTGTGTTAGCCTCCTATATGGGTGATGGAAGGTGGCCGGATATTCTGCATCGATCGCCTTTGCCCCCCGATGAGGAGGAAGAGGGCAGCGTAAAGGGGCTTGAAGTCAGTTTGAAGGAGGAGGCTGCCGAGAAGAAGGACATTGTCGACCATGTCGGCCAGCTTGCAGCCATTGCTACTAGTGCACTGGAGCACGAGAGACAAGCAATTCCGGAGCGCCTTGAACCTGCGCAGGCGACATCGACAACTAGGGCTATAGCTCCTGATCTGAACGGACATCCAACAGATGGGGAGCCCATGGAGGATGCGAAGCCGACGATACCCTCAATAACTGCCTCTTATGTGGGTGCGCCCCGCCCACAGCCTTCACCGGATGCGACAGTTAAAACGGAGATCATGACATCTCCTGCCGGTGAGCTGCCACCAATTCGTCAACACTCTCCAAAATCAGGCCTCTCGAATGGCAATGGAGCTGGCTCAATCACATTACCATCGATTTCAGCACACCTACGTGATCTTAACCATTTCCCCGAAACTGCTGCGACGGGTGATTCAACCTTCTCACAGTCCCCACCTACACGAGCTCCTAGATTCCAAGCTGTTCCGGGCCAGGGATCACCTCCAAAGTCGCCAAATGATGCATTTTTTCGAGAGTTGCCGTCACCAGGCCGGGCTGCCGGCTCTTACTATAACAATCCTAATAACCATCAGAAACCGTCTCAAGCCGACGTGTCTCCGTACGCAAGCGCTGGGGATTACAGTAGCGGCAATATAGAAACCCTTAGCAAAAACCTTAGTATAGAACAACCAGGATCGATACCTGCCATGGCGATCGATCGAATGAGTATTGATGGGATTACGAATCCGCAGGTAGGCGGTTATCAGTGTACATATCCAGGGTGCACCGCCCAGCCTTTTCAGACACAGGTTAGTATCCATCCTCCTCCCGCATATACAGCGTCCTTTCAGAATTTAATGCAGGATTAGTATCTTTTGAATTCCCATGCGAACGTCCACTCCTCAAATCGACCACACTACTGCAGCGTCAAAGGCTGCCCTCGGAGTGAGGGCGGAAAGGGGTTCAAGAGGAAAAATGAGATGATCAGACATGGGTTGGTCCATGATTCGCCAGGTTATGTGTGCCCGTTCTGTCCCGATAGGGAACACAAATACCCACGGCCCGATAATCTTCAGAGGTAGGTTCACTGGTTGATGCTGTAAAGCTCGCCCTTCTTTCTAGGAGAATGAAGTGTTGCTTGTGAGTCAAGCTAACGTATTATCGAAGGCATGTGAGAGTTCACCATGTTGATAAGGACAAAGATGACCCTCAACTGAGAGAGGTGCTGTCGCAGAGACCGGAAGGACCAAGCAGAGGTAGACGGCGTCGAGGCGGAACTTCATGACCTTTCCTCTCGCTGCTCGGTATCCCTTGTCCGAGTATAACAATTGGTCGATAATGGATACCGGCAGCCAATAGCCGGTTTGACACTTCGAGCTTTGGTTAATATTGAACAAAAACCTTTCGGTCGGAAATGTGCTAGGCGAACAATGGGCAATTTTGTTGTGGGGGGCGAAATACCAAATGGCGTTCACAAGCGGCTGGTGTTTTGAGGGATGTTAAATGATGAGTTGATGATTAATTTCGGAGTATGGGAGCATGGGATATCAGAGACAGTGGCAGTGGCAGTGGTTCTATTAGTTTGGGCGGCTTCGAGCTTCAAGTTGCATATCAACCGTCATTGGCCTGAGATACAATATCTCGTTCATCCATACCTGGCTACCATTCACAATCAAAACAAATTTCATGATTAACCATACTCCGCGTTCGAGGTTTGCAGAGTTTAACCATCTCCAGTTCCCCAAACACCCACTTGAAGCGGACTATCACTCAAGATCTCCACGTCCACACTATCTAAACTAAACCTTCCACCAAGGCGTTCAACCACTACCCACAGTCCCCCAGTGTGGCTCATACCAGGACTTACATCAAGGTCCGCTGTTCTGATCCCCGTAGGCGCATCACTGAACTCGCCATTCTCAGAGACATCCAGAATCGTCTTGTTAGGTCCTTGACCCCTTTCCAGGGAAACCTTTAGCAAAGGTCTCGACCTCACCCCGCCACTCCTACACCGCGCAACAATCCTGAGTCTCGTTATCCTCGTCGTCACCAAGGGGGCTAGCATCCTATCAACGCCATCCTGAAAGACCAGGACCGGGAGCCGTAGACTCAGACGTCCTGCCTCCTCTGCTAATATGGGCTTAACCTCACACGGCACCATGGCGCCGATCCGCAACGTGAAATCCCCAGTCTGCCCTGCCTCAAATGTAGAGCAGACAATCGTATATTTCCCGGCCGCGACGTTGCGTATGGTAGCCAGGGCGCAACCGCGTCGATAATCGCCGGAGCCGCCGAGTATGTCTCGCGCCGTGACGGCCGTGACGCGTTCTCCGCGGGCCCAGACCATCTTTACATGCACGGCCAGTTCCTGTTTCTCGCTCTCGAGAAGAAGAGTAATGTCGGTGGTGGAGGGGATGGAGATACTGAACTGTGGGTTTGTAGGGTAGGACGGGGCGCTTGCGTTTCCGCCGGCGGTACGAACGGTCCATGATCCTTTCTGGGTTATAGAGTGAGATAGAGAATCGACTGCGGGGTGAGCCGTGAGTGGTACTCGTGAGAATATTGAGAGTGTAAAGGAGTATTTGGGCAGAGGGAGACCATGTTGTGCGACGACCACGGTATATGGTGTGGATGGAGACATTTCAAGGCGCGCCAGAGTCTGGGGGGAATCGACGAATGCTCCGCGTTGAAAGGCATCATCGCTCAGGTAAACTCTGCGGCCATCTGCCTTGAACACATAGAGGCTGATGAAGCCGAGGGCGCCAGAGGCATCCGCCAAGGTAAAGGACTTCCCCTTCACAATATCGTGTTCCGCCGTAGCGAAATGCCGACTGAGTAAGATCCATACCGTTGCTTTAACATCAGATCTCACCGTGTACTGGGGGTTGTGCGTAAAGGAGCCAGGGTTCTTCATCGCAGGGAGAGTCCATGAAAAGTGGTGATCTTGTCGACATCGGAAAAGTCCTGGATTCCAGTTGAGGTAGAGAGACTCAAAGTGCTGCACGACGTTTTCGAAGCTCATCCAGAAGGTCCCAGGAGTGGTTGGTGACTCTTGTGGAAGTGCCTCCCTGAGGTCCCTTGTCCAAGCTTGCTCCGACGACGACTCATCTTGTGTTTCTATACGGGATCCTTTCCACACCATGCCGTCACACCATGGGTTCTTGATCAGGAGCAAGCGCTGCGAACCAGTCTCTTTCATGTCTAGGACGGCGTAGTCATGTTCACCAGCCAAACCCAGTTCTTTCTCTTCTTTGCAGCTCAGTTTCCCCGTTCCCAATGTCACCATGACATCTCCGAATCCGAATGATTTTAAGACCCGATTCCACACCTGGTCGGGCTGTAAATCATCACTACATGGCTGGTGTTAGCAATAACGCATCACTGTTGGGGCAGAGGAATGTAATCAATCACCTTTGAAGGAATACTTGCTCAGGAATCCAACCGGTCAACACCCACAGGTCTGTGCCAGAATTAGAGCCCGGAAAGTCGTAGCCACCCCTCACCTTCAGATAAGCCTTTTCGACCAGTGCGGGCCAGAGTAGCTGAGGGTTTCTTCGATCTATCACGTGGAGACGACGTGCCGAATTTGAAGACGGAAGTCGATCATCAATGGTTACCTTTCTAAAACACCCATTGAAATGGAGACGAAATATATATTTGCCGCTCTTGGAAACCCGGGGCCGAAGGTTGGACTTATCATAAGGGTAGACTATAGAGGCAAGCAGCTTGAGATGTAACTTTAGCAGAGGACCCAGGATATCGAGGTAGAAAAATCACCTTGCCATGACCTTTCGAAGCGCGCGCTGTAACGGCACAGAGACTGGCTACGACAGAACAGTCGGTTGTTATGTCCTGAACCAGATCAATTTCATGAGCAGCATCCATTAGAAGTGCATCATGACCAGCTTCCGCAGCGTGATTACCGTCTGAAGGGAGGCCAAACCTCTCGTTTGGCCTTCTCCATCCGGCGAATATCTCTTTCTGGGCGTCCGATAATTTTAGATCTACTGGATCTCTAAAGAGACAGATCTTCAGATAAAATCCATTGAGGAATACCCGGGGGCTTACGTATATAAATCGTCGTCTTGGTCAAATATAGAGTCCTCGGGATCAGTTGTCCAGGGAGGAAAGATACAGCCATAGAGCTTTGATCCCTCGAGCAAAATGATCTCCTCGCTCCTAGTGATCGGCCTTTCTGACAACGGGGCTTTGAGGACGACCGCGAGGCGTTTGGACGGCTCCCAGTGCGCAGTCTTTTTGATCTCCTCAGCTCTTGAGAGTAAACGCTCGCACCTGGCACGGAGCCTCTTCCTCTCGTGATCATTGCTGGCCTGCTTGACGGCTTTCATGTACAGCTCTGCGGCCAGAACAGCGTTCTTGAAGGCTTCATCTTTGGTGAGCGACTTGTCCACGCTGGACTCAGCTGCCTACGTAGTGTAAGTGAAAGACCGCGGTCAAAGGACTGAAAGAGGGGGAGACTGCTTGTACCAGAGCTTCAGCTTCCATGCTGCTTCGTTACTATGAGCGGTCCGACCGTGTGGGGATTCTCTTCAGATCTAGATGGATCCCTCCTGCGTACGAAGCATGCTTATGGAAATAGAGACCGCCTACATGTTTTATGGGATTTTTATTGGGGATTTTTTCTGATTTTTGAGGTGGGTTTCCTTCTGCCCTTGACGTGGTACGATACTGGAAAGACTGCGAGACGAGGCAAAGAAAAGTTACTGTAGATAGTATGAAAATTGAACGCTCCGCCTCCCCGGAAATCATAATACATATCAAGTCAATAATAGCGATATAGTAAGATTTCAACCGCCCTAACAGCCTCACAAGCGCTGCACCTCTCTGATCAACAGCCACCTGGGATATCTCAGCAATAAGCACCGGTCAAGAATGAATAACGATCGATACTTGAAGCCTCGGAGCACGGTCCGGCTACGGCTACGGTCCAGCTACGTTTGACCGAGGTCCCCGTCATCTTCACCGTCCCACCCCCGTCGCTTCACGCTTCACCCCTCCCCGGGGAACCGCGATATACCCATCAAGTCCATACACATATATATTATACCTATACACACGTCGGCATCCATCCATATACATATACATATACATATACATATACATGTGTACCGCCCCCCCCCTTCTCCCTCTCCAGATCTTCCTGTTTAAACCTCTTTCCATTGCTTGTTTCTAGAAATCTCTATTCCTACCTCTGTTCTTCCCAACCTCCCGCCCCGCATTTGCCATCGTAAACGTTGCCTCGGCTCCTCGTGCGCCAATCCCCACGGCAGCCCCAGACAGCTCCATCCCGCATCTCAAGCTCTCCTTGACGGAGTCCAGTACAACCTTTTTTCTCCAAACATGGCCGGACAGTCAAAGGTGGAGGCCATTCCTCCCTGGGGTCTTGCAGTCGCGGGAGCTACGGGCGCAGTCATTGCGAATGCATTGGTTTATCCTTTGGACATGTGAGTGCTCTTTCCAACGTATATATCAAGAGGATTCATCGCTGATCTTCTTATCCTTCCTAAGAGTCAAGACCCGTCTTCAAGTCCAAGTAAAGCGCAAAGCAACAGATTCTGTTCCGACGGGAGTTGACTCTACCCATTACACCTCGACATGGGATGCCATTTCGAAGATTGTTGCTGAAGAGGGGATTTCGGGTCTGTACGCCGGTATCAACGGCTCCCTCATCGGGGTCGCCTCAACCAACTTTGCCTACTTCTACTGGTATTCGATTGTTCGAACCCTCTACCTTTCATCACAAAAAGTTCCTGCGCCTCCTAGCACAGCGGTCGAATTGTCCCTCGGGGCCGTCTCGGGAGCTATAGCTCAGGTCTTCACCATTCCCGTGGCCGTCATCACCACCCGCCAGCAAACACAGGGCAAAGGCGAGAAGAAGGGGATAATTGATACAGCTCGCGATGTTGTTAACAGTGAGGATGGGTGGACTGGCCTTTGGAGGGGTCTCAACGCCAGTTTGGTGCTCGTCGTCAACCCTGCCATCACGTACGGCGCATATCAAAGGCTGAAGGATATTATTTTCCCGGGCAAGGTCAGCCTCAGACCTTGGGAAGCTTTTGGTGCGTATTTCGTCTCCCCTATTTGTCCTCCTGTACTCACGAATTTTAGTGCTCGGAGCAATGTCAAAATCTTTGGCGACAATTACAACCCAACCCCTGATTGTTGCGAAAGTTGGGCTTCAATCAAAGCCACCCCCAGCTCGGGAAGGGAAGCCGTTTAAGAGCTTCATCGAGGTGATGAAGTTCATTATCAGCAACGAAGGTTTCTGGGGCCTGTTTAAGGGCATTGGTCCGCAGATATCGAAAGGCCTTCTTGTCCAAGGCCTCCTGATGATGACGAAAGAGCGGTAAGTTCAATAGCCCCCTCTATTAGCGAAGACATGCTCATTGGAAACAGCATGGAATTATTGTTCGTTCTCCTCTTCCGCTATCTTAGAAAGCTCAGGTCGGCCCAGCTCCAGAAAGCAGCGCAATTGGCGGCGTCCAAGGCCATAGCGAAGTAGATGTTAGTAGACATTAAGAGTTAAAGGCGCCTTTCCCCTGTTTTGCGTCGATCTAGATCGGATTTTGGAAGCTTCATTTGTAGACTGGCGAGGCGTTATGACGAATCTTGTATATATTATTTTCATGGCACGTATATACAAAGTACCGGGTAAATGGAATTCTCACCAGAAATCAAGGTGAACAGAATGTAATCAAAGGACAAACCTCAAAGACTGATCTTTAACAACCGTCACGATGGCGAGTATGTTCAGACCAGTTCCTAAGTTGCTCCTGTTCCTATCTAGACTGCCCCTGTTTCCAGACTACTCCTGTACTTGCTCTGATCTTTGATGAATTTCAGAATAGCAGCCAGCATAGCCATCGAATCGGGCAATCAAATCGCGTACAGCTGTAGTTGTAGTTGTAATTGTGATGGGTGTCAATGCGGGGGCGGGTTCTGGCTGTTCTAGAATAACCCTGTTTTTGGTACCATAGCAACACGACAGAACGCGGCTTTTTAGGGGGGCATAAATTGCTTTTTCTATTCTATGGAAGCAGTTTGTGCATATGGGAATTTTGAAGACGTTATTTGAAACGTTATATATATCCGTATGCGGCTTCCAGCCGGTCTGCTTTTCCAGGACGAATCCATACGACCAGAGCCTGTATGGACTGTTTGCACTGTCTGGACTAGCTGATTATATCAGAGGCATCATCTCTCACGATGCAAAGCATGGCTATTATCGGAATGGACCCAGAGAGCACAAAGCCGTCAGCAGCTCTCGATGGCCTTTCAAATGAATGGTCCAGTTGCGATAGGTGCCGCCCAGGTGCAATTTACAACCCTTTACACCAATGGACGGAACCAACCACCTCTGAGGCTATCGCATGCTCTGTTAATTTGGGTGCTCTCGATCTGTGTCTCGCTGACTTGTCCATTTCAAGGGCTAGAGACATTGATTGGAAAGGCCTTCGGGTTTTATCAGCCTTGGCGATTTATTAAATGTTCACGTGCACGTATACATACCATGTTACTATTTCGGCTTAGCGTTCGTTAATCTTAGCTCCTCGCACATTCTCCATCTCAAAATTCATCGAAAAGATTAACGACACTTCGCACACCAACATCGACATCATTGAGTAGTCCAAGTCTGCTCGCTCCTTGAAATCCGTCGCCATGGCGAGTACGTTCAGACCACTTCCCAGGCTGCACCTGTACTATACTGACATTAAACAGAGAGTAAGAACAGCTCCCAGCATAACCAGAGCAAAAAGGCGCACCGCAACGGGTAGGGCGAATCCTGGGTCAACCGGTATGGGCTGTGTTGATCTAACATGTGGCCTATAGTATCAAGAAGCCAAAGACCTCAAGATACCCATCTCTTAAGGGCACCGACCCCAAGTTCCGAAGAAACCACAGACATGCCCTGCACGGAACGATGAAGGCCTTGGTGCGTCCATCCTAGCTAGGCCTTCCTGCTGAGACACCTCATTGTCGACGGGTACTAACGCAACTGATTTTATAGAAGGAGTTCAGGGAGGGCAAGCGGGAGTCGGCATGAAGATCATGATGAATCTTGATTTTCTCGGAATTTGGCTGCGATAGGTGCATTGGCAAAGGTTGCATTGTACAAGCGGATTTTGATCAATTCGACATCATTCGCAACAGAAGACCCAGAACGATAGTCCAGGGTCCCAAAAGAATCAACACGAGCAATTTCGCATCCATCTGCGCAGTGCGCCCCAATCGACTATATTGTGTGACGATTATGACAAGGCATTTGTGTGTACAGCTTTACGAGCCTTTCTCCATGCTCATCAGCTGAAGGAATTATTCTTCGTGCCAAGATTATCTTCCAGACCCCTTCATTACCAAACACCTTTTCTCGATTTCCCACGAGGTATCGGTGCATGAAGATTGGGTTACATATTACAAAGGGAGACTCCAAGTGGGGTTTGCACCAAGGCCAGAGGCTAGGCGTCTAGATGGTCTAGGCCTTGCGGTCAGATTATTGACTCATTATTTCGAAGTTTCAAGTTATCACTTGAATACGTTTCTCAGGTTCTCTCCACAGTGCCCTGTAACTGTGATTAGCGGTGTGGAGGTAGGTAATGAACATGGAAAGCAAGGGAATTGCTTGGGGTTTCGAGTTGCATAGGCCTCAGATTCCAGCTTGATAGAGATATTGCAATAAAATTCCAAAGTGATCTATATTGCCCAGAGAAGTTGAGAATGGCCACTGTTCGTGGCTGTGCATACTGGGATGCGGCTATACATAGGTACATATAATTATAATAATAAGAACCTTGGCCAGTCCAGGTCAATCACCACAACAGGCAAATAGTGAATGATATAATGAATGATATAATGCACGTGCCGTACCTTTTGTGCCTCTACCGTATTCCCCTCGCTTACTGACTCTACCGAGGACTCGGACTAACCCAATATGGATGCAAGCGCCCGGCGAGGGTCTTCGTCTTCGTGCTCAGCTCCACGCCGCTACAAAACCAATAGTAATAAGAAAACCGGGCGAAAACGAAGTAAAAAAAAGAGCAGCTTCTTTCTTTCTTTCGTCCTCCAGACTTAACCGCTGGTCGCCTTTTGTGTTCTTTCCCCGTTCGCTGTAAGTCAAATGCTCCTCTCAGCCATTGAGACAGACAGAGCTCCACGACCTGGGTGCTGGCGGTGCCTTGTCTATCCATCTCCCTTCTGCGAGTGTTGAACACAGCAAGCTGACCTTCAACCTCCTTCTTCCAGACGAGTGAACTCTCCTTTGAGGCCAGCGGGACTGCAGGAGCTCTTCCTCTCGAACATCGATCTCCGCGTCTTCCAAGCCAGGGCTCGTTCACGAATCATCAGGCGACAAGGACCCCTCAGTCGCGATTATCCGCATTGATCAGTATCCTGGAATAAGTCGCCTCGAAACACCAGCTATTAATACTCTTTACCGGCCACCAACCGGCCAAGCGTGCAGGGCTCTTCTGTGGCTTGTCCCCGAGTGCATTGACGTGCAGCGAGGCCTTGGTTCTGAAAAGTTCTGTTTCAGGCTTCGCGTCTCTCGAAAAGTTGCCTTGACCAGCTCCCACTCTCTTCTTTTCCGACGCTACAATGCTCAACATGTCTGCCATCGGCAATCGGAATAGCACACCGGTCGAGTCGAGCAGCACCTCGTCCCTCCGCCCACCGTCTTCGCGTGCCGTGGGCTCTGGCCATCATCTTCGTGCCTCTGCAGACATGGCAGCGTTCTCTAGCTCGCCTTCATCCAGCCGGATTCGTCCTTCATCTGACTTCTACGGGACACAACAGGGTCAGGGGCAAAGTGTGCCGGAGAATGATGCCAATGACAAGATTGCCCAGCAATGGATAGCGGATATTGACCAGTATGAGACAACATTGGAGGAAATGGCTGCTGCGACTTTGGATCAGGATTTCAAGGATGAGTTGAGTGCAATCGAGCAGTGGTTCAGAGTTTTGAGTGAGGCAGAGCGGACCGCTGCTCTGTATGCTTTACTCCAGCAGACAACGCAGGTGCAGATCAGATTTTTTATCCAAGTACTTCAACAAATGGGAAAGAACCACCCTATGTCTGGCGTATTATCTCCTGCCAATTTTGACAAAGGTACGTTTGTTTATGAGAGGTTAAATTTCGTCCAACTAACCAACTTCTTCAAAGATCCCATGTCGAGTCGTCTCAGTGATGCTATGAACAAACTTAGCGTTGACGGTTCCAGAAACTCATTGACCCGGCCTCCAGCGACACCCTCGACGAAGAGGCATTCTGGACTTGATCCCTCCACAATTAACGCCATGTTTCCTGATGCTGCGGCTGCAATTGCAACTGAGAAGGCCAAGTTCACTCAGCAGACTGGAAACCCGCCGTCTTCCAACCGAAACAGCGCTGCATATGATCCACGCTCTTCACTTGCAGCACCAACCATATCTGGCCCCGGTGACGCTTCAGATAACAACAACCAACCTCCAGCCTCACCATGGGGATCCCGGAGTAACGACCAAGCTGCTCGGCCAAAGTCTTCTTCTGGACAGGCTCCCATGGGCCAATTTATGCAACCTCCCCCATCAGCGGGGCTTCGTTCACCACTTGGTCAGGGCTCGAATCTGCAGACCACCACTATTATAGCTCCCGATAATCAAGGCTCTGATTTGCCGCTACTTTCCCCTTACAATGCTGGAAATGGAAACTGGGCCTCCATGGTCAACACGCCAATGGTCCCGTCTTTCAACACTGCAAATAGTTCAACGCAGGCCGACATGGTTGCAAATGCTACAGCCATGAAGCTGGCTGCTCTTTCAACGGTCAACAATAGGTTCGCCTTAGACGACGTTCGTAAATATCGCCGTGCTAGGTCGAATGATGGTCATGGGTCCAACAGTCAGGCCCCACTTTCTCCCGGTTTGCCTGGAAACATACCAGGAGCTAATGTTGTAATGATCAACGAACATGGGCAGGTTTTGAGCAGAGAGCAGGTTTTAGCGATGCAGGCTCAACAGAACTCTGGCTTTGCAGGCCGAAGATCTCGGCCCAGCTCCCCAGGCTTAGCCATGCAAGGCTCTGGTTTTGGCCAGCTAGGGTTCACTTCTCCCCAGAACAACGGCTTTCTCACAGCATACGATGGGCCATCACAACTCCTCAACAACGGTCTTGGCACACTGAATCTAGCTCAGTTTGGGGTGGGAGGGCATGAAGGTTATCTGTCTGACCATAGTGAGATAGCGAGAGGTCGGTCACCACGTGGTAGGAGGGGTAGCTCGAAACCCCCAGAGGATCCTACGGATCCCAGTCTTCTTCAGGACATCCCCAGCTGGCTGAGAAGTCTAAGGCTCCACAAATATACAGACAACCTCAAAGACATGAACTGGACCGAGCTCGTCGAGCTAGATGAGAAGGCCTTGGAGGAGAGAGGTGTGAACGCTCTCGGGGCCCGGAGAAAGATGTTGAAGGTCTTTGAGCAGGTCAAAGGTAATTGTCTTATACATAGCACATGATTATATACATGAGCTAACGATCACTCCAGAAGCCAAGGCAGAAGGTAAACTCGCATGATCTCTGGCCCCTTGACACAGAACACTCTGTGTGTTGTTACAAAACAGCAATCAAAGTATGGTCAGAGCAGGAGTCTAGAAATTACTGTCATGGAAACTTGATGCTGTTACGTGTTGTAACGTCTCTATGCTGTTCGGCTATTGTATTTGTGCAAGGTGCACATGGTATTAAATGGCTCAGGATTTGTGTGTGACGCAACCACAAGCAAAGAAATGGGGAAATGGATAGTTTGTCTGGATATGTTCGCGAATGTCTTCTTGATCTGTGTTATATGTGAACTACTCTTAGTCTCGTAGCATCGTTGCATGCCAGGTATTGAGAAAGAATCTACAAAGTTTGGAAAGCCGTTACTGTATGTCATGTCTATCATCTCTTCTCTAAAAAATTGGAGGTCTATCTGTGGGATACGTGTCGCAGTGAGGGTGTCTTTTGAATGGAAAAGGGGCACTCGGGTTTCAGTAAATGGTGCTTTATATGCTGGTATTGGATGTCATTGCTCGACTACCTTGCCGAACTCTTCACGAACTATCATTACCTATTTGATCTCCTTGAGGACGAGTTTGAGTTCTGCAGCGACCGCATCCCCCATTTCAATAGTGGTCGCGGTACCACCGATATCTTTCGTCCTGACCCCATTCCCGATCGTCCTTCGGACAGCTTCCTCAACAGCCTTTGCCTCTGCAGGGAGGCCCAAAGAGTATTGGAGCATCATAGCCACTGAAAGAATTGTTCCGATGGGGTTTACGATTCCCTTACCAGAGATGTCCGGTGCAGAGCCTATCATCAAACTTTAGTGTCTCTCCATACAAGAGTTGAGTGGCTGCGGACTTACCGTGGATTGGCTCGTAGATACCATTGCATTTGCTCTTTCCGTCGGGAATCCCGCTAAGACTAGCACTGGGAAGCAAGCCGATGCTTCCTGGGATGACACTGGCCTCATCACTGATAATATCTCCAAAGAGATTGCTCGTAACCACCACACCGTTCAACGCTTTTGGTTTTTGCACCATCAACATAGAGGCACTGTCAATCAGGTGATGCCCGACCTTTAATTGCGGGAACTCCTTGGTAATAACCTCTGTAACCACCTTTCTCCACAGTCTCGATGTAGCCAGCACGTTTGCCTTGTCCAATGACCAGATGGGTAAGGGGGGGTTGTGCTGCAGAGCCAAGTGCGCCGCTAATCTGGTGATGCGCTCGATTTCAGCGCGCGAGTATGCCTCGGTGTCCCATGCGCTTCCATCTCCATCATCTTCCTTGCGCTCGCCAAAGTAGATGCCGCCCGTGAGCTCGCGAACAACGATAAAGTCGGTTCCACGGCAAACTTCCGCTTTCAGAGGGGAGTGCTCGATCAGAGCTTCCGAGGCGAAGTTGCAGGGTCGGAGGTTACCGTATGTGCCCATCTGTTTGCGGAGTGCGAGAATGCCTTGTTCGGGTCTGACCTTGCCTGTGCCCCATTTTGGCCCTCCAATGGCACCGAGAAGCACCGCATCTGCAGCTTTGGCAGCCTCGAGGGCTTTGGCGGTCAGAGGTTCACCGGTGGCATCGATCGAGGCCTGGTAGTTGTTGTCAGGTTGTGTGCACTTGGAGGGGAGAATGATAGTCGGTACTAACGCCACCTAAAAGATGTTCTTGGAAGTTGAACTTGCCAGCACTTGGCCGTTCTGCCTCGATCACTTTGAGAACCTAAAATCATCAGTCGGATTCGGGTATGCAGGTCTTAGAGCTTGCCGGGTCGATCGTACCTTCACAGCCTCTGCGACTACCTGTTGGTCTTTGTCAGTTAGGTTCCCACGATTGTGCCGAGCCGAACTTACCTCAGGACCACAGTGGTCGCCACCAAAGACTACGATGTTATGGGTTGCCATTTTGTTCTTTTGTTTAGCGGAATTGAGCGAGGTGAAGGTGTTAGTTGATGATGTTGGATTCGTTGAGTTCAGTTCAAGTTTGTGGAATTTTGAGCTGTCTCCTGCCCCGCACCCTTCCGTTACCGGACACCCCCACGAAGTGCCTCATATATCAGGATGGAATATGGGCACTCCTTACTCCGTGCACATCTATGCATGTATACATACACCCCACCCTACGTATATCTACACGTACGGTACACAGTGCCAATACACTCAGGATCTACACTTAAACGTGTCAGTGCCAATAGCCAGTACCCTCAACTCCATGTAGTATTGATATAGCATAATACATCCATTACCTCTGTCACGATGAGAAAGACTGCACTTCTTGTAGGATTTGAATCTGTTTTCGGGTTCATCTGTTTCTATCCACGTATTGCCCGTTGTTCCTTTCACTGCTATTGCTCGACCAAATAGAACGCTGTACAGTACGTCTGACAATTCTATCCGAGGGTATCAAAGAGACAAATGAGAATGATCAATACACTCAGTACTGAAGGAGGTGTTGATATACACGGGGAGTTGAGAGGTAGCGGGCATGTCAAATATCGTCGCTGGCCTTTTGAAGCTTTCGTATGAAGTTCCAGGGCGGACGAGGAAGTAGAGATGACTCCAATGATAGAATGCTTATTACGCGCTCCTCGGATGGTGTGGAGATGTGGAATTATCGGCCCGGCACTTCATCGCAAAGATTTGAATGATTTGTGAGCCAGCGGTGAGGACCCAGGATGAGCAGCGCCTCTGACCGTATCTCTGATTCGACCGCCCCGCACGTTTGGAGTCTGCGCGCAGAATGCACAGATATAAACAGGTGGAAGGCTGCGTTGGTCAATGTTCACGCATTGGCCATGGAGCCAATAATCGCAAGACTCACTACGGTACAACGTCAGTTAAATATCCATATCAGACAAGTTGGTTATATCGATGGTTCAAGTAGATTTACCATTGGATCATGAAGCCTTCGCTCTCAGCATTATTGCAGACACACCTGGTCGCACCGCTTCTCATGCTGGACGGCGTGGCTCCATCGGGGTCTGTGACAGTCGTTGGTGATAGGTTGGTTGAAGAGCCATAGTTGACGTATTGCATGCTGCTGGCTCGGGGTGTTGTACCAGTGGCATAATGATGATGGCGGGGGTTTCGATCTTTAATCTTCTTACGGCTTTCCATCACCTTCCGAAGCTCGTGCGTTGCATTGCCAGAGCCCTCGTCCTCTTCCACCACCGTCTCAGCTTCACTCTCGACTCCCTCGAGATGCATAGACCGTTGACTGGAGGATTCAGACCGGCTATAGACACTGCCAGTTGTGCTGTGCCTTCGAATATCGGTAGCATGGTTAGAAGTCTCGAACCTGGCAAGCCTTGGTCCTTTTGGTTGAGATGGAAGGTTGAATGAGGTGCTTCGACTTGGCAAAATAATCGGTTCTTCATCAGAAGATGATTCGTATTGCGAAGACTCCCACTCCTCGTTTCGTGAGAAAGATGACGGGCCTCTCCTGGGTCTAGGTGTCTCGCTGGCTACAACAGTCTCGGTCCTGGCCCTTCCCTTTGAGTCTATGGTGAAGACTACCTCCGTTCGAGGTTTTAGTACGGGTGACTCTGGTATAGAAGTGAGGCTGTCTAGACGCCGAAGCTTTAGGGGTGAAGACCGGCCAGTACGAGGAAGGATTCGGTCTTGAACACAAGTCAGTAGTCTGAGAGTGCGCTTCAGCTAGGGAATCACGTACCTTGACTTCTCCTTGCACGACTATCACTGACGCTCCGCTGCAAGATTGGGCGTGCATGGCTTCTGACAGGCGAGCTCACGGTTCCTCTTTCAAAGCGACGACCCGTGCTACTTTCGCGGGCACTGCGCGATCGGCGAAGCTCCTCTTGATCTCTTCTCGATTCCCGCAGCTGATGCTCATAAGGCTCTCGGGCAATATAGCTCGTGGCAGGACGCGTGGTGGGCAAAGAGACATCATCGAGTCCTGAAGTCATATGGGCTCGGCCGAACAAAAGACCTGGATCTACGCCTCCTTCCAATGTTGCAGCAGAGAATGGGTCACCGGAAACAGAGGGTTTGTCGGTGCTGGTAAAGTCAAAGTGAGATAGGGATGTTGGGAGATCGGTCTTTGGAGCGGGGGCTTTGGGGGCCAAGGGTCGTTGCCGCTTAAGAGGGGCGCTATGGTTTTGATTCGAAGGCGCGTTTACAACGTTTTGGGACATTTGATTATCTCTCCCCCAATCAAAGTCACTGGTTCGATGAGATCCGGTGTAATCCTCTGTTGAAAAGTCCAGATCCATGCCACTCATGTTGGTATCTGGGTCCCAGAATGACCTGCCATTGGAAAAGACAGGCGCAGTGGCAGGCGCCGACATAGGATAGCCGAACATATCAGCAGAGGTTGGAGGGAATGACAGAAGCCCAGGGGGATGTGTTGGCGTTCCGCAGTTATCATGTTGGCTATCATGAGAACCATTCTGCATTGTCTCCGTGGATATCTTCGGCGCAAGCTTTCTGGTCCCTTTGGATGCCGTCTGTGGAGGAGTAGCGGTCTGTCCACTGAATGCCTCCTCCAGACGTTTCCTCGGCTTTCTTGGTGTCACCTTCTTCGTGCTGTCATCGAAGCGGCCACTTTTGGTGGGGTATGCGGCAGGAGAAGGAGGCCGCCGATTCGAGGGTTCGTTGGGAGGAAGTGGTATACTCGGGTCTGGCGATAACTGAACATGAGTTGAAAGCTCAGCCGCAGCATCCCCTGCGCTGCTGGAAAGTCGTCTGTTCTGGGTATATGCAGACGGGATCTGTGGTGTTGCGGCGATGTCCACAAACGAGCGATGGTGGCCAGTGAGACGCCCGGGGGTTGTATCAAAGACAGAGTATTCCTCGGCAAAGGTTGGCGTCCAGCCGCTGCGGTTCTCAAAAGTCGTATTGTTCCTCGGCGTTTCAAGAAGTGTCGGGCTTGGGAAATGGGCAGATTTTGGGGTTTGGGTCGGTGTGGGTGGTTGAGCGTTTGGAGTCCCAAAGCTGTCAGCATATCGTTAGCCTTCAGGATCATCCATAGGAGATATATAGTTGCCGCTCTACCTGCACGACGGTTGCTCCCAACTCATAGCAAGGTCAACTTGCTAACGTATGGCAATAGCCACTGAGGAAATGGCCCTGCACAATGCTTGGCAGGCTTCTCTTCCAGAGGTCCTCTTCGACCCTACTTCTGCCCTTTATTTCCGTCGAATATTGCTGAGTCCTCCGCAGCCAGTGTGGCAGTGAAGCGCATACAGCTCCAAGCTTCGAATACAGGTCGTTTTTAGAGTGTCGAGGACCAGGCAGCGGTTCACCCAGTTCAATGTATGGAAGAGCAGGATCTAGGGGAACTGGCAAAACATGGAGTTAGTCTTTTGAATAGGTGAAGAGGGGAGCTGTCAATTCGACCCACCGGCAATATCAAGACCCTTCTTGACGATTATTGTCTCCGAGAGGGGTTCGAATCAAAAAATGAGGTCGTAAGCACGACGGGGATGTGCAAACAGAGCTGAGCCGTAGAGGCGGGGATGGATCTTACACAATCAGCCAGCCACTTGGGGTACAGGCTTCAGGGCGAACAGGAGGAGAGCGAAGCGGTAAAGGGTCTTCTGTCGTTGATGGCACACACAATCATCACATCATCATTATCATCATCATCATAAATAGCGAGGGTTGTTCTGAGGAGAGCGGAATAGATGAAGACGTAGGGGAGGGAGATAGGGGATAACGGACATGGAGAACCATTGGAGTATTATTCATTACTCCGTCCTGTCCTGTCCTGTACCAGGCGGAAGAAGGGCCAGGATCGTATGGACATTGTACAGTAGCTCGACGCAAGGCACACATGGAGGACCTGTCAAGTACCTCCCTAGGCAACTTGCTACTGTAGGTACAATCCGTTCTGTCGTGCGGAGACTGAGTAGCGCGGTAGGCAAAGGTTATAAGTCTTACATACGAGTAAGTCGAGCGCCCGAGCTAAATAGACTCTTAAACGGCCGAAGTATTAATCACGATTCAGACGGGGCCTCTATCTGTCCTCCGTTGTGTTTGATCTGGGTTTGTTTGTAGGTATTTCTTTTGATTTTGTCTTGTATTTGTCTTTATTCTATCTCGTTTCATCCGAGGTAAGGTACCTTACCTTATGTACTGCGCAGACTGGCCCGATTGGGTCACATCAGGATCTGATATTCCGAGAAAAAGCAACCAGCCTTGCGAGCGACTAGAATCAGAGTAGTCAGGTACAACTCAGGCACTTGAAAATTAGGCTGGAACTTAGGCAATTTACTAGCTCCTTAGGTAGGCAGTTTTTTCTTCTCGAGTACCCACCCAAGTAAATAAATATAAATACGTGTCTGTGTCCGGGCAGGCTGCTGTTCGTTGCCCATTCAACTCCATTATAGCTGTCTTGATATCGGGCGTCGAGCGCCGATAGCTGCACATCTTCCTCGCAATGGGATGCTGCCTTTGACAGACGGAAATGTCCAGTCACGCGGCAATATTACAAAGGATTCCCACGCAGACGGCATTCCAGGCTTCAGAACACGGCAGCTCTGTGTCGCGTTGAAAATCGTGACACGTCATCAGGTGATCCCCCGACCTTCTCCTTGCGGGAAAGGGGTCTGGGTCTCCTTCACATTCAATCTGTTCTGTTATGAAGCGCTCGGGCTCTTACCTATCATGAAGATATGCTCGCATTTCCCAATCGGGGCTTGTCATTTCGGTCATTAGAGCTGTCTACCAAACTACTATGGCGGGTATCTACCGACACTATCATATTCGTAATATACCACAGATGATTAAATCCTTGCCCTTCCGTAGATCAGCAAAAGCCACACTCCTGCTGGTTCATCAACCTCAAAGAATGGTCGCCGTCCAGGCACCCTGCGCCTGTATCACTTTACCGGTGAGACTATGTGATTCGTGCGTTGTAAGTGGGTTCGTCAGTCGTGGAGAAGCCGATAGTCAAATACAAGAGCAATTAAATCATCCCCGGAGGATTCTCCAAAGAGTTGATCGTTTGGCGCTGCTGGAAGACTCCGGGCGTCGGTGTACTCGACACCGAGTTGCTAGGGGTCATTTGCGGCGTCATTGGGGTATCCAGCTTGGGCTTTGCCGGGGGGAAAGCACCCGGCGCACGAGTATGGGAGGATTCCCGGCGACGTTTCGGGGCATCTTTAATCTTTGGGTGCGTATGGCACTGATAAGAGGGTCAGCTTTCATCTCGTCAAGTGGTTGAGAGTATAATCGCAAGTTACTTTGTATGCATGTCTGAACCAAGTGGTTCCTTTCTTCTTACTACTCACGAGAGCGACCCATTCGTTACAACTTCCGCACAGACCTTCCCAAACATCAGGATTACCGTCCATGCGCCGAGTTTCTTGAGGCTCTCGAAATGGGCTGCCTGTTGCAGCGCTGATACCGTGGGTAAAACTTTTGTCGTACCAGAAGGCGCTGTTCTTTAAGACAAGCCACCTTCCAGGCTTGCAGATCCCGCACCATCCCTCGCGCTTATTTCCATGGCCACGAACCCAACGGGGCGTGTAGAGGTCGCCATCGAAGCGAAGTTCTTGCTCATGCGGCATCAGATCGGGATCACTCGGATTCATATCCTCCGGCGGGGGTGGAGTCTGTTCCTCATGAAGAGATGCAAACAGGTCAGGCGGGTCGCTCAAATCAGTATATTGTGAAGGCAAGGTGAGAGAATCTGCATTGCTTTGCAAGATTCGAAAGAGACCGTTTGAAAGAAGTGGAGGTGGGGTGTCGAACTGGTGAGGCTCGCGGTAGTTGTGAGACGGAACAAGGAAGCTATTCCGGGAGAAGCCAGCGTGGTTTGCCATGAAAAACGGCTGCTGCTGCGTTTGTAAACTGTTGATGTTAAAAGAAAGTTGTTTGTTTGAGAGAGCTGGAGAATCCGAATATCGCTTCGATATTTTCGAGGTGTGGGAAGTGAGAGTATCATGCCCTTGGTGAAAAACAAAGGGCGCTGGCCGTCTATTTTGTGAAGGAGCATAAGACCCAGTCGACCATCTCTTACTCCGGCTGCTGTCCATACTGTACGGTGCTGAGCGCATGCTTGGCCGTGGCGAAGGAGAGGCTCGGCCTCGACTATGTGTGCGGACCAACTCAGAACGGTTTTGAGGGGTCATTCTCGGCGAGGCCACAGGTGACAATTGAGTCGATGACATAAGAGAATTCCGATTTGAAGTCGGTGGATAATCTGAACTAAGTGATGGTGCTTCTGATAATGTTGTGCAAAAGTCTTCATATGATGGCATGTCTGAGAGAGCACCTGTAGTCGACATCGTGAAAGAGGAGCCAGACATACGTCGCGAACTGCGCGATTGATCGAGACTAAGACGATCACTATCCATTGCGGATCCAGAGTATCCTATATCAAGGATTGGTATAGCTTCATCAGTAGTATATGCCTGGCCTATATTCAAGTCCGTATCCAGAGTTTGCAGGTCCAAGCCATCGTCGCAGGGCTTTAAAGGCCAATTATCTGTGCCTTCATTAGATGTTATTCTCGTCAAATTCTTTTATGAATGGACATTGGCTTACGTTCTCCAATAGATGAGGAAGAATACAAATCTTGTTGTACTTCATACATCTGGGGGAATCCCTCGCTGAGCAGTTGCATTGGCATGGTGGAAGAGTCCCATGCTGGTAAGGATGTATATTCTTCAGGCATGCAATAGGAGAATCCTGCGTCATGTATCGTTGCTGGCCGAGATCCTGGTACAGTATGAGGGGTTGGAGAAGACCACATCCCAAGTCCGACCTGTTCAGTCTTCGCTGATGACTCGGTTGGATTCATGGAGACGGCCGGCGCAAATGATCGAGGGGGGAAGTCTCTTCTAAACTTGCTATCTAGATTGAACGTGAAGGAGGGTGTGGATAGTCGATGATGGCTTAACTAGTGTGTAAGTTATGGTACTGTGGAAGAAAGTTGGAGGACGCCTCACAGTTGTGCCTGGTTGGAGTCCATGGTGATGTGTTGTCCACGTTATCGATTGTGAATCAAAGTCCCAACCTGTTAAGGCTGGGTGTATCGGGCGTCAGCCTTGATGGGCTTATGAAGACTTATGAAGGATTATGAAGAGGAAAGTGTTGGACAATGCATAGGCCAGGTAGCAAGAGTGAACCGGTTAAGTTGAAGGGTATAGGCTTTGTATAGCTCACCAGGCTTGATAAGATCGGTAAGTGTGCAACTCAAAATGTTATACTATCCTTCGGGTAAGTTTAAGGAGTGCGTAAATTTTTTGTGCCCCGCCCAGTTGAACCGAAACTGTATAGAGATGCCCTGTGATGAAGATGTAGTTACAGATTACTAGAATCGTATACCTGGGAGGGCGGAAATGAGTGTGATGAGTTGTTCTATGCAAAAAATAGAAACAAACTCTTTGGGTGATCGGCGCAGGCTGGAGTAGATGAGAGCCAGCTCCCAGTATATAGAGCAGAGAAAAGCGAAATGAGGAAAAGGGCTGCGAAAGAGTGACTGGCCGAATAAAGAAAGCAAGAAATGCGATTCGGACGACGCGAAAAAGGTAGAAGAGGGGCAGTGCAGAGACCCCAGAGGTATAAGAGAGGAAGACAATCGAGCCGACGGCCTGCAACTGCTCGATCGAGTCAACAGCCTTGTCTGGGGCTGTCATCTAAAGGCCCCTGCCAGGTTTTCCTGATACAAGCCAGACCCCTCAAAACTTGCGCCTTGACTCGTGGGGTCTGAAAGTCCGGTTGGCCGATTTGTATAGGCCCCCAAGGGTACCTTGATAGGCTGAAGTTCAGTGATCGGTGTCAAGACCGGATGGGCTGTCGGGAATCAGTCTCCTCGGTCCCTGAAGGTACTGTTCTTGGAACAGATACCAGCACTTTCATCCAGTAGTCCAGACGGGGGTGGCTTGTCATGTCTCATATCGACGCCACCATACTCAATTGATCATATCTGGGGTATGTCAGGCTAGGAAGAGCGGGCTGAGGGTGGATGCCATTATATGAAGCATCCGCCCGCCACAGTCTCGAACACCGGAGACGCCACAATTGTGTCGTGCCACTTAGCCAACGGACAACCTCAGCGGGGCCTTCCTGTAACGTCTGGAACTGACAGATGTCCACAAGCAGCCGGAGATCAATGGGGGCCAATCGGATCTGAGCACCTGTCTACTCGAGCCCCTCCAACAGCCAGCCTACCTGCTGTAGTCGCGGTCAAGGAGTCTGTGTGGCTATAAGATTCGGCTCTGTTTCGAGGATCTTCCCCACTGTCACCACCAGACTCCAGGGTCTGTCCCCGGACGTTGGGCATGTACAACACACTGGTACCGAGATATATCAGCCCTAATAATAAGAACGACGGGGGCCGCCGGGGTTCAAAGCGGCAGTGCGATCAGATTACCACGGAGCAGAGCACCGTCGATGAGGGGCCCGGCCTAGACTCTGGACAGAGCAGACGTGGCCTGACAGGCTGATCATGCTTGCAAGACGTGCTCGCAGTATCCGGTTATCTGCGAGTGATGGAGCGTTGATGTCGAGGGCCCACAGGAGGAAAGGTTTCATGGAGTGTGAGAGAGGACGTTGGGTTCTGCTGTCATTTGTAGAGCGCGACGGGGGGCTGCTTAGCGACGCGTTTGAGGATCTTGGTCTGAAACACGGACCGTCCCATCAGCGATAGGCGGCGCCTCGCTTACGGATTTCCCGAATCCCGACCCGGGTTCTGCCGGACTTTTGTCGGGATCGGATAAATGGGATACCGGTACTTGTCCTTGTCTCTGTACGCAGCGTACCTTACAGTGTAAAGCGTACCTCGTAGACTCTCAGGAACCGCACCCACAATGGATACAAGATGTTCGGATGGGCATACGCTGACGGCTTCTCACCCCTTTTGCAGCCCTGCGATCCTGCCGGGTGGTCCTACCGCACCAAACACGCCGGGTGAGGGGCACGCTTGGTGTGGCCGGCTGTGCCTGTCAAGTTTGCATGAAGTTCGCCGCTGAATATGGGAAGTGTCATCCTTGTTGGAGGGGGGTGGTACCTGTCAATAGCACCGCTCCTATGAGGATCCAGCGGCAATGGTGACATTTTGGACTGAAGTTAATCGGATACATGTCCACGCGTACAGACGCGTGCCGCTCGTCCTGCTATCTGATCCTGCTCAGGCTATCGCACCGATGACAGCCTCCATTCCCAGCCACGCTCCACCCCTCCTGGTATCTTATCGAAACTCATGATTTCTCCCGCAGCTCAACGATGAGATATTCAGCCGCAACACCAACACGATTCATGCGGAAACGAAACCTTATAATCCATCAGCAGAACGAAACATATTCTTCGCATAGAACTACAGAAACCACCCCAACGAAGTACGGAATCCATAGAGAATAAAGTTATTCCCAGCCTGGAGATTGCAGTTCCCCGGCGATCATTAAGGAGTACATAACAGGCAATGTTTCCGAATCAGGAGGAAACATTCATTCCTTACTAATTCTCCGCCAGATTTCAGCTTCTGTCTGTGAGAGTTTCTCCCCCGCTGCAGAAATCCACTGCTTGGCTGTATTCCATACGTCCTCAGTGTCAATACCACCAGTCTTCTCAGGACTATCTCCTAGGCCCGAAGAATTACTGGTCCCCTGTGCCCATCTCGGATCACTTGTGAAATCCGAGGCGTATTTGTTCTGCTGATAGCCGGGTGGATGCTCAAGGCTTCGTCGGGGAGCTCCATTCCAAGCAGTGGGTAGGTTAACAGGATACGCTGAAGAAGAGGTCGTCGCCATACTGCTCGATGAGGCAGGAGGCTGGGCGCCATATGCTGCGGTAGGAGGAGGAATAGACATTCGAGGAGGGTATGGTTGCTGTGGGGCTTGGGACTTTTCGGATGCTTTGGGAGGAGGGGGTATCTTCCTTGAGCTTGCTAACGGAGTAGGAACTGGGCCCGATTGAGGGGGAGGGGGTATGTCGAGATCGGTCTTGGCGGTAGAGGTAGGTTGTACAGGTGCATAATGCTGAGCGGCACTGGTTGGCGCGGGCACCGCAGCTGCACCTGGCTGTGCAGCTGGGTATGAAGAGGAGGATGCAGCAGTCGTCGTCGGTGGTGAGGCGTCTGAACGAGGAGGGCCTCGCTGAGTTTGCGGAGTAACGCCAGACGCCTTGGACGGGTTTATTGGATCTCGGGTGTCTAGAAGACGACAGTCAGAGAGTCGGTTTATCTTGATTAAGAATGATGTGGAGATAGTTCAGGATTTCAAGTAGCATGAGTTGCATTCATCCTCATGGATTGTGTCCGTAATATGGAATAATTAGAATAGTCACTCTTTGAATACACTTACAAACTGGAATGCCCGACATAATGATCAATATCAATGTTCTTTCTTTGTTGGATTCGAAGTTGACAGTCCAGTAGGTCGATATTGATTGTTGACTGGTGGTGTGGTCATGAAGAATGCCGTGCTCCCCAGGTACTGTATGTACTAAGGCAATTGTGAATCACGGTCCTCCGTGATGACCCTAAACCTTGTACTGTTATATCTATTGTGTTACTGCCGTCAAAACGCTTTATGGACGGTATTTTTCCTTTTCTGGGTGTGAAGAAGCCGAAACCCAAGGTCGGTGTAGGTAGGCATCTACGTCATACCCCGCAGGTACAATCACATGTTGGATAATCACGTGAGTATGATATCCTCCCTTCCCCCAAACGGTCAACAACATGCTGCATTCAGACAAGCCATTCTCAACTGGCAGTCCTTTGACTCGCCAAACGCATTCTTGCTATCATAGTGATTGATAATTAATAGAGGCTTGTGATCGATCCTGCCTTTGTTCACAAAAATAGCACACAAGGGGACGGCGAATAAGAATAAGAGCGAGTTCGCCATATTATTCTACAGGTTGTCTTTATATCGTCCAGGTATTTAAGCTCCTTGTGTGCCCCCCAAGGAGCGCATATCTAAGTCACCCAACATGTCGTTCCCAACACCAAAACTTTGTACCCATCACCCTCATAGCGCGGTGCCACAGGACATCATGGCTTGCAGCTTGGTCGCTTCCAGGGGAGAGGCGGACAAAACACATCTTACCAATCCCAGCTCCCCAGCAAAATATAACAGTCATTCTCTAACTGAGCAGAATCAGGCAACTCCCAACCTCCCAGCGCCGGCAGTGAAAATCACCACTAAGGATCGTTTCGCACCATTCATCATAATTCCCAAGCATGATTACTATAGCGAGCGATTTGCACTCGAAGAGCATGAGAGGCCGCTCATGTTCGCGGGAGATCACTACTCCGATATATTTGCGCTGGAGGAGCACGAAAGGCCAGCAAGGTATCCAAGAAATCGTTACTCCACTGAATCCGCACTCGGGAAGGATTGGCTTGAAGACGAAGCAAAAACAGACAACGATACCATCGTTGTCATACCCCCAGATGACGAGGCACCGGTCCAGAAATTTAGGGGACAAAAACGAAAACGAGCAAAGATAGCCCAGAAGAAACCAAGAATTGGAAAAGGGGCTATTTCTATATCCTCCGAAGGCGAGGAACCGGTAACAATTCGAAGAAGACGAGGGCCAGAGTCGGCAAAACCTGCCCAGGGGGTACGAAAAACCGCAAGAGAGGCTAATCAGTTATCCTCAGATGACGAGGGGCCGGTAGTCGTTCGTAGAGGACGAAAGCCAGGATCAACGAAAACTACCCAGAAGGTACGAAAATCCGAGAGCGAAGCTACTAGCACGTCCTCAGAAGACGTGGAACCGGTAACAGTTCAAAGAAGAAGACGAAAGCCAGACCCGGCAAAATCTGCACAGGGGGTACGAAGAGCCGTAAAAGAGGCTATTCAGTTATGCTCAGATGACGAGGGGCCGGTAGTGGTTCGTAGAGGGCGAAAGCCAGGATCAACAAAAACTACCCAGGAGGTACGAAAGTCTGAGAGCGAAACTACTAACACGTCCTCAGATGATGAAGAACCAGTAATGGTTCGCAAAGTGCGAAACCCCAAGTCGGCAAAGGCTATCCAGGAGGTTCGAAAGGCCGTAGAAAAGGAGGTTCGGAAGGCCATAGAAAGGGCTCTCCGGATATGCTCAGATGATGAGGCACCAGTGAAAGTTCGAAGGAGGCGAAAGTCAAAATCGCCGAATGCTAGCTCCAAGGAAATGGGAAATGCGAGGGAGGTCGTGCGTAGATCCACACGCAGTCGCGCGCAGGTCAACTACGTAGAGGAATATTGAAGACCCTTTAGGAGATAGAAGGCAATGAAAGTTCATTCCCCCTCAAGATTTTTGAACCACCATGTGATCTGGCCTGCTGAGAATCAATGCCCCATTATGGCAGAGCTTTATTAAACATCTTGAAAATCCGACACTACTGGGTAGGATCAGGATTTCTGTTTACGAGTCCGAACCTCGCGATAAATTCCAGCTCCGATACCCACGATGAATAGGATCCCATTGAAAATTGCCATCATGTAAAATGGGGCTCCACTATATAGCCGGAAAGTCAGCAATTATGTATTGAAAGAGAGATATGAAACATGATCCATGAGACGTGAAGCAACTTTACTCTCCAGACATGTCACCAGAGAAATGTATGCATCGGTGCTCAATGATCGGTTCGAAATACGCTTTCAAACTTTAGAAGTTCTTACCTCGATAAGCTGTCAAAAAGGTATCCTCCAAGCTTTGTTAGTAGCAAGATGGCTGCCCCCCCTGAAAGGCTGTAAACGCCAGCAATGGAACCTTTGAGATGGCTTCTGGAGGAGTGAGCTGTAGCTGGCGATCGAGATGCCACGAGCGGCGTCGTTTCAACAGAGTCAGCAGTAACGGAAGCCGAAGAGTGAGAATAATCAAGTTGAGAAGGAACGTCAGTGCCTCCACCACCACCACCAAGAACACCTTGGCCAAGGAGACCTAAGCTACACACAATGGCACCGATCTGGCTAATGCCTATAAGGACCACGATGAGAAAAACCGCTGGACTTCCTCCTCTGCCATTGATGTCCTTTGGTTCCGGGCTAGTAAGCATCGCAAAGGCTGTGTATCCAATGACTCCAAAGACACTAGCCACAAGAAGCGGTACATTAAATCTACGATAGCGATCCGAAAGGAATCCAAACAGCGGCGCACAGAGAAGGGCAGCAAGTTGCGAGACCCCTGTCAGTTCAGCAGCGAGAACGTACGCTGCCCTACACTCTTTCTTAAGCTCAGGAGATGGGTCATTGGGGGAGCCCTGGCAGAAGCCCTCGTGAATGAAATAGGAGTTGACGAAGAGCGGAATGAAGAGGGAGATCCCCACAGAAGAAGCTCGGGCTACAAAGCCTCCAAGATAGCCCAACCCAATCCGAGCATCTGTAAACCCAAGTACTGTAGAATCAAACAGAAGTCTCCAGTATGGTAGGAAAGGAGCTCGCACGACGTTTTCTTCCGAGTCATCTGACTGAGACGCGGTCTGATATCCTTGAGAGACCGGAGACTTTCCAAGGAGTAAGCGCCAGCCCTTTCCCTCTTCACCCTGCAGTCCACGGAGCCCAAGGAAACAGAAATAAGCAACTAGAAATGATATTCCACCAACAACATAAAAGCTGTCTGCTACGGCCTGACCCTGCGATACCCCATCAATACGGGAAAATTGTGTAGGCAGTGGAAGAAAAAGGCTCAGGGCTACTAAGGCCCCACAGCCGGTGAAAACGCCAACCAAGCCTGCCAGTCTCGGGGTACTTGATGAAGATTTCGTTGTAGATGGGTTATTATCGGTATGCGTGGCTTTCGGTCTGCCATTGTATGTTGCAGGAGTAATGGTAGCTTCGGAATCGAGAGATGGCGCAACGCTATTCTGTACACTTCCATCTATTGTCGAAGGTGTGTTTCCAATTGCTTGGTCTCCATAGTTGCCGGTCATTGAGGGGAGTATGGCTGTCACCATCGTGGCACTGGAACACAAGTCAGTCAATGGTCTCGGGTCTGCAGTGACAAAGTACTCACGTCGCTGCACCACCAATACTAAACAGCATTCTTGCCAGAAGAAGCTGCGGGTAAACATTTCGAGCCTGTACAAACAGAAGCAAGGCCGCTCCCACAATTGTATATCCTAGTACGCATACAATGCGTACACCAAGCCTGTCCGAAAGTATACCCCACAATGGACACGCGAACAGCGCAACCAACTCATCTGCGAAGCCGAGCGTTCCCACCAGATCCCCGACAGAGTCTTTCCGCCCTATTAAATCCGTAATGACAAATGATACGCTGCTGTTGAGGAAGACCAGGAAGGAGATGGAGAACAGACAAACGGCGAAGAGATACGTTCCGGCTTGAGCGGTTGTGGTGGCGGGCGCAAACGGGAGATATTTGGATACTGTAGACATTTCTGCGCCTTCGTTTCTGCTCTCTTGCCTGCTTGGCTGTCTCAATTGACTCTTGAAATCATGACTGTTGGTTTACATCTTATACCGTCGAGTTTCCGGGTGTCTATGACGATCTTGCTTACTAAGGATACTTGGGTAGGATGAGCCAGGATTATTGAAGCAAATCTCGCACGGATTTTTGTTTTTATAAACTTTGTCTGGGTTTGATGTGAAATAGAGAAGCATAAGCATCCAACTAAGATTAGGTGCTTTTTGGGTCAAAGCTGGGTTGACTTCCGTTTCATTGCTTTGTACCTCCCTATGTACCTTATCTGCAGTACGGTGCATATCTTATCTATTCCCCCCCACTCTTTTTTTCCCCCTCCCTCCTAACCCTTATATGGCGTCTCCTGATACGAGGCTCAGAGGCATTTTTCAAACCTCTTGGTTATTTAACTGAATATTCCCAGATAGGTAATCAACGGATAACCCAATCCTAGGTAGATAAGATATAAGTAACTGATACCTATATTATACACGGCATCTATTGGAATCAATGTCAGAGCTTCTACTCAGGGGTTGGCTTCACAGAGCCTATGAATACTTTCCCTTCTCGAGAGTTACAGTAATTATAACTTCTGATTACCCTACACTACATGCTAACCCCCCCAAAAAAGCCTATAACCAGCGATAGCTAGGAGTATTTTACATACAATACATTGTACCTAGGTATATCCAACTCAAGTGACATCAGCCTACAAAGTTAACGATTCGACCCTGAAGGCACCCTATCATCTGTTCACAACTTGCCAAGGAGTTCTTTTCCAGGTTCCGAATCTGTACCAATCTATGCCAAGAGAAACGTGTTAAGCCGTTTATAATTGGTGTCCGTATGTCACTGAAAGGGGAGTTCCCGTATTCTCCTAATCTGTTCTGAGGTCTTCCGAACAACATAGGTCGAGAATCTACGCAGATCCCAGGAGAGCCGTAGCTCTAGTAGTTGGCACCTTCGTTGTTGCTGTGGTGTTATAAGACACTTGTAGATGAGCGGATGTTGTTGAGTTTGATAGAGAAGGCATGATCGTTGAATTTTGGATAAAAGGGATGATTGTCGTGGGTGTTGAGGGAGGCCCTGTGAATGTTGATATCATGGGCGCGGCCATGGAGGTGTAGATTTCCCCTTCTCTGCTTTTCATGGTTATATCAGACGGAACCCTATTATAGCGTCAGTGTCATCTTTAGCCCAGTGCAAATGGATCTGTAGCAGAGACCAAAGAATTAGGACAATTCTAGCTTCTCGAATGCCCATAAGAGCTGTATGATGCCTTGCAAAGCAAAAAAAGGGGTGACTATACGTACGTAATCACCTCCGTCTCTGGTAAAGTTGTAGAGAGAGTAGGTGAGACATAGATAGTTGCTTCGGTCGTCGGAAGTTCCGAGGTAGGTACACTAGCATTCCAAGATGTAATTTGGATGGTACTAGTCAGGATTTCCCGAATGGTAATTGTTGATCGTGAGCCAAGAGTTATATAGAAAGCCTCGATATCCGTGATAGAATGTCGCAAGCTAGAAGTTTCATAGGACAATTCAATGCAAGTAGTCATTCTGGTAAGGGTACTGCTTGGAATTGTCAGCAGATAACCATTACAAGAACATACATGAAGTGCTCACTATTCTTGGATCCTGGATGGGATGTGGGAGCTAACAATCGAGGTAGTGGTGTACGTGTCGGTGCCAGTAATCACCTGTTGATATTAGGGTCTGAATTCATATATATCTGCTGACTTGAGCCTACCTGCCCAATAATTCCCATCGCTTGGGTGACGGGAGAGATCGTAGTGTACGTCTCACACGCTTCGCTTTCAACACTACTGGTCTGTAAGTAATGGATCACGAATATTTCCCTAGGAGAACAAGCGTATACTTACGAAGTGCATTGAGGAATTGCAACAGCAGCATGATATGTGGTTGGGACAGCTTCACATCATATTAGTAAAGCCGAGATTTACACTGAGTAAGAATCTACCAGTCTCAACCACAGAGATAGTCGTGTATATGCTTGGAGAAATGCTTCCAGATACCGTTCTGAAGAGTCGATTAGATCAGAAATCCCACGGTAGCATGCACCCCGAATATATAGATCCGGGGTGACAGAAATAATGACTTACAGAGTCTCCGTAACCGAGAAAGTGGTTGTATAAGTGACAAAAACCTGATGAGAATGATAAGCTTTTCTATCAGACCTCCATAGGCTGCGAATCCATACTTTAGTTGTGGAAGTAGGAAGGCCGGTCGGACCAGTTACGGTCAGGAACCCCCCTGGACCTGCGTGGTCGCCAACACAACTTGTTAGCGTGACTATTGAAGTAATCCAGGCCGTGAAGATCACGGCAGTCGCTAACTGAACATGTTGTTAGCTTTCTGTTGAAAGTGTGGTAGGTAGGTCACCGGGAAACTTACTTTGGTCTCGGCTGATGTAATAGGACAATACGTCGTGGTTGTATAAGTCGTCGAAGTTATTGTGCCTTTGGGGTTGTTCCAGCCAGGTGCGAGAGTTCGAGCAAGGGCCGACATGGTCAAGGCTAAAAGAGCGAAGACTGCCGTCATGCTGGAAGGTTGAGATCCGAGACAGATAGATGTCGAAAGATAGCGGTTGTTCAAAAAAATGCAAGAATAACAAAGATCCCAAGCAAAACGAGGGAGTTACTTATTTCCGGAGATTATTGGAGAGAGCTTACAAAAAGTTGACCTGCGTAAGGAGAGAAGGATGAAATCCGTTAAGCTCAAGCAGCCGGAAGAGAATATAGTATGATCACAAGGTCGTCACCCCACATCGTATGTAGTCCTACCTGTCATGTTGAATGTTCATGATGCAGAAAGACTCAAGGAAACAGTCATGTTTGTTCGAGGTTGCGCTTGGTCAGGCGGATGATTATTTTGACGTGACTACGCCGTACGAGTGTCAAAAAAACATCGTTTTGATAACATTTCCAGCTTTAGGATATAGTCAGAAGCCCCTAATAATATGAAAATCCTGCTTTCTTGTGGTCAGACCTAATTGGCGTCCCAGCTGGTCGTCTCTATATCTGGGGATATATTTCACGACCGAATGACAAAAAGAGATGAATTTGAGATCTCCGCCGCGATTCACCATTCTTTCCAGGCGAAAACGTACGATTTGTAAACGTGTCAACGCCGGGTCACCTTAGAGACGGCATAAATTGACAACTGCCCCATATCCAGGGAGAGTTAAGAGTTTAGGTACAGCACTAGAGGACCTATCCTTGTACATAAATTGTACATTTCATCCAGCGTACGTACAACACCGTCGCTTCCATATTCAGGAGCATTTCCGCTCGAAAGTAGCCACAACCCCCTCCCTTCAGGCAAGGTAAGCAAGGAAGCACCACAGTTAAGAAAATGAGAACGAGTCTCGCTCCCTCTGAAGCAGAAGTGCGGATCAAACATGTCGCGAGACTCCGCTTCTTTTGTAGCGACTCTTGCCACGCTCTGAAAGCTTTCCCCGGTACTCAACCCGTGAGCGGCTAGATGGCGGAAGCATCTTGCACTGATACTAGTCCGTGTAACGTGCCTGCCCCGTAGTAAGTGATAGCATCCTATCAATCGTCGTCCTCGTCCGACCCGCTATCCCAACCTTCTTCATACGCTTCGGCAATTTCACCTAGGGAATTGCTGAGAGCCTCGCGCTCGGCTATACCAATTGCTCTGCTTACAATGTGTTGCAAGTTTTTGACCCGTAGACTTACGGTAGTATCGGTCGATAGAGATGTATTTACTGAGACGGATGACGAGGAGGGGCTAGGTTGTGAGAATATGCGCGGAAAGCTGTCGAGCAGAGGAAACGGCAGGGGTATTCGTGACCTGTGGATGTCAATGGTGAGTAACACAAACAGCAAAGAACCTGTAAAAGCACGAGATCGCGAAGATTTTGATCGACTGATATAGGGAGAAAGAGACCAAATGGAGCTTACGTGTGTGTAATAGGAAGACCAGCCGCACGCCGCCGAGCGCGTTCATGGCCTTCATCTTCGCCATTGGCCACCTCGTCTTCGAGATCTCCATCAACACGGTAATTTTCTGCCTGACCGAATACGTGGATCTTTGTGATACCGCGTCGACGTCCACGGCTTTGGTCAGGTCCTTCGGTTGGGAAGAAGTCCATGTCAAACATAGTCAAATCTTCCTTATCTGCAGCATTTTCTTCATCCGAATACCGCTCCTGTGACGGGAGTCTCATGTCTCTACTTTGAGAGAGGACTTCCGACCCCCCTGATTGTTGGTGTCCATTAATGGCGGATTTCTGGTCTATGCTCATCCGGAGCTTCGCGGTAGTTTGCTTGCCATTGATATTCAAAGCATTTGCTAGTTGGTCTAGTGTCTGCAGTGCCGTATTCTGTCTTTTCAGTCGGGAAGGCAAGGTCATACTCTCCAACGCAGTGGATAGGAGTCCAGATACGTGCCACTGAGAGCGAGGATCGAGGGCGACGTAACTTGGCAATGTTGCTGATGGCATAGTCATAGGAATGAATAAGGACGCCTGTGTCGCAATTTCCGAGAACGATCTGGCCGTGTTCGATAGCCGCAAAAACCGCTTCTCCTAGAGAAATTCAGCACTGATCACAAAATCCCATACAACCAGGGAAATGACATACCCGTGGGGCTGTCTTTACATCGTCTTCAAGTCCCCAGACCCAGACTGCAGTTTTCCCATACTCATCTCTCAGTCTGTCCATATACCTAGCGGCGAACCCACCCCAAGCATCATCAATTCCTGCAAGCAATTGTATTCCTTGCATCTGGTCTGCTTCTTCAGCGAAGGGGCGCAAGTCACGATCCAACAAATCATGCTCTTTGTCCAAGGAGCTGAACAGATCTTCTCCAGCATCCCAATTTTCGAACGGCATGAGTGAAGAATTCAACTCATATTCGTTCAGCTGGATGATTGACTTTGGATGGAAGTATACTCTATTGAAGTCAGACCAATACCTTACTGACTCCGTTGTCAGCTCGGGAGGAGCGAGGCCTTCCTCGAGACTTTTCTGGTATGCATTTTGCTCAATCGCAGCCTGTCTCTGAACCACGGTCGGGCCATTCCTGGAAAGAACGTCAGCGGCTATGGTCTCAATACTGATACTTCACATATGCTTGCCATAATCCTTCCGGAACCACAGGTTCATCAATCTCATACAACGCATTGATCTTTCTCAAAGACCCGAATCCTCCCTTCAAATCGTAGATGAGGGTTCTTGGCGTGAAGGTCTCAGACCCATCAGCACCTATGCCCGGTCGAAAGTGGATGTCATGATCAACCAGCGACTCCTCGTCTGGAGAATACGTGAAATAAGATTCCTCGATAGGATTTTAGTTTGAGGCTTCAGGAACGTAACGTGAAGACTTCCTTACCTGAGTATTCCAGAAATGGGTAGCGAGGTAATTGCTCCTTTGCCCAAGCTGAAGCGTAATAATCTCATGCATGGCAGGAAAAAATGGGATGGTAAAGTGCAAACAGCTTATCTATTATGTCTAGATAGAGAGGGACTGGTCTAATATTGATCAGCCAATCGTTGTTCTCAAGCGTCAAGGACGGCAAAGTCTTCTGTATGCTACGGAGCCACTTCGTGCCTTGCTCTTGTTCTTGACGCGAATATAGAGGTACGTCGAAGTAAGTCGAAGGTTCAACTGTGGGTTGGTGTTGGGACAATAACCTCTCTACACTTGTCAAAACCTGTCTTGTCAGTCATTTGAAATCATCAAATCCAGCCTACGAATATATATGTCTCACGTGATACGTTGGGTGATGCACTGCCTAATACCTATTTAGACTAGCGTTGTCCCCCCCTATCAAGTGGGATTTCCCAGTAAAGACGTTTTCATCAGATCAAGAAAAGGGGCGTCCCTGTATACTCAGTATTTCGAGAAAGCTCTCCGCATTTTAAGATCAAACTATACCTCCACGATTCTTCAGACTTCACGGGCAAAAGCAATTCGTGAGTTCAAATCTTGTGGCTCAATCTGAAGTCCGAATGAAGAAGCCGAGCTCCTGCGGGCGAAGAGGGAAATGTAGAGAACCTGTTGTATTATATCACTTCTTTCCTCATGAGAGACAGACAGAAACTGTTGTATTGGCAATGGAACCTCAGAGAGAAGGATATCCTAAGGAACTCATAGCCCCTCTCAAACCCGCCCTGTTCCAGCCTTCCAGGCAGGCCATTTCAATACTTCCTCCAGACGAGCGAGTGAGTACCTAGTTCCCCCCTCCAACACAACAACAGACCTCCTCCACCCAGCCAGCCCACTCAATCCGAATCACTCCCATCAATCGTGCTCTGTTCCGCGACGTACCACTCCCCAGTTTCCCACTCCTCAGCCTCGGCCTCGAGTTTCCTCACCGCGTCCCGCAGCATGATCTCCTGGGCCGCAGTGAGAGGCTGGCCCGTCCTAGCTAGCTCGATGCACATCCGGAGCGCGAGCATGCCCTGCGTGACTCTCTGGGGGATGTCGATCGTCAGCTCGATCAGGTCGTCGATCCACATGTTGGCGAGCTGCTTCAGCTCGGCTCTGTTCTTCTCGTCGTTGCTCTCTTCTTCTTCTTCGTCACTCCTCCCCTCGTGCTTCACTTTGACCCCGCCTGGCTGCTGCTCTGGACTGGGCTCCATCTTGAATTCGGCTGGCTCCTCGCTCTTTGCAGACCATTGATCGAGGGTGGAAGAATCGTGAGACGCGCGCTCAGTCTTCGGGGACAGAGTGTGGGTTTCGCTCTTGATGGTTCCGTTGGGCAGGGATTCGACGGTATATTCAATGGTATCTGAGATTCCCGAGACTCCGTTGGGCATTGGAGATGGGGAGTGGGGACTGTTGGCGCTGGAGCTCAAGGAGGGGTCCGAGTGGATCTCCGCTTTGATGGGGGAGGATGCGTTAGACATCGTTCGTGGGTAGGTGATGGGGGAGGATGCTAGGTTGGACATCGTACGTGGGGAGGTGGTTGAGTGAGTGTCTGTCTTGTTGTTGTGTTCTTGCGGGTCAAGGAAGATGGGTGGTATAGATCTTAGGTAGGATTGAATATACGAAATACATGGAAAATCCAGATCGCTACTTATTGAACGGGTCGATATGTATTCACTTTCTTCAATTTGGGGCTCTAAACTCGAAGATGACGGTATATTTGGAATGTGTGCCTGTCAATGCCACCATGGGTCTGGAAGATTCCTGGTATTAGACACAATGATGGTATAAAGGCTTCAGCCACCCTTCGAGCTCCGGAGAAGACCCTGGATCCCACAATGGGTTATGTTGAGCTTGGCTCCTCCCTATCCACAGTCGTCGCTCCCCGGCTTTAAATACAGAACGCATAGCGGAGAATTGATTACGGGGTATCAATTGCTAGGACTCTTCCAGCAATCTGATACCTAGTGCCCTAGAGAATTTGTGCTCTGTTTCGGTAGCGTAGCTCCCTTGACAGACGCCTACAGACTACCGATCTCCTGAAAAACTTGATGGACCACGTCTGAGGTCACCTTGGCAATGTAATCGATATCATCCTTTGTAACGATGTATGAAGGGGCCAAGATTACGTGGTCGCCAGACACGCCGTCAACGGTTCCACCGCCAGGATAGAGTGTCATGTTATACAAAGGGGAGAGAGCGAGATCACTGACTCTCTGCGCAACGCCCAACTTCGGATCGAAAGGTTCCTTCGTCTTCTTATCTCGGACAAATTCAAGGCCCCAGAAAAGGCCCTTCCCACGGATGTCACCAACGTGAGGATGGTCCGCCAATAGTGACTTCAGGCGTTTCTCCAGGTATGCACCCTGAGTCGCAACATTTTGCATCAGATTTTCCTCTCGCAGGATTGTCTGAACCTCGAGCGCAGCGGCAGCTTGTACGGGCATACCCTGATATGTCTGCCCGTGGACAAATTGGCCACTGCCATCGGAGAGCCGATTCACCACCTTTTCTGATATCAAGACGGCCGCAATTGGCTGATACCCTCCACCCAAACCCTTTCCGATCGTCTGAAGATCTGGGGCGACACCCTCGCCTTGCCAGGCATGGAGGGTTCCCGTACGTCCCATGCCGCACATCACTTCATCAAGGATCAAAAGTGCGCCATACTTATGACAAACATCACGCATCACTCTCAAGTAGCCAGGGACATATGGAACACAACCCAGGGCGGCACCAACCACTGGTTCTGCAATGAATGCAATGACTGTTTCTGGGCCTAACTCCAGAAACTTCTCCTCAAGCTCGAGCGCTTTCCTGGCGACGAAGGATTCGTCTGTCTCGCCTTCTTTCCGCTGGCGGTATGCGTTGCAAGCTGGGATATGATGAACGTTCGGCATCAGAAACGGTAGGTATGGCGCCCTCCGTGCAACATGCCCAGAAATACCCAAGGCACCGATCGTATTTCCATGATAGGACCCTTCGCGCGCGATGAAATTCACCCGTGGAGTTTGCTTGTCATTCTCGTAGAAGTACTGTCGGGCAAGCTTTGCTGAAGCTTCCATTGCCTCGGAACCTGGGACAAGTTTGAGCCGGGTTCACATGATCATTGGAGTTTTTGCGAGGCATACCTGAACCGGTCAAATAGACTTTTGCCATCTTGCCGTCAGTTCCATTGATAAGTTCCTTGCATAAATCGTCAACTATCTCAGAGCCCCAGTAACTGGACGCAAGGTAAGGTATCCCAGTGGTCATTTGCTTGTGAACGGCATTTATGACTCTCTCGTTACCATGACCCAAACATGAAACTGCTGCTCCGGATGTAGTATCGAATATGGTCCGCCCATCCTTTGTGAAGAGGTGGTTGCCTTTTCCGGACACTACTACTGGGAAGTCTTTGTGCAGGTGCCGATCTAGGTGATATATGGTTCGTTTCTGACCGTCCTTGGTGATGGCTGGGGATTTGGAATCCGGTGGGTCTCTGGAACCCGGCTCTGTAACAGCAGATGGCGACATGGCGGAATGACTGGGAAATCAATCTGAGGGGAGCGGTAGAAAGAGGCTGGCAAGCAAAGGTGGTTTGTATATAAGCAACAAAGGACAACGCGTCAGGATAGATGTAGACTGGGAGGAGACTGGAAGTGCTTGTCTCTCTGTGAGAGGTGACAAAGAGGGAGGAAAGAGGATTAGGCTGGGCCTTAATATACTCGAGTCCAGTACGACGTATGGAACCGGACACTTGAGTCACTGTAGCCGTCGGGATCGGGACGAGGGGAGGAAGAATGAGAAGGGAACATGATACCTCATAAGGCGGGAAACTAGATCAATCCCGATGTGGGGAGAAGGAGGAAAGGGCAGGTTTGGGCATAGCCGCGTAATAGTAAAGCAGGGAGTACCCCTTAAGGCAGGAGGTAACTTTAGACTCTACTCCAGAGACTCCATACTACGGAAGAACAGCCCGGCGGAATCATATTCGGGACGGCAAGGGCCTAGCAGGCCCCTCGGGGACAACGGTTGACGCTAAACTTTTAGGCCTTATCGTGCTTTCCGGGTCTGAAGGCCGTTAGGTACCCGAAGGGCCCAACGACTTCGTACTAGGTAGGCTTAGGTACCTATGAGCCGAGCGAGGAGCCCGAAGGTGCTAAGTACTCGGTACCTCCGTAGCTACCTCCTTCCTCAGTCCGTCGTCCTTCGAGACTCATGCTGCCATGAACCTCGCACCGCAAAGGAACCAAGGGACCAAAGACTCACCAGCTGTCTCCGTAGCGACTAGAGACAGCGTTCCGTCCAAGAAAGGAGATGGTGCCTCCCCAAGGTAAGGATTCTCTCCTCTTTAGGGGCACCGGCAACCACCGCTCGAACCTCAAGTCGACTCGACTCTCGGCCCAGCTTGAACTCGTCAAGCAGCCTGCCCGCCGGCAGACAGATCATATAATCCTCCGTGCCTCCCTCCCGTCCCGGAAGCACTCGGCCTCTCGGCAGTAATTGGTTCCCTTGACCGTAGGCCTTGAAGTTCAACGGCCCTCTCAACGTCTCATCCACTGATCATATTCTCTTGGCTGATGTGGCGACACGAAACGAGACAGGACGATACCAATAACGACTTTGATCCAGCACTGTCTGTCAGAGCAAAGGAAGCCAAGGTATGTACCCACTTACCGACAGAGATGCCCTGTCGTATCGAGGCCAGAGCGGTCAGGTAGGTAGGTAGGAGAACAGCGTGTCGCAAAATGCTCAGCGTGACTACTGACTGACCCACGTCGGGAACGGCTTTCCCCGGTATTTTGGGTCTCCTGGGACAAGAGAGCAGAGATGTCATCTTGGGTGTGGTATGATCTGAGATCGATGCAGGCTGCCGAGGAGTCCTGGTCCTCCGTCAAGATCCCCTCGCCATTTCCATGCCATGCCCGGCAGTGGGACACTACATCGTCCCCAGAGCGGGTGCACCGTCCATCAAGCAGGACGAAGAGCGGCAGTCGAGAGGGGAGAGAGAGAGAGGGGTCGGTAAGCTATGGGGGCAGAGAGAAGGTCTGGCCTCTCGGATTCGAGGAACATGGCGCATCTGGCCGTCTCGTGGTGCGCGATGGATTCGACCACGCTTGGAAAGCTGTTACGAAGTGGCATCCCGCTGTTCTCATTTGACGTCGGTCGACAGGAGGAAGTAGTCTGGACATGTTAGTTGACCAGCTCGACTCCGATCCGCGGAAAAGGGGAGGATCGAGAGCGGCTGGTGGGCCTCGGCTGTGGGTGCGCAGTGCAGTGCAGTGCAGTTCGATTTAAGGTCGACTCCCTGCGTTCATCAGCTTCATCCCCAGGTCCAACGACATGGATTGTGACGCGAAGACTTGAACAACGACGACTGCTCCTCGATGCGCATCCTCGAGATCATCTACTGCCTCACCGACGGCAACTGCCCGGGAACTCCCTGATGCTGCAAATCACGCGCCCTCGACGGCAGCGTGCATAGATGCAGACCGGCCGTTGTAAGATCGCGGATAGGGCTTCACCGTCTTTACCGTTGAGTGATGCATCTTCATCCTCAGCTAGGATCCATATATCCGTCTTGAGATGACGACTGCTGTATAGTACCGTATAGTACAGACTGCGCAGTACCGCTTCGTCTCTTCTTGAAAGTATACGGTAGACTAACCATCTCCTGTCCCCCATCGGAAAGGATAACCTCTTTGAATGTACATTGTACCTAGGTGAGGTACCTATGCTTTACATGATATATCACATATCACATCTACATTAGACACGCAGTTCTTCAAGTACTGCACAATAATCAAGATAGAATCTGTTGTTATCAACCACCTCCGTCATGATTCATGAACCACGCGCCCGTTCGCCAACTAAATTCAGCCCCCTTGGCGCTCCCGAGGATCTGGCCCCACCATCAGCCGAGCATCTCGGCATGCCGACCCGACTCGCACGATCGGGCCGAGCGACGGGGCACGTGAGCGGTCCGAAAGTCGGGAAGCTCGCTTAGACGATCGAGAGAGGAAAGGAGCATGAAACGTCATCCAAGGCTTGATAGGCAAGATTGACACTTCGATAGCCACTAACTTTTCTACAGTCCAGAAAGAGGGGGGGCGCGGCGCGGGAATAATGAACCGGCTTCAGGGGGCGCTAGGGAATAAGGTAAGGTATGTCATTCTGATGAGTGATGATTGATGATTTGGACTGGACTTCAAGGCTTGTGGTCTCGGCGGTAAGAGATCCCTGACCAGGCGCGATCAGGGGGAAGGAGGATGGAGGTGGATGGATGGATGGTGACGCTGGGGCTTCTGACAAGGGATTGACTGTAGGTGTGAGTGTGAGTGGGCAGGGGAAAAAGGTGAAGAAGAAGCACTCGCATCGCATCGCATTGCATCTATCTCATGACAGAATCATGTCTTGGTGTGTTGGCGTGTTGGCGGGGGAAAGAATTCAGCCCACTACTCTCTCTTCATAATACTTGGATTTCCCGAGTGGCCATGGAGAAGGTAGATAGCCAAGATGATACACCGCGTACACGATTGTGATTGATCTCTTTTCTTTCGCCTTGAGACGAGAGGCCTGCAAGATCAGAGACGCTCTGTTCTGGGTTTTGCTGCGCTCACCCCCCCCTTTGATATAGATTTTGAATGGAGATCTTGGGAATCGTCAGGCTGCATTCTGCAGTAGATAAGGTAGAAGCCAGGGATATAAATTGTCGTGATTATCGAGATGGGGTGCATTATTGCGCTCTGCTCTGCTCTGCTAACACTCAGTCCCTCCCGTCGTTCAACATGCATTCGGTCTCGTAACAACCCAACCACACCACAATCTGGTAACTTTAACCCTCCCCAAAACGCCCCTCAATATCGAAATCCCCCATTGCGTGTCCGATACTCCAGCCCTGATAAGGGCAGTTCAATTGAATGAAGGGTATAAACCTCCCTCGCACATAATCGTAAACCCAGCCAAACGCCCATCTCGCACATTCACATGCCCAGGTATCTATCTTTCCATCCATGTCTTTCTTTCTTTCTTTCTTTCCATCTCCCTCCCTCCCTCCCTCCCTCCCTCATCCATTCATTTATCCACTCATACTCTCATCTTCCTTCAAAACAACCTCCTTCCTCCCCCCCGTCTCATCCAGCACCCTCCCAATATCCTCCCTCAGCTCCGGCAACGCCTTGCCCATCTCGCCCGCCAGCACGTCGCGGAAATCCGCAAACGCCGTCATCTTGCCCTTCATCAACTGATTGCCGCGCCGCGCCAGCTCCACGAATTCCCGCGTGTAGATGTCCGGGTTGCGTCCGTTGTCCACGTACTGGATCAGCTCGGGCGGGATGCTGGGCAGCGCCGCTGTTGGCGAGCTCGCTGTCGCGTGCACTCTTTGGAGTGATTTGTGCAGTTGCTTGCTATCACGGGGGAAAGAGGTTGGTTAGTTAGTTGGTTGCTTTGCTTGCTTGCTTGATGGGTTTTTTTTGGGAGCGGGGTCGGGGGAGGGAGGAAGAGTTACATGTTGGCTTCGAGTACGTCTCTGGTTGGTCGCCCTGCGAGATCGTAGGCTGAGACTTGGACCATGATCTGGTAGAGGTCTTGGATCACATCTTTGAGTTGGTCTTGGTGGTCTGTCAGTGGCGTCCTTTGGTTTGTGGGACTGCGATGCTTACTCTCGACGGCGGTCTGATCAGCTTGGCCTACAGGTGCCATGATTCCAATTGTGTTAGAGTTGAAGGAAACACAGGCGTGGTGGAAATCTGGTGGAAATCTGGTGTGAATTGCCTGATATGTACTGTAACTCAGGTAGGTAGTTTCACTTTGTATTGATACGGTGACCGGACTGGGCGTTTGCTTGCAGCCTTGGCTTTGTCAGCCTTGCCTTGCCTTGCTCCCCGCCGACTACATTCTTACTTTGGGATATCAGTTTTTCATTCTGGAATATTTCAAAACGGCTATTCCTCACAGAACAAACTCCTCAGTTCCTTTCTCAAGTCCTCCTTTGTCTGATTCAGATGATATTCTTCACTGCCCAGATGTACCCTCCTTTCGCTATAACCTATCTTTCCTGCGACTCCTTTAGCCGCCTGTGTCATGCTCTGTTTCTCGAGCGCCTGTCTCCTGATCCTTTCAATTACAGGCACAGCTGACCTAGCCATGTATCTCTGATATCTAGCACCAGAGCTTTCCTGCTGGTACCTATCCAAGTATTCAGAAGAGCATCCAGAAGACTTTGATACAGATGGCGCAGAGGGTTGATGTAGTGATGGGCTCATGATTGGAGGCGATTCATCTATAGAAGGGTCGGCTGCTTGCGATTCGGCACTCAATGAGTAATAGGAGTCTTGGACTATGTTGTGAATGTTAGGGTCTTGAGCCGGAATAGAGGGGAAATCCACGCTTCTGGATATTCGATTCATAGGAGTAGGAGAAGCCCCGGGATAAGAAACTCCTTGTCTTTGTGACAGGCAAACCTGAGGGCTTTCTGGAGGTGTCATGTATATGGACTCAGTAGTCTGAGATTGCCGTGCCCGGCGCCTGTTGTTCCCAAATACACGCTTTGTATGATACGGGTCAATTGGAATCTGTACCGCCGCAGGACGGTGTCTCGTGAAGTTCGGTATATTAGGAGATGGACATGCAGTTGATGGTCTTGATAGTGTGTTAGGAGTACACGATCCAGGCCCTGAACCTTTCTGCTGGTGCTCTCTTTCTCTCTCAACGTTCTTTGGGAGCAGCGACATCCATTTGGGGAAAAGTTTTGTCTTACTCGGTCTGAAAGCAGGGTCACCGATAGGATCGAGGTTTGAGTTGTAAATTTTGTGGGGTATATCCTTTGTCTCCCGACATTCGCACAGTTCCTCAATGCTGTGGTGATGAGCACCATCGCCCATACTTCCCTCTTCTGACATCCCAATTCGCGCAATGTTGTCGAGTGAGGAAGTCTGCGTACCAGAGCCTCTAGTCTCGACAGAGTTGTTCCACTATCACTTGTCAGCTACTTTGATTTTGGACGCACAGTGTTCCTAACTTGACCATTATGCGTAAAAGGCCCATCCTCAAACCCATCCAACCCATCATCCTCAGCCAGCCTCTCTATCCTATCCCGACTCAACCCCCCATCAAACCTCCTCAACCTTTCAAAGCCCCTCTCGAAAACCGTCCCCTCGCCCTCCCCTGCAGTCTGAATCCAACACACATGGCACAGCGGCACACTACTCAACTCCACCCCCTTACCCCTATCTTTCCTTCTATTACCTTCTTCCCCTGGCAGGTCTATCTTCATCCCACACATCAAGCACCCGAAACATCCTCGATGCCAAAAGCACCACCCTAGGCTCATTACTTCCTCACCGCGCATGATCCACTCACCGCACACCCAGCAGATACTCAGATCCAAGACTGCTTTCCAGCAGCGCCGACATGCGATGCGCGATGCCCCGAGCAGCTTCGGCGCGCTGTCCTGCGCCTGCCAGCAGAGCGTGCATACAAAACCAGGTTCTCGACGAAGGGAGGGACGGAAAAGGGGAACACGCATGTTGATTGGAAGAATAAGGCGGGGTAGGAGATAATGCTGCGTGGAGGCATCGGGGTTCTGTGGCACGGCAGGGGATGCCGTGGTGGACCGGGGAATCGGGGGGAAGGAAATCGGATGTGTATAGTGCTCAATGCTGCTCGATGCTCGATAGGAATGAAATAAATATTCACGAGACCGGAGTTTGAACTCTCAGCCTGGTGTGAGCTGAATATAATGGGTATGGCATGTTAGGAGGTAGGTATGCGTGAGGAGGCAACGGAGATGGGATTCGACAATGAACAAAAGAAGTCGATGGTCACGTGTCTCTAAAGTTTAAAAGGGGGGAAAGTACACAAATCGAAGTCTCATTTGTCTAGGAAAGTAGGTAAACTACCGGTTCACTGTCATCGGGTATCTGCCACAGATAGGTGTATCAGGAAGGAGCATTTCGCCAAAGTAGGTACTCAGACATGAAAGGAAAGAAAGAGCAACCATGAAAACTATCCATAAAAGGACAAGAAAGGAAAGGAAAAACGGTCCTATCATAGCAGTGCATGCGAGCCCCGTTGGGCAGGAAGCAGATATGAGTCTGAACGTGTAAGAAGTAGGTCAACGTCATCCGACCATTAACTCGTTGCATCCATAAAGTGACCATCCAGAACATAATGTACGCCCGGCCATCTCAACTCCAAATAATCAACCAAAGCGCAGTGAGTTCTCCAAATAGACAAACAGACGAGTAATTAGTAATGAATGTCAGTCATGTCACAGAAGTTGGCCGCCGTACCATCCAAATCCGGGTATGCTCACTTCCGCATCTTAGGCCGAGCCAACATGTTAAGGCGACTCAGGCTCAAGACAGGCTTCTTCTTTTCTGGACTTGGAATTCTTGATTTCGGGGCCATCTGTTCTGCTAGAAGCCGGGGGGCCATGAGCATTGGTCCTTCAGCCACGTTGGCCTTGTGCTTCTTAGGAGAACGATCGGCTCCCATCTCCTCATCATCGGAGTCAACACGACGGCGTTTCTTGTTGGGCATTCCATGAGGCACAGAAGGGAGAGTCTCGGTGTTTTCCTTATTACTATCCGGGTAGCTGCCGGGCATAGCTCCGGGGAAGATACTCGGGCGGACTTGTCGCACACTCGCTTGACCACGGGACGATCCAAATCCTTTCGGAGATGCACCGAAGCTGATAGTATGATCACTACGGAAAGTAAAGGTGCCAGGTACAGAAGGAGGAAGACGCGACCCGGACTTGACTTGACGAGGAGGCTCAGGGAGAGGACGAGGGTTAGGCGAAGAAGGTTCCTCCACATCGGAAGATTGTTTCTCTAGGTCCGGATGACCAGCAAGAGATGGATACTTGACCTCCCTAGCTTGTGATCGGGCTGCAGGATGAGGTGTACCAACGAAGTCTTTCTTTGAGGCAGAGCGAGGTATGGCTGATTTCACAGGAGAAGGGGAATTTGCTTCCATTGTGGCATGTCGGTTGACCGTATCAGGGGTGAAATTGACACGCTTGACACTCTTGGAGCGCTCAAGACCAGTTGGGGTCGTGGGAATGGAGGGAAGAGCTTTCTCGAGATTTGGCTTACTAGGGCTCCTAACTAAGGTCGGAATTGAAGACGGTGCGGTTGTATCCTTCTTGGAGCTGCTGGTGTATCTCAGGATGGATTTGACCCGATCCAATTTTCCAGGGCTATGCAAGAAACTCCTGGATGAGGATCGCGGAATGGTGTTTATGCTGCTGGCAGTTGCGGATTTTGTCAAACTTCGAGGCGTGCCGCTTAGATGAGCCTTCGACGGAGATCTGGACAAGGTGGGAATTTGCGTGCCAAGCTGCTTAATGCTTGCTGCTCGAGCCAGAGATGATTGAGTAGGAGTTGTGACAGATGAAACCATGTTTGACTGCGAGCGTGATATAGTCGGTGTGGATGGGAATGGCTTTCTTGAATGATCGTCGTCTCGAGAAACAGGCCTGGCAGAGGAAATATCGTCCGAGATATGTTTTCGAGCACGCTTCGCTGGAGCTGAGTTTTCCAGCCTCTCCGTGTGACTTGATTCCTCAAGACCCTGCTCAATGCTGACCTCCTCTCTATCGCCCAATTTTGCTTTGGATTGTGATCGCTTCAAGCTGCTAGTAGCTGGTGTCAAACGGCCCGGCTGAGCCCTGAACGAAGAGGCATGTCCCTCAATCGAGTCCATCTTCTTGAATTCTGCCATATGAACGTCGCTAAATCGACCAGCCTTGCCCTTCGGTTGAGCAATTCTTCGACCTCCAATTCCGTCCCCATTCTTGCGCTTCTCCTCCTCTCGTTCAGCTGCAAGTCTAGCCTTAATACGTAATGCCTCTTCCCGCAGTTCATCCATCATGCGCTGAGCCTCAGGTCCGAGTTGTGGGGCAGGACGAGCATAGCGAAAATCAAAGGAGGGAGACGAGATGCCAATCTTGCTAGGTGTCTGCTGCGTGAGTCCCGAAGGCTGATTACTTCCCTTTGGATTGATGTCGGTGAACCCGAGGCGTAGGCCGGAGTCGGGCTCCTGTGTAGTGCTCTGATGGGCCTTACTTGGATGCATTTCCTCCAAGGGTGGTTTGATACGACCTGCTGTGGCCGGTGTTCTCGGCGCTGAAGGTGAAGAGACGGTGGCATCGAGGTTTGATTGTGCCCCGTTGGTGGGAGTCTCATCGTGCTCGGTCAAGGGCTCAAGACGGTTCGGGGTAGAGTTAGCTGGCTATGCGAAGGGAGATGTCAGCAATAGGCTCTGCTGTGGATCTTTAGATAACAGCGAATATAGAGATATATATATACCTTTGCTGGAGTAGCAGTGCTCCCTCGAAGTCGAGCTGATCGACGACGAGGCGGCATGGTGAAGGCTGTGCTGTTCGAAGAGGCCGACTTGGCTATCGTATCTCAAGAGTATCGGCAGCCTGCCCTAGTAATTGCACGGCAAAGAGGTGATGGGGGAGATGCAGATAGCGGGGGACACTTGATAGAAACGGGGAGAGCTAGGCGTTGTTGACGTCGGTTGTTTACTTCGTGTTGTTGATGACTGAGGCATCACTCGCTTAGGGCCTGTACCTCGCCCTGATTTGCTTCAGCCTTGCGAGACACATCAGCTCTCCCTCCCTTCAGCTTGTACTTGTACGCCAACCAAACCAACGCACATCCATTGTTGATCCTCTACCTCACAGATGCTCAGGAAAGTACAAGTCTTCTCCTATACACTCTTTTGGAAAAGAGGAAAATAAAGAGGCGGAAAAATAAAGAGAAAAGAGTCCTGATGTTACCTATTACCGTCACCGGCGGTTCTCCCACGAGGGGTGAAACCTGAAGCCATGATTTTGACGTTGCCCGCTGCTGGATGATAAGATAGCAACTCATCTGGAGTATATGATATGTCCAGTTTTGAACAGACGGACAGGACAAAGTTTATGTTCCAAGTCCCCGCCTTCTGAAGCCAGAACTGACCTTTGTCTCCCTCAGCCCTGACAGCCCTGGCGGGTAGCCTTATACAGATTGGCGGAGTTCAGCACGGGGCAGGGAGGCTTTCTCAAAGGAGGCAGGGCCCCTGGAGGCTCCGCGGAGTTCGCAAAACTTAAGTTTTAGAGTTTTCTGCAGTGCGTGCTGCACCCCAGCCATAATGCCAGCACTGAGCATCCTAGGGCGTCCCACTAGACTCCTTCCAGCGAAACTTTCCAGGCGACGAGCAAGTATAAGGCCAATCGACGACGCCTGTGTGGACACGACACGACAGGATGTAGCGCCCAGCACGCAGCGCACCGCGGACAGCCAGTAGTGAGCACATAAGAAGGTCGGCAAGGAAGGACTCCTCACCTCATGTGATGAAGGATGATGCGAGAGGCGGGCCCGATCCAACGTACATCAGATGATCCGAGATTCAGCATTTCAGAACTAGAGCCCAGGTCCCAGACAGAGGCAGATCCCGAGGGGGTGCTGCATACAGGAGTATTGTGACACTACAGTCGACCACGGAGTACCGGAGTACCTGAGGGGGCTTTCAGTGCGGAGGATGAGCCCGTAGTTGGTTGATGTATGATATGGAGAGACGAAGGGGACATATTCTACTAGGTATGCATCATCATGATATCACCTGACACCAGCACAATTGTTGCCGTGTTGCTATTAAAAGACGTCTTCAAAGGCCGCAAAGAACATCTGCTTCGTATAAAAGGCCTCTTTAGAGATGAAAATTTTCCCTGCTCTGACGCAGTATGGGGCACGTCCGTGTATGAAGGCGGGGCACCCTGCGAAGCCGCAGTTGGTAAAGGGCTAGAAGCAATGGAAGCTTGGAAGCGTCGAAGCGTGGAAGGCTGGGAAGGATGGGTGCCTCAGGTAATGATAACTCTCTCAGCCGATTGGCAGAGCAGCCGAGATTGGGCGGGTAGCTGTCTAGCCGAGCGATGATCAGCAGTGGAGAACGGAGATGCGACGGAGCAGTGACGGAGGGCGGTAGGCCGGAAGGAGAAGGACGCGAGCCTCGGCCAATGCGCGAGGGCCGACGACGCTCTCCAGACGTCCCTTTTCTCTCTGGCCCTTCGACCCCTCTCCGAAGCACCGTCCCCCTCTTCTTTTCTTTTCTCTGCCCTTTCCAGCCTTGTCCTAGCCCGTCCTAGGCCCTGCCCGTCTAGGAGAATGCTGCCCCATCTGGTCTAGCATCTTGCCGCGGGCCCGACAGCTCATCGGCGCATCAGGAAAGGCGCTGCCGGCCCCCTCCGCGAGCCAGAGGTCTGGTCAAAAGGGTGTAAAAGGCTTTTCATGCCCAGCTGCCCGCCCAGGTTTTCATTAGGTACTCTTTTCCTCTCTCATTACCATACTCTTTCGCTCACCTCTCTGTCACATCGCCTCTATCAATAATCTGTCTTTCATCCATTATTCATTGCCACAGCCCTCCACTACTGCCCGCGACCTGTGCTGTATCTACACGCTATCGTTCTCCAGTGCCTGGCCACCCCTCCCCCCCGGCTTTCAGGGTCCCAGTGACACGCAGACGGGCCGCCTTCCCCCGTCAGACAGCGTCTAATCTGTCTGAAGAGCGCATCCAATTCGCCGCTGCCTCTGCCCGCCGCTCACCCAAACGATATCTTCCGTACGCTCGACGGGTACGGAATAGCAGCAGCTATCGGCCTTGCTGCTGAACCCATCTACAACGCTTCGACCAACCGGTGCTGCTGGTCGAGGCGCTCCTTCTGAGGCACGGCTGTCGCGGCGCTGGGGTTGTTTTGGTGGGGTAGCATTACTGCCCTCGAACCGAACATAATACACAGCTCCCCCCTGTTGGCAGACAATGGCCGACAACAACATGTCGATAGAGAAGAAAGAACCTGAGCGAGAAGGCTCGGATGACTCCATGGACTCGACCCCCGAGGCCGAGATGGCCGGAGCGCCCAAAGATACTGCTGGCCAACCCAAGAGGAAGGGTGGCCGCAAGCCGGTACGTTTCACCGCTACCTTGTGTTATGCGTGTTTGTTTGCTAATATTCTGCACCTTACAGATCTATGCGACATCTGAGGAACGTAAACAGCGCAATCGTCAGGCTCAAGCTGCGTTCAGAGAGCGCCGGACAGAATATATCAAGCAGCTGGAGGAGACCATCCGCGTTCATGAAACTAACCTTCATAACCTTCAGACGGCCCACCGGAGTGCCGCGGATGAGTGTCTGATGCTGCGATACAAGAATTCGCTCCTGGAAAGAATTCTGCTAGAAAAAGGTACCAGAAATACGAATCTACCACGTGAAGTATAATTGACTGACTCTATCGCCAAGGTATCGATGTCCAGGGAGAATTAAGAGCAAAAACAGGAAGCCCGCACCTCGGCCCAACACCCATGGCACAGAATATGGCACACGCGCCAACAGTCCAACGTGCTATCATGAACAGGCATCAGCAAGCCAGACGATCGAACTCCAATATCGCCCCAAAGCTCGAGCCGGGGATCCCACTTCAATCTCCGCAATTGCGGCCAACACCATCTTCTCACGCCTCTTCACCCACATCGAACTCACCAGGTTACAATAACCCCGGGGTGATGACTCCTCCCGCATCGGACTCCCAGATTCCACATCAGCAGCAACAGCGCCTTCACGCATCCAAGCCCCAACAAGCACACGGATTGCCCGGCAACCCCGGCTTATTAGGCAACGCTGGAGGGGCTGGAACCTCCGTAGGGCCTAAAGGCCGGGGAAGCGGCGGGACAGGGAGCGCAGGAAGCACTCCAGTGTCTACCACATATTACCCACCCTATCATCTTCAGAATCACATGGAGCAACTCGGCAAGTTAACCCGTCCCCTTTTTTTTCATTTCTTTGGAAGAGCTCTGTTCGTCCTAGGTTAATTCCGTGAGTACAGAACAGGAGTACGATGCCCAAGCCGATATGGTCGATGACCAAGACCCGTCTGAATCTGGCCCGGGCCCATATCCCGAGGCGTTCCCGAACTCACAACAGCAAATGAATCAGCAACAAGCGCTTAATCAGCATCACCAGCTTGGCCAACCAGGCCAAAATATGCAAATGGGTGGACACAGCAAGGGATACAACTCGATGACGCAACTTCTTGGTCCGTACGATCCGATGCTCGACCCTGAGTTCGATCCTTTCGGCCTCTCAGCTAGTATGCAGTTTCCGACGCAATTTTCCTTTGACACCAGCTCGATGAGATGAAAAACTTATTGATACCCCTGGGACAACGGTGCACTCTGAAAATAAGGGTAGGGTAGGGTAATTGAAGCCTATGGCGCAGGCAAATTACACGGCGTTGTTGGGATATTGGCTTTGGCGAGGAGGGAAGGTTTGGTACGCATTACAGCGCTTTGCAAAATACTTTGCTTTGGAGGATCATTGCCGATCTTCAAGCGGCTGTCTTTCTGGGGTTCGTCCACAAACCCATAAGGGGCACCCATTCAGACGTCCTCGCAAATATTGACAAGCCTCACATGACCAGGAATATTGCTCTTGCGACGTGCTCTTATTTATGTACTTATGTAGGCTGATATAGCAATGAAAGACAGCTTGCCAGAGCTGTATAATACTGGAATCGTCTGTCCGTTACACGAGTAAATGATACAGTGAAGGAAAGGACGTTGATATACAATGGCCAAAAGCCCCCCGGAAAGGCCTTGTATAGAAGCAGCGCCTCTCAATTCCATGATCATCAATCACTTTCCTGGGTGGCGTCCTCATTTGACCTAAAACGCTGCAAATGAATCTTGTCTCAAACCTTAAACCATATCTCAGCATCTCAGCTCGGCCGGGAAAGACAAGGTTTATTTATACGGCTCATTGAAATCCACGGTACCAAGCACCGCTCGTCAACCATGAAAAAGAAAAAATAGGGAATTCCAAAGAATCACGGAGGGACAAACTGTGAATTATCCATCTTCTATCTGTAATACGTTTCGCGCCCCCCAGGGTGCCGTACTGCTATTCTATGCAATGAATCTATGGGATACTTTCATGATTTCATTGATTTTCCACAAGTGGGATTACCCACACAATAGCTAATATTCGGTCGGTATGGCAAAAATTCAGCCCTGCTCAGAACTCGACCGCGATCGCGAGATCTGCCGCGATCTTTGCCCCTTCAAAGCTCTGCAATTGAGAGCGGCGAGATGATGGGCGATTTCCACTATCGATTTTTTCATTTCCTGAACCCTGAATGCTGGAGCAGAAGACCTTGGGGTTGCAGCCCTGGCGTGCGTTGGGCGAGCAAGCTCTCGGCTAGCTAGTCTACGCGAGTCAATGGTTGAAGCTGATTCTTCCGGACCTCAGCTTTCGAACAGGTTCGCCCAACGATCCCAAAGAAACCTCACCGGTACCACCGATTCCTTTCGAGAGACAGCTTCCTCGCACGCAGGAACCTGTCCATCTCGAATTCTCCAATTCCCCAATTCTCGAATTGTTCTCTCGATAGCTAGGCCTTCTTCGGAGGCGCTTGAACAGGCAGGCAAAATGTCAGCCGTCGCCTCGAAGGTATGTCTCTCTCTTTCTCTCCCTCTCTTCTCTCTGCATCTTCGCGGGGACAGATATCGCGATATCAATGCGCACGCATCTTTTCAATCTCTGTTCATTGATGGCAGAGGTACCGAGGCTGACAAATTGCGATGCAGAACCTTTTCGAGCTTCTCGGTATGATGAGGTCAACAAGAAGTCAACAAAACAGGACACGCGACTGACGCGAAACATAGGAAACACTCACGATGAAGACTCCGACAAGGAACCTGAGCCCCCTGTCAAGGTCGTTGACAAGACTCCTGCCCGGACGACCAAGCGCAATGCTCCTGCAGAGGCGCCTGCTTCCAAGGCCCCAGTAACTGATGGCCGAGGCGCTCGCCGCCCTGGTGGCAATGAGGGAGGTTAGTAAGCCGGCCAATTCATGGCTCACCTTCATCATTGATGATCACTTGTTAGATCTTGATTGCAACCGTGCTAACTTCTTTGTTCAGCTTTCCGTGACCGCAACGCTGGCAGCGCAAACAACCGAGGAAAGCCAACTGATGATGGTGCGCAAGAGCGAAGACCCCGCGGAACCTATGAGGGCCGTGGAGGACGTCGCCAGTTCGACCGACATAGCCGTACTGTTGGCGGGTAAGACCACTATCCATGTCAATATCAGAAAGAACTCTTTTCTGACAAGCACAGTGACTCCGAGAAGCAGGCTAGCCACGGCTGGGGCGCGACCGAAGGTAACGCTGAACTGGCCGACGAGGAGGCTGGCGAGGCTATCGCCAAGACCGAACAGAAGGAAGCTCTGACCGGTGAAGCTGCCGATGGCGAGGCGGCCGAGCCAGAGGATCACAGCATCTCCTACGCTGATTACCTTGCTCAGCTCGCTGAGAAGAAGCTCCAGCTTGGTACCGGTATCCCCGAGGCCCGCAAGCCAAACGAGGGCAGCAAGCAAGACAAGAAGTGGGCAAACGCCAAGCCTATTGTCAAGGATGAGGAAGAAGACTTCGTTGCTGGGTCCGGCGGAAAGGCCAAGCGTGAGCGTGAGCGTAAGCAGAAGCAGATCCTTGAGATTGACCAACGCTTCGTCGAAGCCCCTGAGCGTGGCGGACGTGGCGGTTTCCGTGGCCGCGGTGGCCGTGGAGATGGAGCTCCCCGAGGCGGCAGAGGCGAGGGATTCCGTGGAGGACGTGGAGATGGTTCCCGAGGCGGACGTGGCCGTGGCGATGGTCCCCACAGAGGCGGACCCCGTGGACCACGAGGCAACGCTGCCCCCATCAACACCAACGACCCCTCTGCCTTCCCCAGCCTGGGAGCAGCGTAGACGCCTAGTCTAAAACGCGAATCCGATCTTCGTACGGTGTGAATCTTTTTGACGACATCACGACAGATCGACGAAAAATTGAGTGTAGTGGGTAGAATCTTTGAAAAAAAAATGGAGGGTCACAGTATACGGGTTGAGTCTGCAGTCTATTAATGGAGCGTCGATTTTCTCGCAAAAGCATGTGAACGTCCACTACTTGTTTTCCCTCAGTCCGAGAGCTTGCATCGGTCCTTCAGGGTATGGAGTTTCGACTTGGGCGCCTCTGCTTTGGGTCGGATCTCGCATTGCTTGTAATGGTAGATACAAAAAACAACTTCTTCAGATTAAAAAAAACTAGTCCGGTCTGGTGATCACATGTGTCTTTGTGTTTGTCTATCTGTTTGCTGTTTCTTTTTGTCTGTCTGAGCCTGTAGTTGGGTTTCCTTTACTTACCTTATTTACCTAGTTTGATACAAAGAACAAGAGTGAACAACAGCACATGATTGATATACGTGTGTGGCCTTTATTCCATTCTTTATTAGACCCCTCCTTCCCTCCCCCTTTTCTATTTTGCCCGACCTTTTTGCCTGACTTACTTACTTTACGCATCCCTAAATCGTCACAACGCAGATGTTTGCTTAGGTAGGGGCTTACTTGGCTTATCATCATCTATCTTAGACTATGGTAAGATTGGTCTATAGGACATGTCTGTCGTCTATATCTCTCTCTTTCTTTTAGTCTGATCTAGATACTATTTCTTCTTGTTTCTTGTTTCTTCTTTCTTGTTGTTTTTCGTCCTTATTCTTATTTTTTATTCCTCTCCTCCCCCGCCAACACCCGCTTCTCCATCTCCTCAAAAGCGCCCAGCACATCTCCATACCTCCCCCACACCTCCTCCCTATACCCCTGATCCACCTTCCCTACGGCCTCGCTCTCCCGCCACCGCGCCCCGATCAGCTCCTCGAACGTCTCGTCTGGTCGCCGCTCCATCGCCCACACCGCTTTATAGGCCCCGCCTAGCGCGCAAGCGTTCCCGCCCACGTCCAGCCGCCACACGCCCTCCGCCCCGCCCAGCACGTCGCCCACGACCCGCGCGATGGCCGGGTTCAGCGAGCCCCCACCTACGAGGTAGATGCGGCGCGGCTGCGGCGGCAGCGAGGCCGATGGCGGGTTCACCAGCTTCTGGGAGCGCAGTCGGAGAGAGAGGATCTGCGACTCGACGATGGCGCGGGCGTCGGCCGCGGCGTCCCAGGCCGTTGCGGTTTCCTGGAGGTCGGAGCCGTCGCTGGAGCACGTGTAGCGCCATGTGCCGGCGCGCACGTTCGGGACGATCTCCGGGAGGGGGAAGTAGAGACCCAGTTTGGCGGGGTCGGAGGAGCTGTGCTGGCCGAGGGGCGGCGTGGACAGTGTGCGGGAGTTGAAGGTGCTCCAGGTGTCGGAGGTGGGGGGGTCGGGCTTGGGAAGGGCGTCACGGATACGCTCGCGGGCGAGCCCACCGTTCTTGTAGCAGAGCATGAACATGTAGAGGCCGGGAGTGGTGGGGTGGTTGAAGAAGTGATATGCGGGGTCGGGGACGTATCTCGGGGTCGACATGAGGAATGTGGTGGACGTTCCGAGAGAGACGATGGCGTCAAGTGGGCGGAGAGGCAAAGCAAGAATCGTAGAGGGGTTGTCTCCAGTGAAAGGGGCAATGCCGCAGTCCTCGTGGAAGCCGTACCGCTGCACGAAGTACTTGGAAATGGGACCCATGCTCCCTCCCCCGTCTTCTCGAACGCTTCCTAGCTTCTGCTTCAACGAGTCGAGGCCATCTTCCCCCGCAGCAAGTTCGAGGAGCGGCTCGCTCCACGTCCCGGCTTTGATATCCCAGAGATTCATACCGCAGACATCGCTGATATCAAAGGGGGCTATACGGCCAAGGAAGATGGAGGCTAGGAAGGAGGAAACGAGGGTGATGCGTGAGGTAGCACGGTAGACCTCCGGGCGTTTCTTATGGAAACGCATGATCTGCGGCCCTGTAAAACGCTGGGAGGCCATATCAGTACTCTAGAGGCTCCCGCATACCACGAAATTTGTGCACACTCACATGATGAGCCTTGCTACCCGTAACGCTTGCCAACTCCTCCTGCCCGCCCAGTGCAGCGTCGAAGCTATCACACTCATTCTGCGTACTGGCGTCCTGCCAATTGGGACTGTACGGGTGGGCAAACGCGTCCTTCAGCTGGCCAACCAAGGTCTCTTCCGGCTTCAGGGCACCGAGCAATTCCTCCCCAGTCCTGCTCCAGTAAACGCTGCCGTGCTGCTGACCGGCGCCGGAAACGCCCTTGATCCTCTCAAACGGTGTCCCCTTCTCTCTCAATCGCTGGAGCACCAAGTCCACGGCTTCTAACCACATAGCGACTGGAGCGTAGACCTCCCGCTCCGCCTCGTTAATAAAGACGCCCTTTTTGATCCCATACTTGGCCAGATCAGCGTCAAAATCAACCTTGGCCTCGTATAGAACCTTTAAACTGGATGCTATAACGATTGCTTTGCCGGGAGTTAGTTGTGCTGCGAGAATGCCTCATAGGGAGCAGGGGGTTCCACACCTTTCAGCTGTTGCGTGGAGAGGTCGAAGCCCAGATAGAGGGGTCCATCGTTGGTCGACATATTGGCAAGGGGTGCTGTTGCTTCAGGGGAGGAGGAGAACCTTCTCTCGCGCTCAGCCCGACTTTATGTATTGAGACATCGTCTCTTCCAGCAAAAGAGAAAGCCATGGCGGGGTTGAGCTTACTCGGCGTATGTCACCAAGCAGGGGTAGCTCTTAGCATGAATTGTTAGGCCAACTGCGTATTTATCCTGTATTTAACCGGTTATCAGATTTGCCAAAAGTAACGTCAACGCCCCCACTTGTGGCTGTCCTTCCATGCGCACCAATTGTTTTGCATCACACGAGCTTCATAAAAGACTAGATAGGAATTCCTGTATTGAATACAATGAATTATTTCTACAGCTCCTGTTCTTTGTGGTGACCCTTTGAACGCCCTATTGACTCTACAAATCTTTCCAGACACGGGAGGTATTCTTTCCTGCCTCCTCTGTAACGCCAGCGTCGCAGCAGACATTGCGACGTCGTGAACTCCTCGATGCTTCCTATGCTAACCGCCTCTGGAGCTTTTTATAGATTTTTCTTCCCATTTCCATTCCCATTTGATAGCCCGTGGTTGTGATCGTGATCGTGACTATGACTATGACCATGAAGATGACCATGATCGTGGTCGTGGTCGTGGTCGTGGTCATGGTCATGGTTATTGTCATGCTCTGGCTCTGGGTCTGCCCGTGCAGTCACCTCGCCACTAATGAACTCGTCAAACAAAGATGTTGACGGTTCATCTTTTGGTACGAATCGAATCTTGACTCTTCGTACCCCTCGTACTTTTGTACCCACCATCCCTCTAACAGTATCCTCAACCTCTCTCACGTCCTCTACTGTCCAGGATTTTGGGACAGCAAGTAGCAGATCCACAAGATAGTTCTGTCCAGATTTGACACCTTCGACCTCGCGCAATTCCACTTCCGAGCCAGTGCTCAAGTTAGCCAAACTTTTCTTGGCCGCCTTGGTAACAGACGCCTTGATCTCAGCGTCAATTCCTTTGTCTGCCAACTCATACAGTGCAGATACAGTGTTACCCCAACCAGCCTTAATCACCAGGAGAGATATCAGGAAGCCACCAACGGGGTCTAGCCATGCTGCATCATGTAGGAAATTTGCCCCGAGAATTGCAAAGAGAGTGACAATACCGGTAAGAGAATCGACCCGGTGGTGGATTGCGTTTGAAGCTAGGACTGAAGATTTCCGTTCTTTGGCTACTTTCATTGCTGAAAAACGTCACGTTAGAATCTGGACAAGGAAGAGCTGAGAGAATAGCTTACTTGCTTGGTACAGCCATTCTTTTAGGATCACTGTTCCTGCAGCTAACCATGCTGCGTGGAGACTGGGACCAACTGCGGCATGGATATGGCTATGGCCGTGTGCGTGTATTGCTGCCTCTGCAGCAGCATGGGCATCAAGGAAGAAATGAGCGTATAGGATCTCGCAACTATTCATGCACATGAAGCACCCTCCGAACAATAGCATACCACTCACTCCTAACGAACCAAGACTCTCTACTTTCCCAAAACCAGTAGGGAATAGAGCAGTCGGTGGCCTTAAGCTCCACGACACAGTTGCCAATGTCAGAATATCACTTGCCAGGTCTGTCAAGCTATGCCACGCGTCGGCAATCATGGACTGGGAATTGAAAAGGTACCCCCCTACCCCTTTCGCAAGAGCCATGCCCAGATTGGAGTAGAGGCCAATCCGAGTTATCCGCACACCGGCATCATTCTTGTTGGAGGACGTGAGGTAGGCCGTGTCGTGGTGATGGTGGTGCGAGTGGCCCATATGGGTGCGGGTCTGTGTCTGGGCCAGAGACGCCATTGCGGGATGCCCGGGGTGATGAAGGGAATTCGTAAGAGATTGTAAACGGGGAAAAGAGCGTGATCGTAACCGTGAGGCAATGCAGGACGTGGTAAGGGAAGCCGCCGTGGAGGAGTCCAATGCTGCTGCTGTCTGGAGGACGCGGAGTTGTTGTGAGCAATCTGTTCTCCTCAGGCCCGTCCGCATGCCCGCTGTAAGCATTAAGCGCGCCGCCCCATTTCTCGACATCCGCAGAGGCATCAAGGTGATCTTCCGGCCGAAAGATCCGTCACAGGAGTCAACCTGCCAGCGGGAAGGGCGTTGATGCGCATCAATCAAGAAGTCCGCGGTACGAACAACAACAAATGGCTATGGAGAGCGCGGGGAGGCGGGTATGGGGGGGGAAGAGTTGCGATTCTGAAGCGGATATAAGATATAAGAATGGGCTTTGGGCGGATCACGCCGCTATTACTAAGGTGCCCGGCGGCAATCAGGCCACCGCGGCAAGCAGCCCGGTGGTTCATCGTTCGATGATAATAGCGGTGTTGCCAGGTATCTCGCTCATCTCGCTCAGCTCGGCCAATCGTGCCGCCATTGAATCCAATCCTTGCTATAGCTATAGCTTCTACGGTTATAGCATCGAGCACTTCGGTGCCAGAATGCCTTCTCAATGCAAAAACCTCTCCTGAGAATCCCCTATACGGGCCCCTTGCCGCCGCCGACCATCATCCCGCGCAATGCCAATACCCTGATCGGTGCAATCGCTGCTCTCTCCAATTTCCTCACGGCCCCGCCCTCTCCGTCCTTGCGCGATTCGGCCGGGGATCCTCACTCGACGGTCGTGTTATCCGGGGCTGGCATATCAGTGGCATCGGGATTGGCAGATTACAGAGGCACGAATGGGACATATAGGCAAAACAAGTCGTATCGACCGATATACTACCATGAGTTCCTGGCCAACCATGAGGCGCGGAAGAGGTATTGGGCCCGAAGTTTTCTGGGCTGGCCAACTCTACACAAGGCTAAGCCGAACCAAACACATTTCGCTATCAAAAGTCTCGGTGAGCTGGGACTTGTGCGCAGCGTCGTTACGCAAAACGTCGATTCTTTCCATTCTATCGCTCATCCGGAAATTCCAACCCTTGAACTTCACGGATACCTTCGCGCCTTGAGGTGTGTGACTTGTCACAATGACCTGCCTCGAGAGTCATTCCAAGATGCTCTCGCGAGACTGAACCCCGCCTGGGCTGCTTTCCTAGCTGAGGCAATTGAGGCGGGCGCCCTGGACACAGAGAATCCGGACGAGAGACGAGCAAAGGGCATGAAAATGAACCCGGACGGAGACGTTGATCTTCCGGACGCCCCCTACACGACATTTAGATACCCGGCTTGTCCTCATTGCTTGGCCAATCCACCCATAGCAGCCGATGGCACGCGGACGAAAGTTGAGGTTGACCATGAAGGGGCCTGGAAACCTACCAGCACAGCAGGTGTCCTGAAGCCTGCAGTAGTTATGTTTGGAGAGAGCATAGCGAGTAGCGTTAAGGAAGCCGCTGAGCAGGCAATCGACGGATCAGGGAGATTGCTGGTGCTAGGAACCTCTCTTGCCACATATTCAGCTTGGAGACTTGCAAAGCGGGCCCACGAGAGAGGGATGCCGATTGCAATATTAAACCTTGGGGGTGCTAGAGGCGAGGAGGCATTCTTCAGCAATCTGCCTATAGGTCAAAAGGGAGAATCAGGAGTCCGAGTTGACATGGGAACAGACAAAGTCCTTCCTGAACTTCTTGATCACTTGAGGCGCATCGGGTATGCCCAGACACACAGTGGCAACGTTTCAAGAGCCATAGACGAAGAACACAAGAACAGTAGAATGTTCAAAGACATGCTGTCCTAATATAGCGAGTTTGTTGTATAGATTTTTGAGAGATGGCATAGAATTTACCCAGAATATAATACCTGTTTTCCCAACGAAGCACCAGAATCAAGTCAGACATTTGAGAAGGGTGATTTCCATATTGACTCCTATCTATCTAGATCATTAAGAGACGGACCAAGACAGCGTTCCAGAAACGATAATCGCAACCTTCACAACTTGAATTTCCAACAATCTAAAAGAACCCTGAGGGCGCATTGGTCTTCGGTTTTGGTTCCGTAGGTGGTCTAGCAACTGCTTCTACTATTGGCGCTCTAGCCTCCTTGCTCTCTTGGCCATGCTTCGGTTTTGGTTTTCGTGATTGTTCCCAAACTTCGTTTTCTTGTTCAATTTCTTGTAGCACTGCAGTAAACCAGTTAGATAAAGCCCTTATCCATAATTGAAGCATGCCATGAATACCTTCTTCCCACTCCTTCTCCCTCTTCGCATCACCCGTCCCAAGTAATCCCTCGACATCTACTTCTTCCCCCTTCTGTATTCTCTCGATAACTTCCTTCAGCAGCCCAATCTTCGCATCTGCCCTCCGCATGAAGGCCGTATACTCATTCCGTAGGGCGATCATTTGAATAGACATTGATCCTATAAAGAGGAATATGAAGATGAAGAAAGTCGCCGGGTTCCATTCTTTGGACTTGTTCTTCTTGACAGCTTTGAGAAGTGTGCCTTGTCGAAGCGGTTTCGGAATCAGACTCGCCCAGAATGAGGTTTGAGTGACGCTTGGAGTGGAATATGCTCTTGGATTTAAGGCTGCCGGATGGGAGGATGTTCGAAGGGGAAATAAAGAAGTCCGTAGGCTCGGAGGCGCGAGGAGTATTCGCCGCAATGTAATTGACTTGTTCATTGTCACTGACTTCGGTGCTAGATCGATGGGCGCTGTAAATTACTCAGTCTCTTGTACATTCGGCTTTTTTCACTCTTGAATCCCAGGTCGGCATTCACCGCGTTACGACCCTTTCAGCCTTTGCCGATGATGGTTGCTGTGCCGACCAACCTGACTCCAAATTTACCCTTCTTGACGTCTTTCAGGACTCTCTCCAACTGTATATCACCACTTCAAGGTCCATGTTTTTGTCGCTCTCAGCTATTTTGACCATGTCTAATTTCCAATAGCACTGTAATTGTGTTTTGTTTTATAATGGCCTCCTTACAAGCAACTGCGGACTCGATCCGCGCGGCTGTTGCGTCAACATCGACCTGTTCGCCCGCGACGGCGACAATCCTGAACGATCTTTTGCTCCCAAAATCGAATGGCTCAAAGACAGCCACTGTCGCAGTCCCCGAGAAGGCCTCGAAAACTCCAGGTGGGAAAGGTATAAAAACCCCAGCGAAGCCCCGTGTTAGGAAGGCGGAAAAGGAGAACGCACAGGAGCACGGAAACCAATTATCTCCAAAGGAACGCTCGATATTGGCTACGGAAGTTATCAATGCCACGCTTAAGGCCCTCAGTGAAGCTATCAAGTCTCCAGCGGCTTCGTCGAAGAAAGATTCCTCCAAGGACCTAGCTAAAGGTCCTGCGCGCAAAGCTCTCCGCCGATCGAATTCGCTCCCCCAGTCCCCGTTACAACCAAGGTCTCTCAACCGAGTAACGAGTTCGCCGAGTATATCTACCAAAGGTAGCAGACCTTCATCTTCCGATTCTACGACCTCTTCCGGGACCAGGGCTGTCGCCGAATGCGCCAGAACCGCATTCGCTTGCCTTCGGGCACTGCAGGCCTCAAAAATACCGGCGTTGGATCTTCCACCTCTTCAACTTGAGAATGGGATGTCCGTCCTAATTGGAAAACTCATCTCATTGGGATTGAATGATTTGGCTATAAAAGAGATCAGGATATTGAAAAAGAGGTTGGATTCAGACGATAGACAGCCTGTGAAAGGCGGACCTCTATCGAAACCGAATTCGACGGTACCGGCACCGCAAACCCTGGTTGAACTTCTGGAGTTTGGGGACGGATCCTTTTCAGGGGCAAAACTGGGACTCATCATCACAACTCAGTTACAGGTTCTACGACTCATAGTTTCCTCACGAAATTGCAAGCATGCCGAAGCTGCTCTCCCTCTTCTACAACCGTCACATTCCTCATCGCCAACGAGATTCCTGCTCCTAGCTGCAAAAGAGTTGAAATCAGACAAGTGTGCCCGCCAACTTCAGTCCCTGTCTGAAATACTTCTGTCACTTAGTCCAAGTATATCTCCGGCTGATGATGATGTTGCTCTCGAGCCAAGGCTGAGTGTGGCACCTGAAGTCGCAATGCAATTGCAGACGCTTGCCCTTCACAATCGTGCCTTGTGGTGGAAACTTGCTGGCCACAAAGGGGACTTGGTGAAAGAGGCATTCGACCCATTTCTCCGCTGTCTGTCAGCATTTGCCCGGCGAAATCGACGTGCTTGTCTCGAAACATATCGACTATCAGTATCTGCTTTTCAGTCCTTGCAGAAGGTATTTCCAGATTTAGAGGAGATGAAAGTAGGCAGGGCGAGATCAACATTGCTAGGTATATATAGGCTACTTGGTTCGATGGCACAGGAAGTCAACCTTATTGATGAGGCTATCGACTGGACGCAAAAAGTCATGGGTCTCCTAGACCCCAAGGTCGACTCTGACGCGAAGCGATGTGCTGTTGCGGCCAGATTAGTAGGGTTCACTCTACGAAGGTCAACAAGACATCCCAAAGATGAAGAGCCACTTCTTAACCTCTTGGAGGCCCTTGAACGGCCCTTTAAAGGGGACTCGTCCGAAATAGATGACCTCCTTACTGAAGTCTCCATGGTGAGAAGAGCGGGGATCGCCATTATTGCCAAGAGGGGTTTGACGGGCTACGATTTCACGGATGGTATGCGTGAGATGTGCGAGTCTCTGATCCTGATGTGTCCTCGATTATCATTAAGATACCTTGGCAGCCCCCCTGACCTCAATGCTCCTACCAAGGACATCCTCCGGTACGAGCAGCGACGCCAATTTATCATGAAAGGGGGCATGCACGCCATTGATTCGACGCTTTTTTTAATAAAAACTTTTCTCGGCGAGGGACGATTGACATGGGAATTGATGGACTCCAAGCTTCAGGAGTGTCTGTTATTGCTCGAACGACTGGATGGAAATTCCAAAGAGCCCCTACCGGAAAATGGACCCTCGACCCCATCCTACTATGTTAGGATCTCAAATCTTTACTTCACACAGTACCTCAACATGCGACGAGATTCCAAGGACCAGAAAGATGGACAACAAATACGAGCTTTAAGACGATCGATCGATTCTGTCCGGTCTAGGCCACAACATGAAAGGAAGGCAGCTCTATTGTCAACGAAGCTTGAGCGGATGGCCGAGAATTGCAAGGTCACTGGCCGATACGACGAACTATTCAAGACGTTGCTAAATCTTCGGGACGAAATGATTCTCAACGGTGCGTTATCTGTCGTTGCAGCTGCCGCAGCAACGAGGCCAGTCAGGGCTGCTTGGAGCCAAGACGAGGACACGACTGTCCTTGGCCGTACAATACAATCCCTCGTAAAAGTTCAGATCAAGTATCTAGGCTCTTCACCACAAACCTCTCTTCTTGATGGTTCATGGTCCGACGATGAAAGAGGTGCAATTCTAGAGCATATCCTGGACATACTGTCAAGCAGTCCAAATCCGCCCTTAAATCTTCAAACAAAGGTATTCAAGGCATTATTATCTGTATATGATCGACAGCGATATCCCATCCGCAGAATAAGGGTACTCGGCCGGCTTTTCTCCCTCGACCCGGCTCAACGTCAAGCCATTGCAGAAGACACGTTGGATGAATTTGATTTATCGACAACTCAAGATCCTGTTATCGAAGGTACAAATGACGAGGGTTTACAGGGCTTCTTGAAGCATCTGCAGACCCTGAATACAACACTACTCGAACTTCAGCAAGATAAACCCCAAATCAGTGTTTTTAAACAAAGCTTTGTGGTGTGGTCGACCATTCGGGCAGGATGCAATGATTTGAATTCCTTGGAACTTCAAATCGAGGATCTACCTACATTTTTGGTCCATCTGCAGTCAATTGCCGATTTCATGCAGATGAAGGGCCTCGATACAACCCGACTTGCACTCCTCCGGCTGATCAAAGATTTCAATGAACTTCGCGAGGGCGCTGCCAACCCGGACGACTTTGTACTTAGCCTCATACACTTAGGAACTCAATGGATTCAGCTTGGATATTCTGGAAAAGCTGGCTTGACACTGGACCGAGCACAGGGCTATTGCCATCAAAATGGGGCATTGCCGCACACATGGCTGCAGTTGCACCTTGCCTATGCAGAATATCTGCAGAGTATTGGAAATTTCGATAAGAGGTATGTCTCTACTCCTACTTTGATATTACTGGTTAACGTTAGAACTAGTGAGGAACATCTACTTCAAGCTCAAGCAATTTCTCTTGAGGAGAAGGAACATGACTCGAATTCAAGATCGCCAATGACTTTACAGGAGAGGAATCGGAAAAATCAGCTAGTCGCAAATGCATACTTACTATACTCGATGCTGGCTCTCGAGCGTGGGACTCCACAGCTAGCCCTCACTCACGCGAAGCAAAGCGTGCGGTTGTTGCGACGTGCTTGGACTAATACCGAAGAAAGACTTCGGAGTCAACAGGCATCAATCTGCTCCTGTCCTCAAACGGAGACAGAGAAACTCGCAGAAAATGTGTCAGATCTAAACTTATCGACAGTGTCAACCCCTACCCCGGCCGAGAAACCTCAATCATTAGCCGGGTCCAAATTCTGGGCACTCATCACTCCTCTTTTTCGGAGTCTTTCCTATCTTTCCGGACTTTATGCTCACCACGGCATGTTTCAGGAGACAATGTACTATGCCGAACAGGCTCACAAGCTTGTTAAGGAAGTTGGATCTGAAGCACACACTGCGATTGCATCAGCATCTTTAGGGAGCTTGTGGCTCAAAGCAGGCTCTCTTGATAAAGGGGCTGAGTTTCTCATGGAGGCTAAGGGTCTCAGTTCATGCAGCGAAAAGAGCAGGAATTCGGCCATTTTAAGTTATCATCTTGGCAACATGCAGGGTCTTCTCGGTGATCGAGACGCAGAATTAGCTGCTTACGAGGAGGTGGGAACGATATTGAAGTCCATAACTGGGCCAGATTTTATCAATGCGGTTGACCATATTGTTGATCCAGCTGGGGCGCTTGAGGAAAAGATGTCACAGCTCACCATCTCGAAAGGGAAATCCTCGACGCGAAAGATTGAACCCCGAACAAGAGCAGTTGCGAAACGAAAAACTGCTGCTCGAGTGAAGGCCCCAGCTGAGGTTTCCTCATCGGTTACTGAGGAGTGTCCTCAATTGATGTCTCTCAAAGCAATGATACTTCGCCAAAGAGCACAAGTTCTAATGTGTACCAAAAAGTTTGCGGATGCCCTCGGCCTTCTGCACGAAGCTGAAAGCTACTCGAACTCGCAAATTGATGCTGTCAATCAGAGCCTGGCGATGGCAAAGCGGTTGTTTCTTCAAAGCATGGAGCAGATGGATGCGGACCCATTGTATTCAGTCTTGCCGGAATCGACAATCTCATTCCCCTCAGTGGTAGGGACTTCAAAAGTGGACAAGAACAATGGAGAAAGGATATCGGGTACACGTCTATCTTCCCCAGGAAAATCGAAAAGTGCTAAGAATGCGCCTGGTCATGCCCGCTCGAAGAGTCCATCTCCTGACAGTTTCTTCGATAAGTTGCGCCAAGCCCAAGAGTACCTGACGGAGGTTCATTCCATCGCCGTCATGGCAGCTCCAGTGGCGGTGGTCCATTCGATCTCTTCACTCTTAAATAACGTGGCAATGTTGCTCTCTGCTGCAGGCCAGGTGAAAGGGAAATCCCTCGCCCATCCTGGATTTGCAAGTTCCTTCGTTGGTATGTATACGATTTTGAGACTTCTCATGCCCATGCTAACGGCGTTAGAAACGGCGAGAACTATTGCACTCCGTAGGGAACGCAAAGCTATCCATGCGGATCCACAGACTAAGTTGAAGTTGGATGATTCCTGCTGGCCGACTCTTAATCCCGTCGATCCAAAGCGAGCAAGCCTTGGGCTCCCGTCCGATATGTCCCGGTTCCAAAAAGATTATATCGATATTATCCCTAAGGCATGGACAGCAATTTCGATTTCGTTGAGCGACAGCCGCAACGAACTCACTATCACGAAACTACAGGCTGGACATAGCCCGTTCGTGCTTCGTCTGCCTCTTGGACGTAATAATTCCATAGACGCGGATGAGGAAGTTTTTGGGTTTGCCCAAGGACATGCAGAGCTCATGGAAATCATAGATCTTGCAAACGAAAGCGCTCACGATGCTCGTGATTTAACCGGTCGCGAAGCCAAAACAGCATGGTGGCAGGAACGAGAAGAATTAGATGCACGATTAAGGGATCTCCTCGTCAATATCGAGAAAGTTTGGCTGGGAGGTTTCACTGGGATATTTTCGCAGCACGCAAGACGACAGAACCTGCTCGCCCGTTTCCAGAAGTCCTTCCAGAACATTTTGGATAAACATCTCCCATCGCGGCAAAAGACTGGGAAGAGAAGCACAACTCCTCGGGTCACCTTGGATTCTCGGATCTTGGACCTCTTTATTGGATTAGGAGACGCTTCCGATGAAAACTGTGATTTTTCGGAGCCATTGACGGACCTGCTGTACTTTGTCGTCGATGTTCTTCAATTCCATGGCGAGATGAATGCATACGCCGAAATCGACTTCGACTCGATAGTGATAGAGACCCACGATGCTTTGCGCTGCTACCACGAAGCAGTACGGGCCTCCGCCTGCACTGACGAGGGGAGTCATACGATACTGATCTTGGATAAAGCACTCCATGCTTTCCCGTGGGAGTCATTGCCCTGTATGGACGGCCTGGCAGTATCACGTCTGCCTTCACTTGGATCCTTACGCGATCGAATTCTCGAATCGCAGAAACGTGCCCAGGAGGAAGGGCCCCAAGGCCAATATATCAGTCGAGACAATGGATCGTATATTCTTAACCCAGGTGGAGACCTCAAATCGACTCAATCGACGTTCCTGAAACCGCTTCAGTCTCTTGGCGACTGGCATAGTATCATCCAGCAAGAGCCCACCGAGGAGGAGATGAAATCAAGCCTTGAATCGAAAGATCTCTTCTTGTATTTTGGTCATGGCAGCGGGGCACAGTACATCCGGGCCCGAGAAATCAGGAAGCTGGACAAATGTGCCGTGACCATGCTGATGGGCTGTAGCAGCGGAGCACTCACTGAAGCTGGTGAATTCGAGCCTTACGGGCCGCCCGTCAACTACATGCATGCGGGGTGTCCTGCCTTGGTAGCTACGCTATGGGATGTTACAGACAAAGATATTGATCGTTTTGCGATGAGTACGCTGGATCATTGGGGCCTCTTTGAGAGCTCCTCAGGCAAGGGGAAAGGCAAGGGGAAGAAGAAAGCGGAGGCTGCAGAGCAGAAGGTGTCATTGGTCGAAGCCGTGGCTAAGGGGAGAGAAGCGTGCAACCTGCGTTATCTGAATGCAGCAGCTGTTTGTGTCTATGGGATCCCGGTGTATTTTGAAAAATGATTGATGATTGCAGGCAGGGCCGGTTGGGAGGTACATAGGTAATGAGGTAGCTTATTAACGGGCAAGGCTGAGCGAGCCAGGAAAGGCTACAGGGCTGTACAATAGGATGATGAATGAATACTACTTAATCTTTACGTTGAGTCCAGCATCATGTTTTCTGTTCTCTTGCTCAACAAAGCTCACGGTGAGGTAAAGGTTCGAACCATTCTCTCTTCTCGATATATAGATATTATGAATCTGGTGTAGTATATTCGATATATCTAAGGTATCTCACGTAAGGTGTGGGTGGGTGGTCAGATATAAAGGCAGTGTAATCGGGTTGGAATACACCGCACGGAGTATATCCTGGGTAATCCGGGTCTTCTGGGGTGGAAGCTTCCAGAATCACCAGAACCATGGCCCTAATTAAAATTTCACATTAATTAGAAAATACAGCGCGAGAAATTCCCTCCTTAGGGTGAAAAAGGCTGAAATAAATAAGAAAAATATCGATAATTATTTGACTGATTGGTAGAGTCAACGCGCGGCAAATTGTCGACCAGAGCGCGCGCCCAGAAAGTCGCTGTTGGGCACGACTCGTTCACCCTCATCCCAAGAAACACCCCCAGAATCCAGAATCCAGAGTTCAGCGTCCCGACCGCCACTGTCCAGCACCTCCAGACTCCTCCAACTCTATTTCTCGCGGCTTTGCTGAGTCTGGCTCTCTGGTGCATGGAGTAAGCCAACCACATCGCACTTCTCTCCCTCCCGTCGACGGCCAGCGCGGAACCGGTTTAGCAGAATCCCCTATCTAAGGCGACTTGGCCTGACTTGACCTGCCTACTATTTGGCCCTACCGTCCATAGTACACACACAGTGCACACGACCAAGGCGGTCATAGGTCCCTACCGGCGCGGCACTAGGTATCTCAAATGAGACTCTTCTCGAAGCCCGACAAAAAATCCAAGAAGCCCAGCAGTGACGAAGACACCACCCAGCCTGCCCCGTCACCACGCTCCTCGCCCCGAAAATCCACCACCTCTTCTCCTTCACGCCCACGGCCGAGAGACGAAAATCATAATCATCAGCCCGCGCAAGGGTCCCCGCGGAGCAGTCGCCGGTTTCCAAAACCCTCCTCTCGACACCTCGATCCCAACACCCATCCCCTGAACCTGCCTCCAGACCAGCTGCAGAAAAGACTCTCTGCCTTGTCTGCCTCGTCTGCCTCGTCCACCACCATGCCCGACGCCATGGATGTTGATTCTGAGGCTCAGAATACCGTGCCCACGTCACCGCCCCAGACGAACATGCCGGGCTCCTTCAGTACTCCCAAGACCAACAGTGCAAGTGCAAACGCCAATGGCGATGGACCGGTCCCTCCCCCGCACAGATCAAATCCTACGAGCCCCGCGTCCGATGGTGTCCCTACGCCCGAGCAGGCTGAAGCTTTCAAGACCGCCGGGAACAAGTTTTACAAGGCCAAGGAGTACAAGAAGGCAATTGAGGAATATACAAAAGGTAGGTCAACAGAATTTGTACTGGTGGGACAAGTGCTAATTTTTCCCTCCAAAAGCTGTTGAAGCACAGCCATCCTCAGCAACATACCTAAACAACCGTGCGGCTGCATATATCTCGGCAGGTCAATATTTGAATGCTTTGGAGGATTGCACTCGGGCCGACGAGCTAGAACCCCAGAATCCAAAGATCCTGCTGCGATTAGCACGTATTTATACCAGCTTAGGCCGGCCGCAAGATGCTTTGGATACCTATGCACGCATTCAACCGCCTCCATCTGCAAAGGACGTCGCTCCAGCAAAGGCTATGTTGCAGCATATCAAAGTCGCAGAGGATTCCCTGAGAAATGGGACCACTGGGTCTATGGTGCTCCACGCACTCGATCAGGCTGAAAAATTGCTCGGTGCGGATGCTTCAAAGCCGAGAGCTTGGCAATTAATGAGAGGAGAGGCGTACCTGAAGATGGGCAATGTCAATGCGCTCGGGGACGCGCAGAACGTGGCAATGTCTCTATTGCGGCATAATAATCAGGATCCCGAGGCGCTGGTGTTGCGAGGAAGAGCTTTGTATGCTCAAGGAGACAACGACAAAGCCGTTCAACACTTTCGTCAAGCTATCAACTGCGACCCCGATTACCGGGATGCAGTGAAATACTTACGAATTGTTCAGAAGTTGGACCGAATGAAGGCTGAGGGTAATGCAGAGTATAAAGCTGGACGTTGGCAAGCAGCGGTCGACAAGTACACCGAAGCTCTTGGCATTGACCCCCAAAACAAGGGCACAAATTCGAAGCTTCTACAAAACCGGGCCTTATGTCTCATTCAACTAAAGGACTACACCGGGGCTATCAGCGACTGTGAACGTGCAATTTCTCTCGACCCCTCTTACACCAAAGCAAAGAAGACCAAAGCGACCGCTCTGGGCAAATCTGGGAAGTGGGAAGACGCAGTTCGCGAGCTCAAGGAATTACAGGAGGCAGATCCCCAAGATGCCACCATTGCCAAGGAGATCCGAAAGGCAGAATTGGAGTTGAAGAAGAGCAAGAGGAAGGATTATTACAAGATCCTTGGCGTGGAGAAGGATGCAGATGAGAACCAGATCAAGAAGGCATACCGGAAAGCCGCTATTATCCACCACCCCGACAAGAACCCTGATGACGCAGATGCTGCGGAGAGGTTCAAGGACATTGGGGAGGCTTATGAGACTTTGAGCGATCCTGAGTAAGACTTATTTATCCCAACACCTGATCTCTTTTACTAATACGGTTGTAGGAAACGTGCACGCTACGATAGCGGTGAGGATCTTATTGATCCGATGGAAGGGTTCGGTGGAGGTGGCATGGGAGGTGGGATGCAGATCGACCCCGAAATCCTGATGCAGATGTTTGGTGCTCAAATGGGTGGAAGACCTGGTGGCGGGGGCTTCCACAGCTTCGGGGGTGGAATGCCTGGGGGTCGACAGCGAGGCGCCCCACAAGGATTCCCCGGCGGGTTCCAATTCTGACATGGCGCTGAAAATGACGAACCCTTTCCACAGTCCCACTCTGAGGAGATCCCCAATTCCTACGAACGGAACATGGCGAGCGACGAGGTGTACACGAGGAGTCACATTTCGGACCAGCAAATGCTGTGGTTTCGCAAAGTGGGGATGGGATTCTTACTCGCTGCTATCTTCGTTCCCTTTGATCTTTTAGTAATCGTGGCCGTCCTTGGGGCAGGAGTGTACATTTGCATCCGAGTTGTTCTGTCTCTGTGTCGGAGAATGAATGGCGCTCCATAGATTGGCGGGATAAATCTCATTGCAGGCGTTGCACTTAGTCCATCACGACGTATTGGACAATGCAGGAAATATAAAAGACATTAGTTCTAGGATTCCACAGCAAAGATTGGGTGAAAAGAAAAAAAAAAAGTAATATTCGTAAGACCAGAGAATTATGAGAAATATAAGAAACCTTTCTGTAGAGTTTGCGCAGGCACGCGATGGGCACGTGAGCCTTACCTCGAGGGTCGAGGCTGAGAACCCTTGCCGAGAAGGGCTCAGGACGTCGTCGGTGGTGGGGTGAGTTCCAGGCATAGTAAATCGACATCTCCCTTGCTCCCAACATCCTACAGCCACACCCTGCAAAAGCCTGTCGTGTATTCCGATCCCGATACGCAGTCCTGTCAAAGATTGGGATTTCTCGGATCCCTTTGTACAAATTCAAAGACTTCACACTCTCTTTACCCCACATCTCCGCGCCCGACGCTACATTGCAAAATCTGACATATACCAACAACCCCTCGTCACTGACAGGTATGACTCGATAGCGGAGTCGCGAAGCATGGTTAATGCACCGTCTCAGCTGCTGCCACTATCATAGCAGTTAGAGATCCAGAGAACGAAGAAGCAGGGAGCCCTCTCAGCATAGTCGGGGGAGATCAGGGTCGTCATGGACACCCAGGTGCGTACACCATCTTTGACACCGCTATATATGCAGTCTAGCCCACGTCTCCGCTTCCCTGCGCACTTTAATATAAGCTGACCCCCCTTTGCCTGACAGGTCGAAAATGCCATCGAGATAGCGTGGAGTCCGACTTCTGATCCAAACCTCAAGACACAGGCCTTTGATTTCCTAAACCAGCTTCGTTCTGACGCTTCAGGTCGGCAGGCCTGCCTTGCTCTTTTCACCAGAACGCCTAGAACATCCGAAGTTGTCCGCTTGGTCTCTTTAGACGTGGTCAATAACGCTATTCAGACTCAGCAACTCGACGCACAAACCCTAAATCATATCAAAGAGTCCCTCTTGGAATACGCCAGGCGGACCTACGGTTCTGGCAATCAAGATGAAGTCGACCCGCCCAGCCTGCAGAACAAACTCACACAAACCTTGACATTTCTCTTTATACCATTGTACAAACAGGGCTGGGAAAGCTTTTTAGATGATTTCTTGGCGTTAACCAGCCTACAAAATAACGGAGCAAGGGATAATATTACTGGTATTGTATTATACCTGCGAATCCTGAGTTCCATTCACGATGAGATCGCCGATGTTATGGTAACGCGGACAGCCGCAGAGACAAAGCGTAACACCGAGTTGAAGGATCTTTTTCGAGCCCGCGATGTTCAGAAAGTGGCTACTTCTTGGCAGGAGATCATCACGCAATGGAGAGACCGGAATGATGCAGTCGTGGAGATGACTCTCAAAATCGTTGCGAAGTGGGTGAGCTGGATCGACATATCTCTGATTGTGAATCAGGATACCCTGAATCTGCTCTTCCTCCTCGTCGGCCGTACTGGCACTAGCAATGGCGAAGACAAGGTCCGAGATGCTGCTATTGACACTTTCACAGAGATCGTGGCCAAGAAGATGAAGGCTGCTGACAAGATTGGGATGATTATCTTCTTGAACCTTGGAGAAGTGGTCTCCCAACTCATTGCAAGCCCTGCTTTGAATGCCCTACGAACAACATCTAGCTATGATACAGACCTCGCAGAAGCAGTTGCAAAGCTTGTCAACAATGTTGTCTCGGACATTGTAAAGGTGCTCGAGGATGGTCATGTGGAGGCTGAGACTCGCGCTCAAGCGGAACAGCTCCTGCAAACCTTCCTGCCTCTCCTACTTCGATTCTTTTCTGACGAATATGATGAGATTTGCTCCACAGTCATCCCATCTCTGACGGATATCCTTACATTCTTACGCAAAGCCCAGCCTCTTCCCCCCGCATACTCAGCTATGCTGTCGCCAATTCTTAACGCAATAATCCAGAAAATGAGATACGACGAGACATCTTCCTGGGGTAACGAGAACGAGCAGACGGATGAGGCAGAGTTCCAGGAATTACGAAAAAGGTTGCAGGTGCTTCAAAAAGGTGTAGCTGCTGTTGCCCAGGATCTTTATGTTGATATCTTGAGCAACGTGGTTGGAAACACGTTTCAGACATTAGATCAGCAAGGCGGCCAGATGGATTGGCGTGACCTTGACCTAGCTCTTCACGAGATGTATCTCTTTGGGGAGCTTACTGTTCCGAATGGCGGTCTCTACGCAAAAAGCCAACCATCCAGCGTAGCAGCAGAGCGACTGATCATTATGATGTCAAAAATGGTCGAGTCCGGTAAGATCACAGGTCAATGTTTTACAGTGGATATAGTATGCTAACTTTTTCAAGGAATTGCATCCTTTGCTCACCCCGCTATCCAATTGCAGTACATGGAGATCTGTGTTCGATACTGCTCCTTTTTTGAGAATCAAACGCAATTCATTCCACAAGTTCTCGAACAATTTGTTCGCCTTGTCCATCACAATCATATTAGAGTTCGGACGCGCTCATGGTATCTCTTTCACCGTTTTGTGAAGCACTTACGAGCTCATGTTGGAAACGTTGCGGAGACAGTGATCCAGTCGATTAGCGACCTTCTGCCCATCAAGGCTGAAGTTCCCGAGGATACAGCAGATGATGATATGTCTTCCGAGCAAAGTGATCATTCTGCTGATGCTACCTTCAATGGCCAGCTCTACCTTTTTGAGGCCATCGGCTGCATCTCATCTACATCAACTACGCCTGTTGAGAAGCAGATTTTGTACGCACGATCAATCATGGAGCCGTTGTTCTCTGAGATCGAACGCAATCTGGCACCTGCCAAAGCGGGAGATGCCCAAGCTACTCTACAGATTCATCATGTCATCATGGCCCTCGGGACTTTGGCCCACGGGTTTTCCGACTGGACTCCAGGTAATGCTGCAACTGCAAATCATGCACCCATGAGGGAGGTATCTGAAGAATTTGGTCGGGCGGCAGAGGCGATTCTGATTGCTCTTGAAGCACTCAAGTCCTCCACCGATGTTCGAACAGCTGCCAGAGCATCCTTCTCCCGACTTATGGGGGTTCTAGGCATTGGGATGTTGCCATTGCTTCCACGATGGATTGATGGATTACTTTCGCAGAGTTCTTCTAAGGATGAAATGGCAATGTTTCTACGCCTGTTGGACCAAGTCGTCTTCGGCTTCAAGAAGGAGATATACAATGTCCTCGACTCTTTACTTACACCACTTCTCCAACGAGTCTTTGCAGGCTTGGCTGAGCCAATCAGTGGAACCGACGATGAGATACAGCTTGCTGAACTTCGCCGGGAATACTTGACCTTTGTTCAGATCATTCTGAACAACGACCTTGGCTCTGTCTTGGTAAGTGATGCGAATCAAAACTTTTTCGAGCCTCTTATCATATCCGTCACCACCTTGGCCAAGACCGTTACGCATGGAACTGGCAACCTTGCTGCAAGCCGGCTGGCCTTCTCCGTGATCACACGCATGGCGGATCTCTGGGGCGGACCAAACATTGCGACTCTCGGGGCCGAGCCAACATCTTCAACCGTTCCTCCATCTCCAGCGTTTCCTGGGTTCGACCGTTTCCTTATTGAAAGATTCCATCCCATCTGCTGGGACGTCCTACGCGAGCCCCAGTTCCAGCCATTCACCGATGCTCAAGCAAAGCAAGTCCTGAACGAAATCGCTGGCCTTGAGCAGACCATCTACACAAAGACTGGTCAAATGTTTATCCAGCATCTGCAGGGTTCTTTCTTTCCGTCTATGGGTATTGATGGGACCGAATTCATCAAGCAAATGACGACCTCTACTAACAGAAAGAATCTATCTGTATACCTCCAGGGGTTTTTGAGACACAGAGAACAATAGGCCTGGGCCGAGAAAGAAGGGGGGGTTGGTTTTGTGCATCTCAAGAGGCGTTTGATAAGGGTTTTATACCAAGTGGAGGAAATAATAGCGCATCGAGTTTGCCGATGAAGGCTTTACGAACTTTGCATAGAGCAAGCATGGCATTCAATGTAAGCATGGCCTGAATTATTGCCCTCTGTGAACACCCCTTTGGAACTGCGGAATGCTGGTAGTGAAAGTCTTTAAAAAGTTACATACATTATTGAAGATACACTTTCGCACATGTATCCAAGTACAGGTGAAATTACGATTTTGAAATTCGTATAAATGAAGAGCAGCAACACATTTCGAATTGTGATCTCGAGTATTGGAAGTGGAAGTCTTGAGAAATATACCGACTCACCGCCAAACGGTGCTTCGGATCTCCGAGATGACCTAATCGAAGCTTACGGCGTATAATACGCCATGGCCCAGGGTATATTAGAGAGTGGGAGAGCGTATATCGGGGAGGAAGAATATATATAAGATATGTATCTAGGTTCTATATATCAGTAAAATTACAATATTTCAATTGTCGAATCATTACCCAAATCCCGTTCTTGTCTTGTATTTCTTTCTTTCAGTCCCGCTTCCGACCCAATCCAGCTTCACTCCAGCTCCTTGAGCAGCCAGACATGGCCCCTCCTGGTGATACCCAGATTACCGAGGCAACGGAGACGACAGCTCTCTTGAGCAAAGATACCACGAAATCAATTGATCCGTTGTCGAATGGTACCAATGGGCACGCAGTTAATGGGAATTCCATCTTGACCGACACGGTAGACCCGGAAAATGGCCAGGTCGAGGAGATCGACAATAGCCCACTGTTGGCGAGCAAGCCTGAACCCCCTCAGAACCTGTATCTATTCCTCCCGGCCGTGGGTCTTGGGGTACGTTGGGTTTTGGACTTTGCTATGCAGGCATGACGGGGTCCAAGTATAGCTAGCTAATGATGAATGCTGAGTAGATCCTACTGAGCGCCGCAGATCAAACTCTCAGTAAGTTGTTCCTAGATAAGGTACGGAGGTATATCACGTGCCGTCTGCTGACTCCATGGGTGTTGCAGTTGTTTCTAGCTATGGAAAGATAGGCTCAGATCTCAATGCTTTGAATAACACGAGTTGGGTAGCTACAGCGTGAGTTTTCTCCCCCAACAGTCCAGTCCTCGGTATGATAACTTCTGACCACCTCTCAGATATTTCCTCACTCTAACCAGCTTCCAACCATTATATGGCAAGCTTAGCGATATCTTTGGGCGCAAACCCGCTCTCCTATTTTCATACCTAGTCTTCGGGCTTGGCTGCCTCTTCTGCGGTCTCGCAAGGAATCTGGGAGAACTTGTTGCTGCAAGGGCCTTTGCTGGTATGCCGAATCAAACGAACGAATCCGAGATGACTCTTTAGCTGACTTGACCATGATGGCCAGGCATTGGCGGAGGGGGGATGACAACCGTTGTGAGCATTCTGCTCAGCGATGTCATACCGTTGAGGAATCGAGGGACGTGGCAAGGCTATGTGAATCTCATCTATGCAGCGGGTGCATCTGCGGGGGCGCCCCTGGGAGGCGTGTTGGCGGATTCTATAGGATGGCGCTGGTACGCTCATGCCACTTTATGCTGTTTCTGCTGGTCTGATAGCTAATAGGGTTCAGGGCTTTCCTCGGCCAGGCACCTGTTTGCTTGGCAGCTTTTTTGATCGTATATTTCGTACTCGACCTCCCTCAGCCCGAACAATCTCACTTGAGGGAGAAGCTTGCCAAGGTTGACTTTCTCGGAGCCTTCACTCTGATTATCTCTGTTTCTTCCTTGCTCCTGTAAGTAGTTGTGGTCATTTGCTTCATCCTGAATTAGTCTATCTTCCTGGGTCTCTTTCGAGATTAGAGGAGCCTTCATGCTGACTCGGAACAGTGGCCTAGATCGAGGAAGCAATGTAGGATGGAACGACACTATTACCATCACATGTTGTAGCCTCTCCATTCCTCTCTTGGCCGTCTTTGTCTTTGTGGAGATGAAGGTTGCAGCGTTCCCATTTGCTCCTGGCCATATCATCTTCGAACGCTCAGTCGTCGCCAGTTACATTGTCAATTTCCTCAGTCTTGCGGGTCACCTTTCCGGCATATTCTATGTCCCCCTCTATCTCCAGGTATGCGCGCAAATTCTTGACCGCATTTTACAATACAGATCCAATATTGAGCAGCAGGATTGACTCCATATCTACTAGGTCGTTGACGACCTCTCCGCCGCCGCGGCCGGTACCCGAATGATCCCCCCCCTCATCGCGAGCGTCAGCGGCTCCCTCCTCGGCGGGATCATCATGCAGCGAACAGGCAAATACTACCGGCTCACGATATGCAGCCTCGCGCTCTCGGTCCTCGGGAGCATCATCATCTTCCTCTCGGCCGGCATCTTCCAGTTCTCCTGGGGTCTGATCATCGGCCTCTGCTTCTCCGCCCTGGGAATCGGCTCCACCATCACCACCACCCTGATCAGCGTCATCGCTAACATCGACCCCAAGGATCAGGCCATCGCTACCGCCTGCACGTATCTCTTCCGCTCGCTGGGCAGCGTCGTCGGTGTCAGCCTTGGTTCCACACTCGTGCAGCAGGTCCTGCGCCGCCGCCTCCGTGCCGGCTTGGATAGCGGCAGCGAGGCCGATAAGATCGTCGAGAGGGTCAGGCAGAGCTTGGATTTCATCAAGGAGCTGGAGCCCCACACGAGGGCGATCGTTATGCGTTGCTATGAGAAGGCTACGACGGCGGCATTCGGCTTGACCATTGCTTATATGAGTATGGCGCTCATCGCCTCGTTCTGGATCAGGGAGACGAAGTTGAGTAGATAGATAGGATTAGATTATATTAGACTAGATTAGAATAGGGGTTGGAGTTGTATGCGGCTCGATCTTCACATAGGAGTCTCAGGTAGAGGATGATTATAGACTGGATATATTACGCTGTTAGCTTTAAGGGCCGAGAAGCAGCGCTGGGGACAATAAGATCTAGGAGGGTGCTCTCCTTCAGCATATCACCATTATTAAGCATACACCGAATAGTTCTATGAACATACCAATTCCCTGGAAACTCTCTGGGTCCTCGAGCTCATTCTCGGTTCCTGAACCAGTCTAGATAACCACATGGAAAGCTAGAGCCTGTTTCGACTTCTCCCGGGCCGTATTTCGGTCGCCCCGCTATTCATACATATTAGACGAACTCGAGTAGGATGATCCTATTGCACATCCACAGTCGCAAACCGGGTATTCCCTGTGACTTTACGCCTCTCAATGCAGAAGAAGCCTCGCCAGTACGCCACGCTCCAAGTTTTATCAAAGAAGCCTAATCCAACTCCGCCTGGCTCGGCCTTTCGTTACACTGGCATCTGCACTCCGGGACGGGACATTCGACATGGCGACTGAACCAGGCAACCGAATGATCCATGTGCGAAACATGCTTGCACTTGAGACAGAAGGTTGGGAAGTTGGCCATCCGACGAACGGCGGGATCATTCGACTGCTCTGGACGATCTGAACGGGGAACGCCAACAATCTCCATGCAGATTGCACAGCGGGCGAGATGCGATCCGCATTTACGACAGCAGAGCCCTGCGTTTATGCCCGTAGCTGCTAGAGGATTGCGGTTGTCCATCGTGGCAGTCGTCGGGCCAGGGGCTATTGTGGGTGCGGCTCCCGTATTTCCTAGGTCGTTGGCAGTTAGGGAATCGCAGTTAAGGCAGCGAATGGTGATCTGTCGGGGCGGCGGCTTGATCCCTGGAGTGCCATCTCTGGCACGACTTTTAATGGCAGATTGCTGTTCGAATTTGACCCGCAGAATAAATTTCCTGTGGCGTTGCAAAAACCCCTTGTAGGCATTACGCCAAGCAGTGCAGCGTAGATCGTCGATGTATCGGGGGTAACAAAATGACATGATAAGGATTGCCGTTTGGTAGTCCAAGAACTTTTCAACGTACTTCGCTAGGATATCCGCCATATGATCGGTTATACCTGCTAGAACAATGCCTTCGATATCTCCTGTGCGAGTAGCTTCTTCCATTTCTTTTTCAAGCCATTCAGTGAGCTCATCGTCGCTAAAATTCCGTAGGGCAACGCCGACACGGTCACGCATTGGAAGTGCTGCTTCGTCTGCAATGGCTCGCCAGTTTCCGGTAGTGATGTAGCCATAGATGGCTCTCAAATAAGGGTCTTCAGCCATCTGTGAGTGGTGATCAAGGGCGTTAGACCATTGTTTAGTGTCTATACCCAACGTGATACTACTCTCAAGCTTGATGTCCAGCGCCATTGCTATGAATAGCAAATCCTTGCCACCCTTTATCAAGATATTGACGGCACGCTTTGGAAAGCCTTCAAAGAGTGCATACGCAGCCGCAGTTGTATATTTGCCTTCACTTTCTAAGACTTCCATGTCTTTATCAAGCTCATCCGGCGATTTACCAAGACCGCATATCGCAAGGCATAGCTGCCGGTGCTGAGGCTTGGTAGTTTCAACTCCCTTGAATTGAGGTCGGCCGGCTTTTTTATTGATGGTAGCAATGAGATGTTCCCATTGTGTCACGTCCGGGATGATGGTGCTGTCAATAAGTCTAGATTGGGATTTTTCGCCTATTCGTAATGCAGTCAGCATGCTTGAACATATAGAATTGGAGAGACAGCATATAATATACCCAGGAAATTCATCCAGATCGTGTAAACGCCCATGTAGCTAAGGTCGAGAGGACCCGACACCATTCCATCGTCCTTTGCTGCTTCGTCAGCACCTAGAGGCATGATCAGCGAGAGAAATCAACGTGATCACAGAGTATCAAGCTTGCCTTCAATCCATTCCCAAACATCCTGCAACCACAGATCATCAGCCACAACTGATATGTTATGTTCGCAGTTAAACAAATAACCGTCTATAGCACGTTGAAGCATAACATGATCCAGCAATTCGCTCTTGGATTGAGTGGACGGTATGAGGCTGATTGAGGTGTAATGTGACTTATCATGCAGCTCTCTGCTTGACAACACTTTCTTTGGAATGATGAGGCCAGAATTCTCCAGCGGCGGACTGGCAGCTTTAGATTCGGACCTTAGCTCTTCAATTTTACCTCTCAATGAATCTGACTTAGGAGTGCTCATTTGTTGTTCCGTACTTGCTTCCGCCGGAGCAAGTAGATTGACGACGGGGTCTTGTGGGGACTGGAGCAATTTTTTGACAGTCGCCTCTAATTTGGCTCTCATGCTCCTCGACGTGAATTTCTCTGGCCCAAACACGGGGATATCGGCTTTTGCTTCACTTGCGAACAAGGGACCAAGAAGCTTATCCCGCTCACTCGGATCCTTGAAGTTCATCAAAGTCAAGTAAGGATCACCAACTAGATGGTATCAGTCAAATACTTTATATAGCTAACGCGGAGAACTTACGCCTATGTGGAGGCTTCCAGGGTATCAACTTCGAGAGCCGGCCTGCCGTGGGAGCTGGCATTTGGAGAATTTCAAAGGCACCATTACCTCTCAAGGCAATAACACGACCGGGGAGATCCGAAGTACCAAGGTTAAGCCAGTCAAAACTGACGATCCTATCCTCGAATCTTCTCTTATGATCTTTATCAAAGTAGGGATACTCAAGATCATATGACTTTCTAACATCTAGTAGCTCTGGACTACCATAGATGTCATTTACAGATCCAGGCTCCACGTATTCCTTGTTGGTTTGGAAAATCTGAAGCTGGCCAGCACTTGATAGGACCCCTAGAGTGCCCCGCTGATCACGACAATATCGAAGCTGACGGATATAAACATTCTTTTCTGACTGAATCGCACGATCCAGTTTCAGAGCAGCTCCCCAAGGTACCTCTTCTTGGTCAATGGACTCGAGGTACATTGGAGATGCTGAGGCGCGGCTAGTAACGCGGCGATCCCAAACCACGAGACCAGGTTGATCCAAGGATGAAGAAGCAAAGTAATTGGAATCTGCATAATCGATAGACAGATTGTTGTTGCATCTCGTTGGGAAGTTGGCGACAATAGAATTGGGATCTAGAAACTGTTAACTTGTTATCAAGTGTCGAAAGGATATGATACCAACCTCGAAGATCATGAATCCGAACGCTCTGGTGCTTTACGCCAACAACAAGCGTTTTTGGCTGATCTTCAAAGAATCGGATGCTTGCTACAGAGACGCTGGGTTCGAGCTTCTTGGGTTCCAAGTTGGAATTTGGAACATTCCATCCTCGTTTCTTGGGGTCCCAACCAGCCAACCGCTGATTCAGATCCCATATCTGGAGACAAGCATCATTACGCACTCTGTCCAGCCCAACAGCAAGAAGTCCTGTAGTGTTGAAAGCTACGGACTGACAAGGTCTGGGGACCTTGAGTGGCAAGGCGAGAACCTGATTTGAGTCGTCATCAACTCTGAGCAGGTTAATATCACCTCGAGATGTACCCATGGCCACAAGGCCTGGGTTGACAGGCGACCAGTCATAGGTGTTGAGCGGAGGAAACTCATTATGTTTGCAGATCTTCTGGTAATCGAATCGGCCTGGTTGAGCGTGACCTGTTGCTTCATAGATCTGAACTATCCGGTAGTTCAGATTGATGGTCATGAACTGGTCCCTTGAAGGGTTGGGGGACCATCGTATAATGCCGTCGTTACGCTCCATGCTAAACTGCGTTGCTGGTACACTGGTACACTGTCGTCGTCCTGATAGAAGCCCTAAAATAGGACTACCAGCCTCCCTCGTTCATCTGATCAACGGGCCAAAGAAGCTCTCCTTGCTCAGCAAATCATATCGAGCACAGCATCAAGTTAGAAGGTTCGTGACATTCTGAGCTCTCAGAGTTAAGTAATCTATTCTCCTTGAAGGTATCCCGTTGTTCGGTGGTGTTGTTTTTCCGTACCGGAAAGTCCAGTCACGTGAAACATCGATAAGAACAAAATTTGGGCCAAAAATGCGATGCTGCCCCGTTGCTTCACAAGGACAAAGAACACGGCGTCTATGCAAAAAGACAGAACCACCATGGCCACAAAAAGGAAACATGAAGAATCAGAGCAGCAAGAGGCTGTTCACGCAGAACGTCAAGCCCAGGTTTATGGAAGCAATCCAAAGCCTGCAAAGAAACCCCGCAGAATCGAATCGACGGCGCCCAAAAAGAAACAAGCTCATGCCTCGAGTGTCAACGCAATAAAGAAACGTATACGCGATGTTAGAAGGAGATTGGAGCGCGCAGATGATCTGCCAGCCGATGTGCGGATAGAGAACGAGCGCGCTCTGGCAGCATATGAACAGGAACTGGTCGCTGCACTTGCTGAGAAGACGAGGCAGAAGATGATCAAGAAGTACCACATGGTCCGATTCTTTGGTATGGCTGAATATAAGCTCCCACTTGTGCATAGCATTTGCTAATTCTGCCCAGAAAGGCAAAAGGCTACCAGACAATTGAAGAAGCTACGAAAGCGTTTACTTGAGGCTGAATCACCGGAGGAAACTGAGGCATTGAAAAAACAAGTGCATGTGGCTGAGGTCGATCTCAATTATACCCAATACTGTCCTCTTAGTGAGGTATATGTCAGCCTCTACCCTCAGAAGAAGAGTTCGACGGAGGAGGACGATGGTGGGTCCAATGGAACGAGTGAAAGGCCAAAACCGCCAATGTGGGCAGAGGTGGAAAAGTGTATGGAGGAAGGAACGCTCGATCAACTACGAAATAGAGTACCAAACGTTCGAATCAACAACACACCAAGGAAAGTGGAGAAAAAGCCTCCGAAACCAAAGCAGAAAGATATTCCTTCAGTGGAAGGACTCAATCGCAGGGAGAGGAGGAGTCGGCTTGGTATTAGCAAGGCAGGCAAAAACAAGAATACGTCCGTGGCTTTCGAGAAGAACAAGGCGTTTGGGGCATCACAAGGGCCAAAGGGCAATGTGGCTCGGGATATTGGAGGTGATGATGAGAGTGACGGCGGTTTCTTCGAAGAGTAATGGTAAAAGGGGGGTGGAGTTGGCATTTGAGCATTGATCGGAGTTACATAATCACGATACCCTCTCAACCTACAGGTTGCATTAAGTCAATGATTAGGCCCCATTCCAAAAGATATGTTCCTTAGCCAAGATTTATTCGCCGTTATTCCCACGTGATTTGAATCCTTGCAACTCCACTGCATGTAGCCGATCAATGCCCAACCTCCTTTCTGATTTGGTGAACATTTCTTCAGTTAGATGGTCAACTTATACGAGGGACTTCTTTTCCTCGCGTGGTAAACAAAAGTTGTCTTTTTTTTCCCCGGAGAAAAGTCAAACGGGGGGGCGCCATGGAGACCTCTGAAATTTCAACAATCAGTCAGCCTTCCCGGAAGACAAACTTCCAATCGATTGAAGAGTTCATGAGAGAGCAGGATGAACTAGACGCCATCAAGCTCGCGGAAGCAAAAGCTCGGGCTGAAGCAGCAGCTCCTTCTAAGAAGGCCAGGAAGACAATCGACATTGAGGCATTGGCGTTGGAAGCACGTGCTCTCGAAGAGATTGGAGAGACCAATTGGATTGGTAGACTGCATGGTGAGTTTCCCTATTGCTTGCTATATTCGTCGATCGTACTACTGCTGATCAACATTTTCAGAATACCGCAGTGTGCATCCTCCTACCACTGGGTTGAAGTACGTAGATGGTGTTGTTGGCCAGGCGCCTGCCAGATTCACCTGCATAGCAGCCTTAGCTGAAAGCCCCCAGCCATTCGGCGACGCGGTATCTTTCACCAAGAAGAAAGACGCCAAGCAGTACGCGTCCAAGAAAGCCATCGACTGGCTGATCGAGAACAAGTTCATGCCCGTGGACCAAGTCAAGTTCCCGAAGAAGCAGCCAAAAGCGGTAAGCCAAGCAGCAGCCGGAACAGCCAAGGCTGCTGCTGCTGCTGCTGCTGCTTCTGCTCAAGAAGACAACGCTATCCCAGCTGCCCCGCCTTCGAAATCGACATCGACATCTTTTGCGGGACAGATCCCGGATCTCTGCATCCGTCTCGGTTTCAACATGCCCAAGTATGAGATCACGCGAGCATCGGAGATCGCACCGCTGTATTCCGGCTATGCTCATTTCAACGGCGACCCGCGAATCGAAGGCAAGGTAGGAGAAGTTTTTGATGTCTTCGGGCAGAAAAATGCCAAGGAGAAGATTGCCGAGGAGGTCTTTTCGTTCCTGAAGGATATTGAAAGGCAGAGGATGGCTCTTTATGAAGATGATGCGGAAGAAGAAGACAGGAAAAGGAAGCGTTCGATGGAGAGCCCGGAGGTTGGTAACACTTCCGGAAAGGCTATCAAAGCCCAGGCGTGAAGTGTTTGGGGCTTGGTTACGAATAATGAGATTAGAGTGTTCTTGTTCGGATAGGGGTGCGTTATCAGGTCTGGAGTTAGGGAGGGTGATGACGAGCATTTCAGGGGGTTTAGAAATGAGGTCTTACTGGATTCCTGGGAATTTCTTGGTATTTGTTGTCTGAGGTCTGGAGTAGTCACATCTGGAAATCTGCTAGATCTCTTGATATGGGCCTCCCAATGTTTTCGGGTACTACTCGGCCTGCCGCCTCAGTTATTACCATAATCCATGGTAAGACTATTTTGCTTCGGAGGAGGCCGTATCTAGAATAGACTTCAGACAGATTGGATGAAAAAAGCCGAGTCTATATGAATCACGGCTCGGCCCCTCCTTTATCCTCTTCGAGAGCATCTGGCACCTTTGCTCCCACCCCTTTACTATTTCGGCCTTCTTTGTTCGCACCTTTACCCTTCCCTTCTTTCGACGCTCTCGGGCCCTTCCCCATCGGCGGTTTTCTATTCCGCAGATTTTCCGGCAACTCACCAACCGCCTTCCCATCCTCCCATAAGACGCCAACATCCTGACGTCTCCCTATCACCTTTTTGAAATATTTCGAGCTCAAAATCCCATTCTCATCCCCCTCAGTCAAAACCACCCCGTTCTCGCTAAGCCACCAGAGAATCCCATCTTCCATGCTCTTCTGGATATCCACATATATCAGAAGTTCAGCATCACTTCTCATCCCACTGATAACACCCCCCTGTTTATCCTCTGGCAGGCCCGTGCTGAAATGCATATGATTCCTGGTCATCTTTTTGAGGCCCCCCGTTTCAAGGATCGGTTGGTAGAAAGCGAAGTATGTACCATGGACGACGACATCCGGGATGTTACCAGCTTCGCGAGTGATGGGAGTGAGAAGCGCGGCTGATTCTACGGCAATGCTGTGTCCTTGATTGGCTCGGATCACCCAATCTGAAGGCTCTTCGGAAGATGGATCGGGGGCGGTTTCCAGAGCTGGGTTGGGCTTCATCGAGAAGCGTTGTTTGGCGTTGTCCGTTACCGCCGTTCGGATATCAGCGAATGTGACATTCAGCGATTTCAGACGCGGCCATTTCATCTGTAGAATAGGTAGCATTAGTCTATGTGCTGAAGAAGGGAAATTCATATCACGTGTAATTATCCACGTGATATATACGATTGGTAGATTCGCTGAAGAGAAGAAAGAGAGAGAGGAGCACGAGAGAGAGAATGGTTGACGCAGTTGTTGCCCAGAGATTGAAGGGAAGGGAAGGGGAAAAACTCACTACTTGATCAAGCCTCGCAAATCCCTCGTTATCCAGTGCTAGGCCCTCATCCTCCGCAGCATGCCTCAAGAGCTTCGATAAAGCTTTAGATACTGCCACTTCGCGATTCATCTCTCCTTTCCCACCAGCACCAGCACCAGCTCTGCGTCCTGCCCCTCTACCACCTCCGCTTCTATTTCCCCTTTTATCTCCTCCTTGGCCCCGTCCGCCTCGCACAGCGTGATCTGGCTCTTCTGACATTGGTGGGATGAACTGGGAGCGATTAGTAGTAGTATAGTGGGACCCTGCGATATTTCGTATAGTCTTGTTGCCGACTGCTGCTCTTCGACTGTCGGTCCTTGGTAATACTAATAAACGGCTTCCGGAACTTTGTTTTGATATCGAAATTGGAAATGTCACGAATAGTCTCTTCTGCATTGCCGGTGGAAAGCCTACCTAGGTAACTAATCTGGCGTTCTTTTAGAAGAGGCCTTTTAACGAAAAGTTTAGTTCGACAAATGATTTTAGGTCTGTCTACCTTACATTTTAACACTACTCTTCAGGAACAGGAATACTGAACAACGAGGCCCATGGGCAATGCTTGACCGCATCAGAGATGCGATGTCTTTGCTCTATCGCTTACACTACTGATCTCCATTCCATCTTTCTCTACTAAGGTACCTGACCCAACCACCGCCCATTGAACCACCTGCATCCCCTGAAGAGGAATCAGTCTAAGCCACCAGAGCAGCCTGCACGTCTACTATTCAACTACAAGAATATTATATAATGAAGATGTATATATAGTCTCACTCACTCGTGACTGAGCTGTATCAGGTGTTAACCCGGCTTGGCAGTATTCATGAGGAGGTTGTTGCTTTGCGGCCTGCGGACGGCTATGCTATCAAATGTGGCCCTGACATCTGGACCGCGAGGCTCTTGTCATCGATACGAGACTCTTTGTCCGTGGTCAGGTTTGCTTGTATATAATAACGATATTTACACGCAACAACGAATTCTTCTTGATTAACCCCCCTCCTTCCCACCCTGGTTCTTGATCTCATCATTCATTCATTCATTACTCGTTTTTTATCATACCTATCTATCGAACCCAACTAGCTCGGCTCATTGATACCATACCTAACCCCATCCTCCGAGCTTAATCCCATCCCATCGGCCACTGTTCGTTCCCCCCTTGTTACAAACATACTCCTCAATCGATCAATTTCCCCCCTCCCTCTCCCTCTCCATCCCTCGTCACGCGCGAGAGAGCTAGGAAGCTTATCTTTAAGGCAGTGCTACGTCGAGGAAAGAAAGAAAGAAATTACCAGGACGCAGTGATGCGCGGTCAGTCAGCTCACTCAATCCAACTCAACTCAGAGATACGCAACACCATGCTCCAAGCCCATGGGCCACTTCTCGCCCTTTATGACAAAGCGCTCGATCAAGCTAGCTTTCTCGCCTCTGCCCTCCATGACCCTCCATTCCTCGTCGTAGAACGGCCATAACATCCACGTCTCGCCCTCTCCGTCGGTTCCCTCGGCTCCTCTTAAGACGCCGGAGAGCTGGAAAGCCTGCAGCTGGGCCCCGAGGAGAGAGCGCAGGTCGGAGAGGAAAGCGTGCCAGGAGCCGTGGGTGAGCGATGCGGAGCGGAGACGGAGACGCGTGAGGAAGGGGTGCGAAGAGAGATAGGAGAGGAAGGTGGGCGGGTGGATGAGCGGCGAGCTGAGGGTAAGCGTGTGCAGTTTTGATGAGGAGGAGCCGAGAGGTAGGAATGTCAAAGGTACGGTATCGAGACTTTCGAAGGAGATGGAGAGGGTGGTGAGGAGGGGCGCGGATGCTATCAAGTCCCTGAGACGGTCGCGAGCTTGAGCACTGCGCGAGAACACGCCTGCCAAGTCGGAAATATCAAGATGCAGACTGTGAAGGCGGGAGAGGGACCCCAGGGCCCCGGGGGGTAGGGACAGCGCGTCGTCGAGGAAGAAAGGGGAGAGAAGCTGTTGGTGTCTAAAATGTAGGATATGCAGACCAGCGGAGCGAGCAGCGCGCAGGATTCGCCATAGCTGTTCAGTCTGCGGGTGTACAGAGCGGTGGTAAGCGGCCAGCGCGTACTCGTCCCAGACCTTACGCAGCAAGCGGTGACGGAAAGGGTTTTCGCACGCGATCGTGATGCTGTGGACATTCGGGACAGCTTGGAGAGCGCGCACGAGACGCTCCTCATCGCGAGCCAGCTTCTCGTCCAGATCGTGCTGCGCGGCCACGGCGTCCAGCTCGGCGAGCGCCTGCTGCTCGGCTTCCGTGGGGACGAAGTCTAGCGTCTCGTACTCGCGCCGGAGCTCGTGTCGGTTGCAGACGATGTTGCGGAAGTAGCGCGGGTCCCAGCCATTGCTCTGGAAGATGAGCGTGCTCACGGTGTGGGCGGCGCGGGGGCCGACAACTGCGCTGCGGCTGATGGAGAGGAGGCGCGAGAGGTCGTGGGCGTAGGAGCGGAGGGAGAAGGTAGGGAGGAGGAGAAGGTCCGCGCCGACGCTGGCCCAGGCTTTGGAGACGCAGCGGAGCGCCTTGAGAGTCGAGAGGTCGCTGGCATCATAGATCAATCGCTTGAGCTCGTAGGGGAAGATATCGACGGGCTCGAGAGCCATGGGCGTGGCAGCAGATGGCGCTCAGACGACACCGCCGGCTGGGCTGGGCTGGACTGCCGAATTGCATACCAGGTGGAGTGGACTCGGGCGAGGAGTTCTCAGTTGCTCCCTGGGGGAAGCTCTGCTCCTGGTTGAGAGCAGGAAGCGCTCAAGACTGGGCTTGACACCGCGAGGTTGAGAAGAGGTGCTGTTAGGACGTGCCTGGGGTTAGTCATCTTGCCGATTCCGCGCACACCTCCTTTTCTGTCGTGCGTAGGTCTATAAAGAGCCCCTTTGTAGGTAGACAGTCTTACTTACCTACGCCACGGGATCCAGAGATGAGCTTTACCTGCGTTTAGTAAGTATAAACAAACTACGATGATAAGTTTCCTAGCCCCGCACGAAGGTTCTTATCTAGGTAAGGTAAGGTAAGGTAGAGAGAGAATATCCTCCGATAATACACTGACTCGAGTCGAAAGACCCCTTTTCGCTCTAAAAAGGCCCTGCATATGAAGGTGCGATGTGCAACAAAAGATGCCAAGATTTTAAAGCGGTTATTGGCTGATGTGCAACAGATCTCTTTCTTTGTCAATTGTTCAGTCATAAAGGTTCAGTAATCAGTCGTCATTATTATCCAGGGTACGGCGTGCAACAAAATCTCGGGAGTTTTATCAATTGCTCGGGAAATCTCAGTAATCAAACCTTATCTCAAGGTGCGATGTGCAACAAAAGATAGGTACTCATGTTTGAGCTGTTTGGCAAATATTCAGAGAATATCAGTAAGGTAACTAACTGGGCATGTGCGACATGCAACGAGATTCTTTCTATTCTTTGCCAATTACTTTACTCATCACGGCATCAGATCATCTCAGCATTACATGTCCCTTCCAAGTGCGACGTGCAACAAAACTAGATTTTGTTTGGTATGGTTCCTGGTAATAAGTCGATTGTTCTCTACTCCTCCTGTCTGGGTCTCTCCCACCCAATTAGATAGATCCTGTCTGTAATAAGAGTTTTCACTACGTACAGTATCTCGGCGGTAGTTAGCAATGGCAATGGCAAAGCTCTATCTCCCGTCCAATCAGCTCCCTAAGAAAGCTATCACAGCACGTACTTTCCCGAAGAAGCTATGCTATACTATGAAACAATACCTTGTGTTCTTATGTCTTGAGTCGAAGGTGAAGCTGAGGGAATTCTCAATTTCTTTCATTCTTTTCATTCTTTCTGTTCTTCTCTCCCTCCTTCCTTACTTTAGACAGTAATTGTGTAATGTAATATAATTCTTACAAAAAGAAACCACTCCTCGCTCGCTATGAAGTCAAGTATGGACACTTTCTCCTCTTCTTAGTTTTCGTCTTCGTACTGGCAGCTTTATCTCCATGATCCATCTCTCATCGGCATCGTATGAATCGTGTCCCGGGTATCTCCAAATGTGTCCCCTTTTTTCTCAGAATCGCCGTTTATGGTAAAAACAAATGAAAAGAGAAGACAGGCGAGCCTGACGCCGCAAAGATGTTGACTCCAAGAAAAAGTAAAAAGAACCGATTTCTCCAAACTCCGATGTTTGGGTGTTACTACAAGTGATGTTTGCGATGTCTGCGATGTCTGATTTCTGATGTCTGTGATGTTTGTGATGTCTGATGTCTGTCATGTCTGCGCGCTGATGCTATTGGTAACCGCCGGCCGGCCCTGCTCTTGGTGAATCTGCTGCATTCGATGGTCTCGTTGGCCTCGAGATGCTGGCTGTTCGCCCGAAGGTGAAGCCCTGCCCGATGGAGGACTTCCTCTGCATACGATCCTCCACCATTCTTCCCGCCACACTGGGCGTATCTCGCTCCGGCGTCGACCGATCTAAGAATCTCCGGCTATTTAGATTCAAGGGACTGCTAGCAGGCTGTCCCGCAGTATTCGTGAGACTGGTTGATATGTAATGTCTCCTGACGGGTAGAGAGGATTGCGTAGATGGCAGACGGTTTTCTGATAAAGATTGCTGAGAAGCATATTCGCGCGGAGAGTTCCGAAGACGACCAAGCTCAGTGGCGGCCCTCGATGGCGCTCGGAACCGAGATTCATCTTCCTCCTCGGGTTCCTCGGTACCTGCACGACGGCTCCTTAGCAACAGAGATGATCTGCGACCTGCCATTGCAGACTGAGTAGGAGTGTTGACCGTGTTGACCGTGTTGACCTCTGATGGCGTGTATCTCGGGCTTGGTAGTGAACTTGTGGCCAGAAGACTGCTTCTTCGGGCCTCAAGCCGACTCAAAGCTCTTGGGCTGGCCTTGATCCGTGTAAGATCGGCGTTGACGGGTGGCCGCTGGACGCTGTCTGCTTGGTTCCCTGTCTCAGTGTTGCTCCTCGGCCGTTTTAATGGCTTGTCCGCCGGCTGAGCCTGTTCAGTCTTGTCTTCAGACAAAGCCAGACAGAGTTCCGTCAAACTCCGGCACAAGCTGTCCGCCTTCCGGCGAACCTGTCTATCCGAGACAGTGTTGGTCGATGCACCCACCGTCGATTGAGAGCTAGATATTGGCCCAGGTTGACCTGATGTTCCCATCATTACAGCAATTGCGAGTGCATCCGTAGTAGTGGCCTCTAGAGCCTTGTATACTTCCGCACTCAGCAATGGCTTTGATTTTGCCAAGGCAGAACTCAGAAGGGGATGAGTATTTGTTGGTGAAGGTTCCACGTTTACGGAATCAGGTGGTGAGATGCTATTACCACGGCCGCGCTTTGGAGACGACGACATGGTGGTAACTGTGGTTGTTGCAGTCGGGGGGCGGTCGTTAGAAGCTCGAGACATTGCCGCACCAGACGTCGCTGGTAGCTTCCCTGTCAGCTCGAGCCGATGTATGCGAGATTTGAGATCTTCCAGTTCATCCCAAACCGTAGATGGCGCGGTTGTTGACACGGTAGATTCCGTCCCCTCGGCTGCGCGGGGGGTGACAGGCCCCTCATTTACGTCCGCTGTACGCGAGACAAGTGGGGACGAGTTGTACGTCCGGGGCGCAGGATATGACAGATGTGAAGGTCGGTAGGTGGATGCGCGAGAGGGTGGTAATAGTGATTCCGGTGCAGAGGGTCTCCGGCTGCCATATGAGCCTTGCGATTCCGGTGAAATGTCCCTCCCTCCAAAGGTCCTCGGAGTGGTCGGATTCGAATGGGAGCCGGCCGCGTAACGATTCCTGCTCGAGTCGAGTGCTGTAGGTGCCCGCTCCCAGGTAGTCGGGCGATACGTTAGGGCTTGTGGCACATGTTCGGTCTGCGAACTCAATCGTCGACTCTCTAGATCGGAGCCACGACGACGGGACATCGAAGACTGAAAGCCGGGGTTAGGAGGGGGGAGAGACTGGCGGTAGGTCTGGGACTGGAAGACATGTTAACACTATAAGATGGCGAGCCATAGGCTGTGAAGGCCGGGCGGGCATGTAGTAAACTGTGAATAGATGTTACAACGTACCCTGCTGATTCCCGACCGACCGGCCGCAGCCTCCTCCCGCGCAAGTTTGAGGAAGAGATCAGAATCATCGCTACTCTGTTCTTCCTGGTCGCGGGTCGGGGACCTCTGCGAATTAAACCCCTCGAGGGCTTTTAAAGTGTCGTCCTGTTCCATCGAGATGCGCCGCTGAGAGGCGGCTATCATCTCCAGGCTCCGTCGACGAGATCTGAGGCCGCGGATGGGGGGAATTATAGGGGTAGTCGGTGGATATAATGGGGATGGATACGACGATCTGGTGGTGGATTTGGTGTCTGAGTTGGCACTCGAGGGAGTCAGAGCGGATTGGTTGACCACCCAGTCTTTGGTCGAGTTATCGGTGTCGAGGGTTTGTCGCGGGACTTTCTGCGTGAGCATCGCCGGTGGAGGGCCGGATCCTAGAGCATCATTCCTGCTGTGGGACGCAGGGACATGATGATTGCGATCTTTTGTCCTGGCGACGGGAGGTGAGCGTTGCGACGCAGCAGTGTTCTGGGGACGCGAGCGAGGGCTTGGACCAGGGGAGAGGGACGTCGGCGAGGACGGAGGGGAGGACTGTTTTGGGGAGAGGTCTGGGGTGGACTCCGAGCGATGGCGAGAGCTGTCCGAAGGGTCTGCAGAAGAGCAAGCAGCAGAAGGAGATGCAGTGGTCGTGGGAGGCGTCGTGGTCGGCGTGGAAGTGGTGGTGGGGGAGGTGGTGGTGCTCGTGGACGGGCGTTCTGGAGTCGCAACAGCAATGGAGGAGGGAGCCGTGATGTGATTATTGTGGTGGTTGTGGTTGTGGTCACGGGCGGCTTTAGAAAGAGACGACGTCAGTTTAGCGGCGGGCGGTTTGAAGTCGGCGAAGCGGAACGAGGGCAACTTGGAGCTGTTGTGGTCCAGCCGGTGCATATGGAGGGAGATGGGCGCTTCCATCTGCATGGCGAGACGGAGAGTCAAGAATTGGATCGATCAAGCAATGATAGAGAAGAAGAAATCAACAGAGAACAATCAACGATGGGAAGAAAGAGGGGAAGAAGAAGGCCGGGCGAGGCAAGGCGAGGCAAGGCAGGGCAAGGGGAAGGGAAGTGAAGGCGACCAGGGGTGAGAGAGAGAGGAGAGAGGAGAGCAGAGGAGGGCAGTCCCTCGTATATGATGCAGCGATGCAGAAATCCAGAAGCCCAGAAGCCCAAAGCCAGCGACGGCCGGCCGTCAGATCAGATCCTGCCATATGAACGATATTCCAGCACCGGTCCAAGCGCGCTGCAGGGCGTTCACACACTTCCCACAGAGTCCCCTCCTGATATGCATCGCGAGAGCACATCCGCGCGGGAGTAACGCAGCGTGGTAAGGAGGCAAGCGACCGACGAGGGAAGCCGAGCGGAAGCGTGTGAAAAGAGGGAAGATCTAGGGCTTGGTCGGCGTTGGTGGAGGCTGTCGAGGGGCTGCCGAGGGGCCCCTGGGAAGCGATGGGAAGAGAGAGCCCCTCGCGGCTTCGAGGGGGGGAAAAGGGGGAGGAGAGGCGAGGGGAGGGGATGGGATGGTCTATAACAAAGGTAGGTATATATCATTCTGGACAATGAGCCCTTTTCGACAATCCTATGCATTGCTCGATTGAGAGTTGTCTACTGTATTATTGATCTCACCACCAAGCACACCGACATACCAGAAGTTGCACCCTTCACACAGTAGATTGTACCCTTCACGCAGGAGAGACAAGAGCCAAAAAGGACGACAATTCTCGGGATCAAAGCTCCGACTGCACTGACTGTGCTCTCTCCACTGTCCCATCTTCCAAGGGGCATTCGGTCGATAGCCGATGGCCTAGGGACTTCTGCTACTGTACCTTGCTGTACCTAAGGATCTAAGGTAAGGTACTGTGGAGGTGGAATTTCGTCAACTATCCAACGCCCACCCCTCCGTATATGCGAGTAATTAGGGCTAACGATTTGTAATTCTCATAGTAGACGCATCTAAAGGGGGATACACTTTTGGTATAGATAGTACTACGCAAAAGTCCTGTATGTAAAATACAATGTATGTATGTATGTATGTATGTACCTACCTTACCTATGTATGTATGTACAGTACTACAGGCCACCAAAGGACTTCCCAGAGTGACAGTTACAGAGTAGAACCGCAGACCAGGGCTCTGCTATTAAGGACATGCGACGGGATATCATCTAAACCCGGAAGGGACGTCTTACGCAGAGGGTGGTAAATATCAGGGATACAGGGATTCCGTGTTGAAACGGGAGAACCGGGCCATCCTTGATCCGGACCATGGCCCTGAATCTCGGCTCCTTATCTGCTGATTGGCTAGCCATGAGAGGATACCGGAAGGGGTAGGGGTGCCACGTGTGTTACGTAAGCAGTGCCCGCTAAGGAGCTAAGGTAAACCCGCTCCGATCATCGAAGCCGCTAAAGGCACTAAAATGTGGTACATCAAGGTACTCCGTAATAATTCCAGTCCCTGCCGACTTACTAGAGCCACTCCACTCGCTCTCTACCACCACCACCGCCACCACCAAGAACAGACAGACACGGGAAGAAGGGCCACCGTCTCTACACGCCGTCGCCTGTCGCGCGACTGTCAAATGTCAAATTTCGAATGTCAATCATCATCCCTGACCATGATCCTGTGCTCTCACAACCTGGGCGCTTCACGATTTCACATCCACCGCCCACCGTTGCTGGCCCAGTAACCAGTAAGAAACACTCGTCGCGAGCCCATCGTTTCATGATGCCTGTCCTCGGTCAGAGCCCTTGTGCCTGTTTGGGCCTGGTCGGTTACCTCCGGCCGTACCCGCCGTGGTGTTTGCCTTGTTCCCCAGGCTGCCCGAGGGACCCTTCTTCAGTCCCCGATATTCCCAGGCGCGGATGGCCAAAGGCTCAAATCCCATCATCCATCATCATCACCATCATCACCATCGTCAATCCAGATGCACATCCATCCATCATCCTGCTTCACCTGACTCAACCTCCGCGCTGATCCCTCATTCCCCTTATTGCCTATCTGTCTTGTATTCTTGTCGTGTCGTGCCTCGTCTGGTCTGCTGCTCGCGCCGTCCCGGGGCGCATCCGTGGTGTGTCGTCATGCTCATCCTCTGACTGCAGTTATATCGGGGGATTCCTCCAACATCCATTGCTCACGTTGCTTCTCGCATACATATATACATATATATATACGCACGCACGCACGCATTCCCGCGTCGTGGATTTCTGGGCAAAAGCTGCCATCGCAATCAATCCCTACGCCCCTCCTCCATCATCGTCCAGGGCCTCCTCTTCTGCGTCCCACTTCCCACGAGGCGCCGTCGCAAGGCTTTTCACCACTGAGTGTAAGGCTCCGTAGAGCTGCATTTCCCATCTTACTTCTACTACTGCTACTTCTACTCTAGAGTAGCCCTCCTCCTACTACATACAGTACTACTCCGTGTTCTTCAACACGCGGGACAGGGGGCGCAAAAGGATCCAACGGCCCCGCCAGCGACCGGCCGCCAATTCTTGTTCGACGACAGCCTACAGGATCCATCCATAACCCAGTACGACAGCCTACTACAGGCACTACAGACTACAGACTACACTCCTACTACTCCGTAAAGAATCCTTCCATCGGTTCATCTTCTTCTTCTTCATCTTCTTCTTTCCTTCCACCCCACAAAAAAGACACCCTCGGCCAGTCCCTCCATGGCCCTCTGACGCGCTCTTTGTCCTGGAGGCATTGTGTGCGCCAGACGAGAACAGCAGCACCACGGGCATCCGCTCGCTCGCTCACTCTCTTCAAGTCCGAATAACCACCACAGGAGCCGCCAGATTGCCTTTGTCGCAGGCGGGGGGGCGCGTGGTGGTGACCCCGGCACCCAAATCAACGCAGCGCACCGTCTGATTCGCCTGGCGCTCCCTTTTGCTTCGCGCCCCTGTCGGGCGTTCTGCTCGTCGCGCGCCGCTCATTCGCTCCAGCGTTGGCGCCCACACCTTTCCGGTATTGCTCTATTTTTGGACGCTGCGTCTAGACGGCCGTGTCCCTCTGGCTGCATGCGAGCTGACACTCTTTTTAGCAGATCTTTAGTGAGAGAGCCAACAATAGGTAATCTCGAATCGAACCCTGCGATCGCCAACACTGTCCCGACGTCCTCGTTTCTTCATACTCGCCGCCCCGTCGAGCAGTCTTGTCTTGTTGCCTACCCCCGCCGTGCTGAACGCGGCGATACACGAAAGGCTTCAGCTCAGGCGTTGCGTTGCCCACATCCGCGGGGTGTCCGCTCTCCTCCTCTGGAATTAGCTCGATTGCCGAGGCGCATCTGCTCGTTTGACCATCTTTCGTGGCGGTGATTATTATCGCCCCCAGACTCCGTATACGCCCTCGACGTGTCGCCGGTCTCGACCCCAATCCTCCCACACTTTTGTCCTCGATCTGCCCGGCCAGCAATTGAGGCGCCTCACCTGGGAACGGTTGCGGCGCTAAGCACGAGGCCTGCCTCGAGTTGACCAACCCCGAAGCGCCTTATAGTTAGTTGGAGACCTCTGGTAAATACCTCCCCTTCTTGTCAATCCTCCCTTCCTCATCCCTCGTGCCCTGGAGGCATCATCTCTCCAAGTCGGACGTGCAAGCAAGTCATCTGTGTCTGGGTACACGACTGCTGCTCTCGTTGGCTAGACCATGCGTCGTACACTGTCCTCCCTCTTTGTTATACGCTTCCACCACCTGACCCATGGCTCCCCTATCGAGTTTGCAGAATGCTAATGACCGGACTTTGAAGAGATCTTTCACGTCACTTACCACATCGCCATCATCGTCACCGGAACGAGCGAGGGGACCGAGTACGGTCGGTGCGCGGGCGAGGACAGTAAAGCTACGAGCTGGAGGCAGTCTGGTACAGGACCCATCCAGAGGACGAAGTCTCCACCGATCAGCAGAAGACATGCCGTCAGCTGCTGGTCCTCGGATGTATGAGAACCATATCCCTTCCTTTATGTCAGTCTATGACATGGATACGAGCGCGGTGGAAAGCCCTGGGGTAGAACCTCCTACGAAAACCGCTGCACCAGAATACATTAATCAACTCCCACACCGGCCCCTCCAGAATCAGCAACCACCCGAAAACAAAAAATCACAAACGCAAATACATTCACATCAACACCGGAATAGCACATCATCTACTCAGGCATCTGACTCAACCGACTCATCACCAACCACCACCATATCCACTGTCGATTCGTCCTCATTATCAGATCCCTCGCCGAGCTCCTCCCCTGAATCCCCCATCACGCTCGTACCGCTGTCTTCGTTCTCGGGGTCGTTTGGTATGGATTCGTTTCAGAGTCTGAATATGGCCGACACAAACCCAGTACGATTACCGCTGAGCAATGAGCGGCCTATGACATCACCTGCACCGCGGAAACCCAAAAATCCTAAGAGTCTTGCCCTCAATCTTGATTCTAATATCGGGGGGTTTGCATCCTCCGAGCTCTCGTCGCCCTCTTTTATTAAACCACCAACGTTGAAGGGGAGGAAAAAGCCGAGCTTACTGAGTCTAAATACGGGTGCGGCAAACAGTCCAACTCTATCTATAGACACGCTTGGATCACCTGGAGTTCCAACGATGCTACAGCGCAGGGCCTTGAAGCATTCCATCTCAACCCCGCAAATGTTAGTCACACCCGGCTTTGGCCCCTGCGGCGGTATGACGTTTGGGGACAGGAATCCCCCGAGATTGGTTGGCGCTTCTAGACTGAAAGAATCGAATCTGGCCACGAACACTTTCACTATTGATGAAACCGATCAGGAACCCCCTTCTGGAACTCAGATGGCCACGAGAATACCCGGCGTTCCTGTTGGAGGTGACACATTCGACCGACTGCACTCAGGCGAAGACGCAAAATCCCCCTCATATCCAGAGGGCCCGATCCTCATGCATGAGCCGAGTGTTCACTTATATCTGGAGCCGAAACTGGAAGAGGCTATGAAATTTGACGTCGTCATCAACGTAGCCAGGGAGGTGAAGAACCCTTTCAAAGAGATGATGGAGGCGCGGGATGCGAAAGAGAGCGCTGCAACAGCTGCTTCAGCCTCCAAGACTACCGCTTCAGAATCCCGTGATACACCCCCCGATACTGCAGCTTCAATGTTGTCGTTTCACACAGCATATGAAGTGCAGCCATCTTCATCAGAATCATCGCCAACAACCCCGAAAGCTGCCCCCGAGGGGAAAATCCCCGAGTACATCCACGTGCCATGGGACCACAATACGGACGTGAAGGATGAATTATGGGACCTGTGTCAGACAATCGAGGCGAGAGTGAAGGAAGGAAAGAAGGTTCTCGTACATTGCCAGCAAGGTGCCAGTCGATCGGCGACGCTGATCATAGCGTATGGGATGTATATCAACCAAGATCTGGGGGCGAACGAAGCGTACTCTCGCGCGCAAGCCAAGTCCCGATGGGTAAATCCGAACATGTCACTCCTCTTCTCCCTCAATGATTTCAAGAAGGTTATTGAATCGAAGAAGGAAGAAAAGAGAAAGGCGGAGAAGATCAACGCTACTCGACAGGTCAAGCACAGATCGGCAATGTTGGCAGAGACCCCCGACCCTCCGGCGCCAACACGGGCTAGAGGCAATTCTACCCCGACCTCTGCAACCCGGGATAAGGCCTTGAGGACAAGTGAAGAGGCGAAGGAGACGGCTTCTATGAGTGACGCGACTATAAGACGACTGGCGGATTTTGATTTTGGGTTTGGCGATTCCACTCGCAAAGAGGCTCAGAGTCGTGTCGAGCATCCCCAACCTGTCAAGCCGCAGGAACCTATTAAGCCTCCAGAACCTGTAGAGCCGCAACAACCTGTCGAGCCGCAGCCCTCTGTCGAAGCTCAGCCGCCGGTAGAGCCCGAGCCGCACATCGAGCGTCTCCCAACCAATTTTGATTGGGAATCCGAGTTGATGTCTCCACGGGTGAGCGAAATGACCGACAACCCCCTCCGGTCATTCCCCGGGAACTACAGCTCAGGATCCGACGGGCAAGCACCGAGCACCATCTTCTCCTCCAGGCCCTGCGACTATCCCCGATCATCCTTCTTCTCCACCGTCCACCACCCTCTCCCTACCGAGGACCCGCGGAGCCCGCCCACCCGCGGCGAAGTCCCCATCACCCGATCCATCGACGACTTCCTCTGATATCCGGGCACGCATCTAACAGCCATATACCATCTCCATCTCTATCCCATCAATCTACCACTACACCATATCACATCATATCACCATACCACACCACATCATCACACCTTCAATCTCTGTATTTCAGCGGCGCGGGGCCGGGCGTTGGGGCGTCTCATCAATCAATCAATCAATCACAACATGCAATCACGAACGGGAAGAGGAGAAACGGACGGCGTTGCATAATTTTGCATGCATATATATGCATACATACATACCTACATACCATAAAGTGTGGCATTTTCCCGGGCAGGTCACCGAGCCGCCGCCCTGTATACAAAACACAACACAACCAACCAACCAACCAACAAGAAAAATGTAATGAAAAAATTTATATATATATATCCCCAAAGCGAACAGCAGCAGCCCTCCTCCTCCTCCCTAGTGCGAAATTGAAACAGGAGGAGTTGCAACGGGTTAAGAAATTATAATTGTTTGTTTGATTGATTGAACTGTTTGTTTTGGCTAGAGAGGCATTTATTTCTTCATAGCAAGCAAGCAAGCTTGGCGTTTTTGGACTGCGGATTTGGGGTTGGGTTCGGGTTGGGGGTCTTAGAGAGAGAGGCATGGATGGGCGGGCGTTTGGGATGTATATATATACATACATATACATACCTATAGGTATAGGATCTATATATGAACAGGGTTGGTTACCTTTGCTTTGGTCCTTTTACACATAGTCCAGTCAACTTCATCAATCAATCAATTCATCAATCAATTTCATCAATCAATCACAAAATCACACTCTCAAAACTCAAAAAAGTCAAAAAGCGAAAATAAAGTAAAGTATCGGGTATTCATTGAATTCAAAAAAAAAAAAAAAAGCCAAAAAAAAGATTCGTTTCATCTCATCTCATCTCATCTCATCTTCATCTCATCTCATCTAGCGCAAAAAACAGAGCCAGCCGCCTTTTTCTAACTTCGCTTCTCCCTCCTATTCATAACGCCCTCAGCAGCTACACCACCAAACACCAAAGCGACGCCGAGCCACTGTTTTCCGCCGAGGCGGTGGCCGAACCAGAGTACGGAGAGGATCATGGTGAGCATTTTGCGGGTGACGGTTATGGTTACTAGGAGGAGGGAGGAGAAGGTTGATAGGGTGTAGACTGTGATTTGATTAGTTATGGAAAGGAAAGGAAGGGGGGGAGGGAAAAGGGGGGAGAAACGTACAGATAAACACCTGTCCAACAGCCCCACAAAGCGAGAATCCCAAAACATCATACCAAACGCTCGGATGTCTTCTCAAAAACCCCACCGCGGCACCAAACTCGCCATCCCCGACCGCGATATCCATGCCTAGGTAAGCGCCGATTCCCGTGCTCACGAGATACGGGGACAGCGCCAGATACGAGAAGGTGAGCAGCGTGCTCATGATATTATTCGCGCACATCATGGCCGGTCCCTTGTACGCCGGGAACATCTGGAAGATGTGGTCTTGCGTGGTGTTGGTGAGGCCGTCGAAGAGGAGGTTGATGGAGAGCAGCAGCAGACCCCAGGCTGTGTTGCGGTCCGGGTTCGTGGAGGCTTTGGAGGGCTTGGCATGTGCTTTTCCTGAGGATGCGTGCAAGGTGAAGACGGCGACGCCGGAGGTGACGGCGAGCACGACGAGGTACTTGTATAGCGGGTACCGACGCTGGAAGAGCGTGATGTGCAGAAACATGACGGGTAGCAGCTTGCAGGATTTGGCGAGGATGAAGGTTATGTAGTCGATGTGGGCGAGAGACGCGTAGCCAAAAGGGGAGGCCAGGGAGGAGGTGATGGCGACGAGTAAGAGAGGGCCGACGATACGGCGGCTGGGGAAGATGGGCGCGGGGGACGAGCCTCGAGGCGTGTCGAAGCGGAGGTAGAGGTAGCCGACGGTGGCTGCGAAGAGGGATTGCACGGTATTCAAAAAGACGGGGAATTTGAAAAGTTCGGGAGAGTCTGCTGGTCCATAGGGCGTGGTCGTCAGGCGCTCTTGGAGAAGAGCCCAGGTGAGACTGTAACGTGGGCGTCAGTATCCATAGCTGTATATCAAGTTGAGGAGGGGAGCTTACAATGACCCGTAGATACCACCGACAGCAGTTAGGAATTGCAATGCACCGGCTTCCTTTCGTACAGGAGGAGCAAGACTGTTGAGGACCCCGCCATTCGCATGTCCGTTCATCGTCTCCTTCTTGTCTGAATCTCGTGCTTTTCGACTCGGCGTCCCTATAGGATCTCCCTTGCTGAAGGAATCAGAGGACGGGACTCTGCGCGACGGCGTGGCCTGTTTCGTTCGAGCCATTTCTAAATACAATCGGAGAAATCAAGCAAACCGAACAATTGGAATCGCAAGACGAAGAAAACCTTAACACAATATAAAAAAAAGAAAAAGGTGATTACCTAGGAAAGGGATATCAAGATCTGTACTTTATTTTCGGGGGATCTGCCAGATGGCTTCAATTCGAGGGATCAGCCACGCCTTACTGTATCGGGCGACCGAAAGGCGGTCTCGCGGGACAAAATCGTTTTCCAATTCAACCTCAATCATTCAGAACAATTTTGGAATTTCCGGCTGCTCTTCGATAGGGTGGCCCTCGACTACCGGCTACGCCTCATTCGAACCATTGGAGACATCCCCGTGTTCGACCACCCTCTTTTGAAAGGATCCCCCCTCCGCACAAACCACGCTCGAAACCCCTCCCGTCCCGTCCACCTACCTCGCCCATCCATCCATCCATCCCACCTTCTCTCCAGAATGTCCGGCGCCGACTCCCCGGAAATCCTCGCTGCCTACGATGCCGTACGCTCCGACAAAGACGAGACCAATTGGCTCTTGATCTCGTACGCCGCCGCCACTGGGGACGCGCTGAAGCTGACCGCCACGGGAACCGGCGGGCTTGAGGAGCTGACTACGAAGCTGGACGACTCCCAGGCCCAGTATGCTTATGTGCGCGTCGAATATGCAAACGATACTGAGAGCAAGCGGGTTAAGTTCGTGTTGGTCATCTGGATCGGGGAGGGCACCAAGGTCATGCGGAAGGCGAGGGTCAGCATCGAGAGCGGGGCTGTGAAGAAGGCTCTGGGTCATCATAGCATCCAGGTCGATGCGAGGGACAAGGGGGATCTGGACGAGAAGGACATTGTTGCACGGCTGAGAAAGGCCGGGGGTGCCGACTACAATGGGGGCAGAGGTTGATTGTGATGTCCCCGCGGAAGACGGTGATTGTTGGCGTCATGAAGAGGGAGGGCATTTGAAAGATTTCCTTGACCGCTGGATACTCTAGACGCGATACGATAGAAATGCTTGATGACTCCAATTTCCTTGGTGCAAATTTTGTGTGATTTTCCTCCAGGTTCAGTCCTTCCGGATGAGCTAGGCGGTTAACATGGACAGCAGCGTTCACGAGTCACGTGTGATATTTTCAATGCACATTGCAGCTTTTCGAGTGCTCAATTGTGTAGTCTACAGCTATATAGTCTCCCCATACATCCCTGGAAGATCTAGAGTTGTGGTTGTGACCAGGCCGAGGCCAGGCAACTGATCAATCGAATAGGGCTAGGTGTTGGTGGCAGGTAGCGAGTTCGAAGACGAGTTTCAAGAATGTCGAGTAGAGTTTGGTTAACTGGGAGCAAGGAGCATGTCGTAATTCGTGACTTTAGGAGAATTCTCTTGGTCATAGCCGCATGAAGACGAGATGAGGACGGTTCTCGTTCGTTCGGAGGGGTGTCGGTGAGCGGAGGGTCGAGACAGTATGACGGTGTCTCGAGTTGTTGTATGTCAAGGCGAATGGTTGTGTCGAGGATGACAGTTGATGGGCTACCTGTGCACCATGCAGGGATGACCGTAAATTCGTAAAGTCTGTGTCGCAAGGTAAGGAGAATCAAACAAAGTGGTGCCGAGAATTGCTTTTGTAGGAAAGAAAATCGGCCAATTAGAGGTAATCATTGCACATGTCCAGATCCATCACATCAATATTAGCCTCGCGGCAAGTCAGATCTGGAAGAGCCTAGACAAAGCTGGCCAGGATGGAAAAAAACGGCGTTCTCAAGTTGACATTGTATTTAGTCCTGAGGAACGCCTTGGCTTCGTCGCATCTTCTCGGCCTCGAGGTTCTCGTAGAGAAGATAAAGTGCAGTCTCGTTGGCTTTAGCACTGCCCATGATAGTGAACATACGTTCACCGGTCTCATCATGCGGAGCTAGGATTCATCAGTATCTGCGACCCAAACTCTAATTGGAGTACCACTTCAGACTCACCTTTGGCAATAGAGATACGTGCTCCTGATATCTTGCGGATCTCACTGATCTTACTTCCGGCTCTACCAATGATACACCCAACCATGTCCGACGGAATACTGATATTCTGGGTCTGCAGCTCCTCTCCATTCTCATCATGAGTTGGAGGGCCACGTTGAGCAGCGTCCGAGTCGGAGCGGCGGCTGTTGTATGATCGGGGGGCTCCCTCACTGAAATCGGCTCCGTTTCCAGTGCGCATAACACGGGCATTGTTGTAATCGCCTCGGCCATTGCTTCCCAGGCCGCCAGGACCCACTCCTGGACCTGCACCAGATTGGGTACGGACGACTGGGTTGTAGAGAACGGTCCCAGTGCCCCGCTGCCAGTCATCAATTAAGCATTTACAGATCTCCCAGATGGCCTTCTGAATTCCTTCTGGTGAGCCTTGTACCTCCACAATGCGCTCAGTCGATTGTGGTAGCATTTCCTTCTGTGCGACCATTCTAACGCCTGAAACGTCCTGGATGTGCTTGATCTTTAGACCCTGTCGGCCGATGATTGTGCCCATCTGGTTGTGGGAAATCAACAACTTTATGGCTAAGAAGAGTTAATAACAATTGTTCAGGAGTGTTAACATTCGCGGTGTAGACTTACGGTGGGTGCCATTGTTTGAAACAACCCCGCCCATTCCCATCTGTGGTGCACCCTCCAATAAAGCCTTGGCGACAATTGCATAAGCCTTTGAGATAGCTTCACATCCACCGGCAATGGTCAGCACACGGTCATGTACACCTTGCACAACCTTGCTAACACCAGCCTTCACACCGGTCTCGTCACGGAGATCTGCGACATTCTTGCCACCTTTGCCAATGATCACACCGGCTTCCTTAGAGGAAACGATAGCACGTAGGGTGAGCTGAGACTCTGCGTATTCTTCGTCGGTCTTGGGGAGAGGTTCGCCGTCAGCGCCAAGGCGTTCTTCGCTGACATCCATGGCGTTCATGCCATCGATAATCTCTTCACTTTGGAGTTCTTGGGGGGAAGACATGATGAAGGTATGGGATTTAAATCTCAATACTTCAGGTACGGGAGGTAGTGATGGAAAAGATCAGTCTCGTGGGTTGAGAGGATGCGGTCGCGTCGGAGGAAATACACGAGATCTAGTGAGGTTGTTAGGACGCGTCAAGTGAAGAAAGGGAAATACGCCACGAATGCCAGAATGGGAAGACGGCAAAATCAAGGCCGGTCAGAGAACACACCTTTATCCGGGGGAGTTGGAGGTAGGGACGTAGAGAGAGTTTGCTGTGGGGAGGAAGGAGGTGGGGCGTGATGGGGTGGGATCGGACAGAGATGGGAGGAGGAGGGAGAGGGAGATGGAGATGGAGATGGCGGGAGGACGCGGAGGAGGAGAGGAGAAGACGGAGGGGACGGGCGTAGGTCGGCGAGGGGGGAGGAGGAGAGAGGAGAGGAGAGAGAAGAGAGAGAAGAGAAGAGAGAAGAGGTCGGGGCGACGGAGGATAATTGTTGGTGGAATCTTGGAGGTCGAGGGTTGTCAGAATCAGAAGAGACGAGGGAAAAGAAAGAGCTTTCTTTTGCTGCCGCTAGTTCAATCGCGGGGTCGCTTTTTGTGCGGTCGACCGTTGGCGAGGTGGTGCGCGCCGCCCTGCCTCTCACTTTCACTCTTGCGCGCAAACATTCACGTCGATCAAAAGCCTCAGGGACATGGATGGGTCTGCTCTTGCATGGAAGCTGTTGCCCGCCGGATAAATCACAGCTATGGGGGATATTCATCGATCAATCACTGGAAATTCCTGCACTTCTCTAATGCTATTGGCCCTCCCATCCCCAAGTCCCGACCCATCCATGAGTTCTGGTACTTCGCCTCAGCGAATCATGCCACAGGTTTTGCGAAATTGATCGATTGATCAGACCTTATACCGGCACTGCAACTGATTGATCAGTGTTTATTATACCAGCTGCCTATTCATACCAGCTGCAGCCTCGAGGGGAGAAACTCGAGGCGATGGAAGGAGGAACGAGGGAGGTAAGGCAAGGTAGGGAGGAATGTTAATTGTTGATCTTATTATCATCATGGAGACATATCTATCTATCTATATTTACATCGAATTCGCATGCATATGAATATATACAATATACATATATGCATTCCTAGGTAGCTGCCTGCATATCTCAATCGACTTGGTTTCTACGACGGAATGTGAGAGCATTCCCTCCCTCTTGCACATACAATCACCACAAAACATCCAGACGGGCTGCTGAAACCCTTGGATTGGAGGACAGTTGCATTTATTATTAGTAAGTAGCTCTAGCAAGGTGCAATATGCAGTGCCCGTGCAGTAGCCTCGCCTTTCTGGCAGGTCTGGAGCAGGTCAGAGCTCCCCGGCTATCCAGACCTTGTATTTTCCACACATTTGTCTATCAACAGATCGTGCATCGTTTCCTCGTGGACATGCTTCGTAGGCCGCTTTTACTCTATAATGTGCGGCGGGCAGTCGTGATCAAGCATCGACCGGTTCTTCATTATTGTCTTCGCCGCCCTTCATAGGTCCCAGACTGAAGCTCTCAGCTGACACAGACTTTCTACTGCTTGGAATTTGGGGCTCTCCACTCTCCTCTCCAAAAAGAAAGGCTGCCTTTTCTCGGCCTTGGCCCGAATTTGGTCGTCGCCCAGATTTGAGGAACGGCGACGAGGATTTCGGGGGCGCCGATTTGACTCCCGATGCTGCGGAGTCGTCCGGCTCTAACATCCAGCTAAAGTTTGACTGCGCTATGCTTGATCGTGTTGGTAGCGATGATATGGGTCTGCTTGGAGGTCTAATATCTTCTGCGGGCTCAACCGGAGTCTTGGAAAGTGGATCCTGAACTACGTCTGATGAACTCTGGACAGCTGGACTGTTTTCCCCCGTAAGGCTCTCGGGGGTCGGAGTAGATGGCAGCGATAAGTCACTTGATGAGGCCGTTTTCAACTTGTGACCTGCGGTTGTCGTGACTCGGGTCGGTGCTGGGCGTTGTGAGGGGGCTTGTTCTGGAGATTTCGGGCTAATCTTTGCTATCGAGGAGGAGGGACTTTCTGGAGCAAGATTTGATGGTGAAAATGGGAGAGGTATTTCTGAGTCCTCCAAGTAGACCTTAACAAAACCGATTTTGGCAATCGCAAGATCTATGCCTTTGATGTACTTGTCTTTATCGTCATCGGTAGACACAGATAAATCTCTGAGATCAGCCATTGCCTCATCAAGCATGAGTGCCAGCTGCTGGTTTCGGGTTTTCATTGCAGATTCAAATGTGTTTTGGGATGGAACGGATCGCCCTTCATCAAGTGACCACCTCATCATATCCGAAGTCCTTCTTGACGGCGAGGTAATCCTCGATGCATGGAGCCCTTTCATGTTCTTCTTAACCTCTCCAACTGCATCTCGGACTGCTTGGTTAATACCGAGTCTCTCTCCTCTATCAAAGACGCCCTTGGCAGCACCCTGAAATAACGCTTCTACACCACCTTGCTGTTGGAGAAACCGCACAGGTGTCTGTAGGGGCGACCTTGCTCTCCACAATTTGTGTTTCTGGCCAACTCCCTCACCCAAAGGGGTTGATGGTCGAGAGGCCGAGGAGTATACTGGGGGAGACTTTCCACTGTACTTGGCGATGAGTGTAGCACCGCCTGCGGCACTGAAATTGTTTCGAAGATATATTGCATCATCCACAAAAGTTCGTGGGTCATGTGGTCGAGAAGGGGAAGGATACTTCAACAACAGCATCAAAGCAACCGAGTAGTTGGCTTCTAGCACTGTTTGGGTGGTCAGTTGGAGTGATTTTATCCGCAGCTGGTCTTAACTTCAAACTTACACTGCCATCGTATTCTTAAGAGCATAGCAACACAAACCATATCTACAAGGTCCAGCTCAGGATCTTCAGCGAGCAAAACGTCCCACAGAGCTAGTAGGTCATCAAACGGAAATTCTCTTCCAAAGAGGAGCCTGATCCAACGTCTGTATCCACAATTAGTACACTACCAAGTATCATCTGCTCGTAGAGTCCTTACATTAAGAAGATTTGAGGTAATACTTCTATATTCGTAAGATGTTTTGCCAGTTCGGGATCCACACGTGCTAGGTAAACCTCGTGTATCCGTTCGCTTCTCTCTACAATGGGAGAAACTTTCTGTTGTGGGGTTCCAGACTCAACTGAAGGTGCGTTTGATCTCAGATCCGTCTCTCCAAGTTCATAGAAAGACTTGGCTGTTCTCATGATCAAGGACAGGAGTGTAAACGCGTCATGTTCAATGTAGGCCGGGTCAAGGATCTGTTTCAGCAGCGAATCTGTCTCTGAACCCGAACCTTGGTCGTTGCTATTGGCCAAGTCGATGGCATCTTGATCGATTACCCACAAAATAGGAGCCAAGAGCTCATGCATACCTTGTCGGTATCCCACATCTTGATTAATCTTGCAGAAAACGAACAGGATGTCTAACATGATCCGTTGTGTACGAGGTTGACGGAAATATGGTTCCTCTTGCATGCATCGTTGAATGTCCTGAAATATTTCCGCTCTGAGTTCTTCATCCTGCCGCAAGGTGTTCCAAGGAGACTGCCAGATCTCAGCAAGCTGAAAGGACAATCACCGGTGATATCCATCTGAAAGAGAGCACAAGAGTTTCAAGTTCAACTACTTACGTTCTGGTCATCATCTAAGGGATCTAACGCAGAGCCAAGTGCATCGGGATTTTCGATATATCTTAAAAGATGCTCTCTGAGGGAGCTATATGCACTTCTAGAATCGATCAAAGCCCGTGACCATCCGGTGGTCTCGGTGGTCTGGAAGAGCAGAAAGGTCTATGGACGATTAACCAGCAATTGCAATCCACAGGACAAACGCAAACTTGCCTTCCAACAGACTGAACGAAGGCCAAATTTGCATGGGTTCTCATCGCCGTCTGCTCTGACGGCCTTCCTGAGGTCGGGACGGCTTGTGGCCTGTTTTGCTGTGATTTGCCATCGCGCTCTTTCTCGGGTCAGCTAATAAGTCATGTAACAGCATGGAACTCTGGCTAGATACCTTGACTCTTCCAATGATCGCATCTCTGGAATCTAACGGCGAGCTTCGATCTGTCAGATCCTTGGTGTTGACACTCCCCTCTATCAGTCTATCTCCGCAAGATACGGAGTATTCCCTGCTGCCAAAATGGCTTGTTTTACGGGGGGGTTTACTCCGTGTTTATATTTATAGTAATATTTTAGAAGCGGCGCGCAACATACAAACAGCGGCCGGCTACAGTAACGGCTCGGGAAAGATAAAAGCCAATCAACCATAGGGACCCGACCTCAGCCTTGCCTCCTGATATCGTCATTTTCTTGTCGATAGCTTCACTCTACAAAGCCCTCCTTGTGGAGCACCTCGAGGAGAGGGCAGTAGAACTGCATCCATAATTCTAGGTGGGCAAGGAGGCACCGACTCCCTTTAGGACCCGGCGAGCAGACACGATCTCGAAAACCTCGAGACAGAAGCCTGGGTCTGCTCCGATTTAAAGATTGCTCTTGCTTACTACCTGTTAGCTTCACGGACACATTCAGGATGTCTTCCGATCTCCTTGCAGAATTCGATAGCTTCTACAGAGCTCCTCAAGACTCCTCCTCGAACCCCCCAGCGTCAGCATCGAATGATCTCTCCGTCTTGGACAGTACGACAGGAAATGGGCAATCGGGACAGGGGAGTGGGTTCTCACAATGGCAAAGCCCTTCACGGATGAACAATGACATATGGGGCGATTTCCCCCCCTCTCAGCCGGCCACAAAAGCGCAATCGACTATTACACAGCATGATGATATTTGGAGTTCTTTTGAGGCCGCTCCACCACAAAGCAAGCCACCTACTCTGGAGACCTCGGCTTCAAGGAGACCGGACTATGGAGCAATTGCGACAAAAGACTTTGGGGGAAGTACGCGGCAAAGTGAGCCTATAATAATGCGAAAGCCAACCCTTGAAATCTTTTCCAGTATCCTGGGAGATGTTGAGCACTCTTCACCGAAACCTCCAGGAACGGGAAATTTACCTCCTCCAAAACAGCCAGCGTCTAGGAAAAGCTCACATGGTGATGTGTTATTTGATGCTACCGAGGAGCTGTCCCCTCAATTGGAGGATGATGATGAGTTTGGAGAATTTGAGACTGTGTCACCTGAATCCTCCTTTCAACCAGCACTACCACCGCCATCACAGTCCCTTAACACCATGTTCAATACCATGACTCTCGAGACAAAGTCAGCAAAGGCTCCTGTGGACTTGTTATCAATATCAACAAGTCAGGATCATCTACCGTACCCTCAAGCTCCGAAATCAGCATCTTTCAAAGAAAGAAATCCGTTCGGGGATCTGGGCCTGTCGACAAAGCAGGCAGCTAGCCGGATTAAAGAGGAAGATAAACCTAAAACATCATCTCCAGTTACCGCATGGCCAACATTCGAGCCTAACAGACCCAAGCCAAGCCCATACAAAGACTCATCTGGCCCAGCCGATGACCTTGATGACGAATGGGGTGACTTTGCAGATCTTCCTCCTGAGACACCCACTGTCACTCCGGTGGTGAAGGCCCCTTCTAGTAGTAAGGCAGACACATGGGCTTGGGACGCTGTCGATCAGGTTACGGAGCCCGCTCGTGTGCAGGTCGATGTAGCTCCCCCGACAAACATACCACCCCCTTCAGTATTGCTTGCTCTCTTCCCATCACTCTTCGATCTTCCTCAGTCGACATTGTTCAAACCCGTGGCAAACCAGTCATTTTCTTTAAAGAACCGGATCATATCTGATCCTTCTACGATTGACTTCTTACGTGCATACCTTCTCATTGCCGTAGTAGCTGCACGGATTATAGCTGGCCGAAAACTTCGCTGGAAACGTGACACTCTTCTTTCGCAAGCGATGAAGATTGGCCCTGCCGCCGCTGGTGGAAAGGGTGGCATGAAGTTGGCCGGCGTTGACAAAGCCGAGGTCGCTCGAGAAGATCGAGAAGCTGCAGATGTAGTACGCATATGGAAAGATCAACTTGGAAGGTTACGATCAGCCGTCGCTGTAGCAAACTCGAGCATGCGTGACTCGTCTCGGCATTTGGCAATCCCTGATATCAGCGAAGCCATGCCTGTGAAAAGCCAACAAGGAGGTCTCACGGCGCCGAAACCATGTCTTATATGCGGACTCAAAAGAGAGGAGAGAGTCAACAAGGTTGATGTTGATGTCGACGATAGTTTTGGAGAATGGTGGGTGGATCACTGGGGCCACCGAGCCTGTAGAAACTTCTGGCTTGAGCACGAGTCCAAATTGAAGAGTCGTTGATAGTGCCTCATGGCATCATTTGCATGATTCTCATCTATCTCTCTTACAACTCTTCCTTCGATGCGAGACCGCTCGACAGAGAAGATAATCATGTGATCAGTCCTCCCTCCCAGCATAACAAAGGATTCGCCAAGTGGAGTGTCCCGTTGACAAAGAACTATTCTATACTTTGTTCTCCAACAAAGAGCTGTGCCTGAACAATGGTAACCCGCTGTCTGTATTGTTCATCCCGATTCTGTACCACGGACAAAGATAGGCCGTGAAGTATAAAAGGGCACCTATCTTCAGCTTTGAAAGGTCCATTTGAGCTTACCATACATTACATCTACAACGTTACTCAATACATCTCCGCCACTACTTACGCCAAAAATAGACGTTCCAAAATCCACATCCAACAGTCTTTGGGAAAAAAGAACGTAAACATGTGTCATTACGCAGAATACGTCTACAGCTGCTACCATAGGGATCGGATCGTTTATGAACGAGCATGCACTCGAGTCAAAGCCGGGAAAGCATGTGGTGGTAATGCGCTACGTAAGGAAACAATACACAGGCTCTGTCCTGCTTGCAGGCAGCGGATCGCAGATGCTGCGCAAAGGGTAAGGGACAGATTTCCGTAGGATTCGGACAGCTTCGCGTGAAGTATGTATTTGGATCAAGTGATCTTTGCATATGAGTTTTTCGATATCTGATTTGACATGTGAGTATTCGAATGAAGATCACATCTTCGGTTTGCTCTTAAAAGACAATAGCAACCTCTCGCATATACACTAGCAATTACATCTTTCTCTTTTCATAATGTGTTGGTTCTTTTGGTCATAAGGAGTTTTGGCGGTAGTGACACGGAGAAGCTCCTCTTTCCTATTTTCTAAAGCTACGGGCCATAGCCTAGAAGTTAACGCCCTGCTAAAGATTCGGGTCAGGTTTGCGATCTATTTCTTCTAACTTTGCTTGCTTCGATTTCAATTCCTGATTACCCTTGGTGCGGATGAGGTTGCCCAGACGGAAAGAATGGCAAGAGGAGAAGGATATTTGAAAGAGAAAGGAATACAAGTCGGGACCGCCGACCTAGGTTATAGATAATGCGGCAATAGCTCTGCTCACTGAAAGACGCTTTGGGTTTCGCTATTTCTCTTGTAATCTACACGAAACGCCCTCCTTATGTGTTTTCTGCTAATAAACATACACTTTACTTCAATCAGCTGCTTGTGGAAACTCTTACTAGTCTAATAGGAAACATGACGATGCTGGTCTAAAGAGGATACTGGTGATCTTGAAGATTGATAAGTGCCTGAGGCACAAATAGTCCGTTCTTATCAACATCAGCTAACCTGTTACGGACTATTATTATCTGTACGTCAGACGCCTTTGGCCCGTGACCAATAGTCTAGATTGCGTACCTTGATGTACTGTCCTCATATAAGGTACCTTATACTAATGAACAAAAACTCAATCATCTTATAGACGGCCGTATCCTTATCTGATTCGTCAATTTAATATAAATATTATACAGAGTATAGACACCTACCTCGGTAGTCCCAGCCACCGACCTTCAGCCCCCCATCCTCAATTCAAGGAAGACCGAAAGCGCTGAGCATTTGAAAGAACTGGAACGATTAAATGGTTGCTATGGGATTAAGTAAGGGAAATCAGACGGGGGTGCAGCAGCCCGCCATGAGCGAGGAGGATTTCAGCTGCGTCGATGTTGCGGAATTCGATGCTATGTATGTTCAATGCCCCCCAGGTAACGGACGTCCAATGGCATAGGCACTCACACAGATCTATAGATCCATCAATTTGAAGCCGAAGCCTTCTGAGAAATATCCTGGTCAGAATCCCTGTCGCTGTTCTATTCAGGCCTGTTTTTGCTTGCGAACAATTCTCATATTGCGGAATCGTTACACCGCGCCTAAGTACTCTGTTGGAAACAGGCTTTCTACTAACACTCAATCTAGGGAAGCTACACGCTCAATCAGTCGCAAAGCGACTTGGTTCCAAGCAGGGCCTCATATACCTGCCGTCAAAGAAGTCATGTGTAAGGATGCCCTGGAAGTCAATGCTGTATATCTACCGGTCTGATATATGAGTCCTGCGCTGATGGGATCAAACATGCTTTGACTCACGGATATCTTCTCTGGTGCTTTTCTCCCTTGAACAACTACTGATTCCCCGATGCTCTAGAACTATGAGGACTCTGATCAGGAGGTTTTTTTCCGGCAACGCCGCTACTTTTATTACCTGAGCGGTGTCGACCTGCCGAACTGTGTTGTGACCTACAACATTGAGAAAGATAGTCTCACTCTCTTCATCCCGCCTCCAAACTCAGGCACCTCGGTCATTTTCAATGGATCCAGTCCAACGCCCGAAGAAATCAAAGCTAAATATGACTTTGACGCCGTCGAATTGACTACAGCTCTGCCTGATTTCCTGACCCATTTCGCCCACCGGGAAAAGGGCATGATATACGTGCTACACCCCTACCAGATCCCACCCAAGTCGACAATCATGCAGAGCATTACCCTCGAGGATGGATGCCAGAGCAATCTCTATATCCCGCCATGGGAGACCTCCAAGCTCCAACCCACAATGGATGCCGCTCGGACGATCAAGAGCCCCTACGAACTCAAGATGATCCGCAAAGCCAACGAGATCTCAGCCCAGGCACATCTCAACGTCCTCCGTGGCATCAAGCACTTCAAGAACGAAGCCGAGGTGGAGGCCGTCTTCGCCGCGACGTGTATCGCGCGGCAGGCCAAACGACAAGCCTACGGCATCATCGCCGGAGCGGGCGAGAACGCAAGCACTCTCCACTACGTGGCCAACAACGAGCCGCTGGAAGGGCGCCAGCTTCTCTGTCTCGATGCCGGGTGCGAATGGGACTGCTACGCCTCGGACGTCACGCGGACGTTCCCCATCTCGGGGGCCTTCACACCTGAAGCGCAAGCCATCTATGACCTCGTGGCGCAGATGCAAGAAGAATGCATCGCAATGTGCAAGCCCGGCGTCAACTTCCGCTCTATACACCTGCACGCGCATGCCGTTGCTGCCGCAGGGCTGATGAAGCTCGGCCTTTTGCATAACGGGACGTTTGACGAGATCTTCAAGTCTGGCGCATCTGTCGCTTTCTTCCCGCACGGCGTAAGTTCCAAGTTCCCTCCTCGCATCCACATGATCCCCTCCATCCCCTCCTTCCATCCATTCATCCTACCTACTAATCATCCCCCCTTTCCAGCTGGGCCACTTCCTCGGTCTCGAAGTCCACGACGTCGGCGACGGCACCAACAGCCTTCTCTCGACGCACGCCAAATCCTGGCTCACCAATTTCCACTCGATCCTCCAGGATCCCAGCTCTTCCTCCGTCTCCGTCCTCGCTCCTAACATGGTCATCACTATCGAGCCTGGAATGTAAGCCCCCCTCCTCTCCCCTTCTTCCCCCCCCCCC